CAACAGAAGAGTCTCCCAGCCATGAGGGCTCTGCTCTGCCTCCATTGTCGAGGCAGCAATGCTTCTGAATACCAGTTGCTGGAAACCACAGGAGGAGAGAGTTGCTCTTGTGCTCAGATTCTGCTTACTGGCTCCCCATAAGAGACATCTGGTTGGCTGCTGTCTTCTTGTGGGTCAAGAAACCACTGTCTCTATTCAGACCAAAATGACCAGAATCAAATGCACTACTGCTGTCTTAGCAACATCAAAGTGACCTCCCCAGGGTGCAAGCTTGGGCAGTGTGTATGGAGGTCCTGGGCTGCCCAGATTACAAGACCCCATCCTCAGCCCCGCTGATGTGGTCCACAGAGTAATACATTTGGCACCAGACTGGCTGCAGCAGTTGCCAGGAGGAGGCATACAAGACGCCACCCAATCGTCTTAGGGACTCCACTCTGGATTTGTAGCGTTTTATTCTGAAAGTATCTCACCAGGCAGTGGAAGTTTAGGATCAGTGTTTTCCTTCTCCTAGATGGGCTCCCTTCTCAAGTTGACGAGCCGCATCTGCCCCTCCCGTCTCTGCATGTACAGAAACTGCTCCATCCACCATAGCCTCTCTTTGCATGCAGGGGAAGTTCCTTAGTCACAGAGGGTTTGAGACCCATCAGCTGCCCTCACCTGGTTTAGCTGGCTAATCAAAGCCATTCCCAGGGTGTGACCACTGTCACATGCTGGCAGCTTCTAGGAGCCACAGGTGATAACTGAATGGAGGGTGGGGACAAACTACCCCAGAAGCAGCAAACGTGCCCCCCACCACAGGTACTACTGCTCCCCTAACATCCTGACAATTAGCTGCTTTTCCTTTAGGAGAAAGAACCTCCCTCTCAGTATCTTGAGGAGCTGCAGATGATTTATTTAAAGGAAGGTTAGCATTGCAAACACTGAAACACAGAGTTTAGCAGCACCATGGTGTGGCTTTCAGGACAGGCAGGTTCCCATCCACCCACTTGACCCATTTTCTCACTTGGTTAAGCAGGTTGCAGCTATGCACCAAAAACTGGTTAGGGTGGAAGTTAGCTAGACAAAAAGACATACATGGAGGCCCAAGTGCGCCTTTTCCATGGAAGGTACATTAATACTTGCAAGACACATTCCCCTTCTTTGCAGGTTTGGGGAGATCAACAAGGCTTGCATTGAAGTACATCAGCCTGCTCCCCAATGACTTTGCGGAAGGGGGTGGGATCCAGTTAACCTCTAATTCGGTCTTCTAGCAGAGTACAGCCTTCCCTGACAATCCACACCTCTCTAAGCTTGCTGGCAGAGAAGAGCATTTCCCAACTCTGAAACCTCAGATTCTTTAACTGGGTAATTTCAAGGACTAAGCCATCAATCTTTTGTACACAGAGAGAATCTGCAACTGAGATAAAGGCTGAATCTGTCAGAAGTAAATCAGCATGGTCCTAAACAGATTGACTCAGGAGTGAGCAGGCCTGCTTTGGACCACAGACAATCATTAAGCCAAAGCAAACACAAGTTGTTTACAAGTTGGGCAAGACCCCACTCCCTGCTTATTTCTCAATTGCACATGACCCACCCAGTTTTCATTAGGCAGTGGTGGTGGTGGGGAATCTTCAAAGCAACCAGGAAAGGCAAAACAAAATCTAGTACTTTTCTTTAAAAGGAAAGAATGCCCTAACCAAAGCCAAACCTCAGTCTGTGTTCTACTTTACCAAAAAGGTTTTACAGTCAGAAGACTTAAGATGCAAGTGTAAGTTCACAGCTTTGCAAACAAGAATTTCCGCCCTTTAAATCTTTCATTCGCAATGTGATGTTCTTCAGATGTTTTGGAATAAAACTCCCATTGGTTCCAGCCAGCACTGTGCAGAAGGCTGCTTTAGATAACATGGTTTCAAACCATGGTCCTCCCAAGTGGTTTTCTTTTTAATAGAAAAAAAGGTGCCGGTGCTCAGCATGAAGTTGTTACAGTTAAGTGCTGCACTTCTAACATTTGAAAAAAACAACGCACAAAAAACTGCCAGTACTACATACCACTGAGTACCCCCAGAAAAAAGCACTGGCCTCCCCCTACAAAAACCCATTTCAAATTTTGATTTCTAAAACACCCACATTTTAAAAAAACCCAACATTACGACGTTTTTCATTGGCAGTTCAGTTTAAGAAAGCTATTGACATGAACACAAAACATTATTCACTCCTGCCTAGAATGCTAACATAGAAACACTCTCATTTAGTACCGGTACTTTAAACCATCCTCACAATGTTTTTTTCAGAAACCATTTCCTTGGAGTTTTCATTCTGGACAGCAGGGGGCACTGCTGTCCTTTTAAGTTAGCCAATGCAGGAATTTGTTCCCCAAACCATTATCCTTTTGTATTACATTTGAGATGTTTCCAAACTCTGCATTTAAAAAACAAGCCCCTGAATGCCTAGCATGCTCAACATCACAATTTGATGGGAAAATGTAAGTGTTGTAAGAAAAATACAGCTCCCTTTCCCTTACAGGGTATCCAAGAGCCCGTATAGAGTCCTTATGTAGGTTCTCTATCTGTAGGAGAAAATAGCAGAGGCCAACCAGAGAATATTGAGAAGCAAAGCGGCTAGTAAGCCTGATCTTTATTGATCTGTTGCAAAGGGGTCCCTCCCCCCCCCACAGGGAAGGAGGAACCCGGAACATTGCTGTGCAAGCTCTTATATAGACTTTTGAAATTGCCTTCCCTATAGCTCAAGACCACCCCCCAAAACATCATACATACATCACAGAAAGAGGTGGTCCCCAGCTCAGCAGAAATTGGAGAGTTGCTTCAGTCCTGTCATCCAAGGTACCTGATAATACCTTATTTGATTGCCTTTTCTGGGTAGCCTGGCCTTTCCTTTGAGATGGTAAATAGTTCCTTAATCTATTACACATATTGATAGTGTGCTCAGCTTAACAGATACTTGCCAGACTGTATTTACAGGGAGGTGCAAGCCCCTACAGTCCAAAGACAACTAGAAAGCTTTTCCCATTTCCTTCCTCCTTGCAGAGAAATACCGGTATTTGAGGTCAATTTGGGAGAGTCAAAATGGCTTCTGGATTGTTCTCCTGTACTATTTCAGACACATGGTTTATATACTGACCATATTTTTGCTCTATAAGACGCACCTGACCATAAGACACACCTAGTTTTTAGAGGAGGAAAACAAGAAAAGCCAGCAAGAGCCGCAGACACGCTCGCTTGGCACGGCTCTTTAAAGATAGAGCGGCTCTTGCTGGCTTTTCCGGGAGGTGGGAGAAGGGTCTGACGGGCTGCCCTCCGTCCCTTCTCCCACCTCCCGGAAAAGTCAGAGCAAGCTGCGCAGCTATCTCTGAAGCCAGCACAGCAAGGGGGAGAGCTGCACAGCGCCTCTAGCACCTCTAGTTGTGCTGGCTTCTCAGCGAAGCAGGATGAGGGACAGAAGGGAGCCCTTACAGAGCCCCTTCCGTCCCTTATCCTGCTTCACTGGGAAGCCAGCAGAGCAAGAGACGCTGCGCAGCTCTCCCCCTTGCTGTGCTGGCTTCAGCAAAAGCTGTGCAGCGCCTCTTCAGCGAAGCGGGAGGAGGAACGGAAGGGGCTCCGTGTAAGGGCTCCCTTCTGTTCCTCCTCCTGCTTCGCCGGGAAGCCAGCAGGCGCTGCGCAGCTCTTGCTCTTCTGGCTTCAGTGATAGCTACGCAGCCTGCATTCGCTCCATAAGACGCACACACATTTCCCCTTACTTTTTAGGAGGAAAAAAGTGTGTCTTATGGAGCAAAAAATATGGTATGTGTTTGCCTTGTACATTTATGAGCAATATATATATATATATATATATATATATATATATATATATATGTAACACACCTTAGAATTCCTATAGCAATAAGTAAACCCAAAGGTGAGTGCACATACATGAGAGACACAGATACAATTGCCACACGCAGGACCCATTCCAGTTTGGATACAAGGCAGAATTCACTAACTGTTGATATACATAGTGAAAACTGGGAAGTTTGGCATGGTGTGTGTGTTTATTGATTGATTTAAACAATTTATATATCGCTTAACTAAAATAGTCTCTAAGCCTCTGAGCCTCCCCCCTCCCCTGAACAAGCCCAATGAAGTGTTCTGCAGTAGACAAAAGCTAGCACACTATTTTGTAAAATCTGTCATGTAATCAGTGCTTTTTTTGGGGGGAAGGGTTTACTCAATGATACACAGTACTGGCACCTATGATTTCAAATGTTAAAAGCGTGGCACTTACTGTAAAAACTTCATGGAGAGTACCAGCACCCTTTTTGAAAAAGAAAAAGAAAGAAGAAAAAGAAAAAGCACTGGCCCTAATACAGATTTTGGGATCTGAGAGGCAGTGTGGTGTAGAGGTTAGAGCAGTGTTTCTTGGTCTTGGGCCACCAGCTCTTGTTTGACTACAACTCCCATCATCCCTGACCACTGGTCCTGCTAACTAGGGATGATAGGAGTTGTAGTTAAACAACAAGCTGGGGACCCAAGATCCAGAAACACTGGGTTAGTGTGTTGGACTAAGACCTAGGAGACCAGTGTTCAAATCTCCAAAATGGAGAAAAGTCCTCCACAACGATGTGAGAGACTGATAAAGTCATACAGAAAACAATAACTTTAAGTTATTGCTGCTAAAGATAGTTCTACAAGCTGCTGAATCATAAGGCGTGCTTAGTTTTTCACACATGGCTTCTCTATTTTGGATTTATTTCTGTCAAATAAATCATGACGTGGTGTAGTATGTCATTTGTTGTTGTTCATCAGAGGTTGTATTTACCTAAGACCTGCTAAGGAACAGCTTGTTGTTATTACACTGACATATGTAAAACCACAGAATTCAAAGAGGGTGTACTTTCCTTTTCCCATGACACACACAAAAATTACACACACACATTTTTTTCTTACAGGCCTACACAGCTTCCTCTCCTTTTCTGTCAGCCCCAAGGTCCATCCCACAGTGCTATGAAATAAGTCACAGAGGCAAGCTTCTTCTAAACGGATTTCTGTATTAGCCAATTACTTATAAATACATTTATTACAGTGAGAAAATCTGTGTATGCAGGGAGAAACAACAAAAACAAAACCATCAGCTACAGCTACAGCGGAGACCCTGCAAAGATCCAAGGAACTTGATCAGGAAAGGCAGAAGGCCTGGAGCAGAGGGCCAGGGCAGGCAGAGGAACAGGGGCAGAGAAGCAGGCTCCCATGCTCTGCCATTCAGGGTGGCACACCCCAGGAGAAAGGCCTGCCTCAGAATCAAGGTCTAAGGCAGCCTGGGCCAACCGGGCATTCTCCAGATGTTTTGGACCACAAACCCGTACCAGCCCCAGTAGTGATGGGAGTTGTAACCTAAAACACCTGGAGGGTACTTGACTGGCAAAGGCTGTCAAAGGGAACTAAATACACAACAGTGAATGAAGCAGAAACTTAAGAGCACCTTTAAAAAACAAACAAACCTGCCTCATAGTTTTGGGGTTTTTTAAAAGCCACTTATGGACAAACGTCTCCTCTCCAAAGTGTTCACAGGAGACTTGGATGCCTTTACAATGCCCACCCCGCTTTTAAAGGGGAATACAGGCATTTCCCCACCCCAAACATTAATTACCAAGAAAACCTCTATACAAGGAGCATCCCCCATAGGGCTTCTGGGGCTCCCCAAACCCATTCTGGCCAACAGGGAACGCTGATCCCTTCCCCCAAGCAACATTTGTCAACACTGTCACCTAACTGAGATGGGAGTGACCCAACCAGGTTCCTAAAAGAGGCTGCTTGGGAAGGAGTAGCTAAAGGCACTTTGGGAATCAGAACCCTGCAGGGAGCAGGAGAGATGAAGGGAACCTTAGCACTTGCCAGGCACAGATAACAGGAATTGCATCTCAAACAGTTGTTGGCACCAATATCTGCAGGCTGGAGTGGGGGGGTCAGCGAGCCCCAGGTGAATTTGGAAACGTAGGGAGTGTGGAAACGGAGCTCTTAAGGTCTGGTGGCAGAGATTCTTATTGCCCTGAGGCTAAAGAGAGGAGGAGCTGGTGAGGAAGGAAAGGGCAGTCTAGGGAGGGGAGTGTGTTTGTGTGTTCTGAAGGAGCAGTCAAGGACCCTGATGGCTGTGCTCAGCCAAGGGCCTTGTGGTTCCGTTAGTAATTTTGACGACTAAGAGAAGCAGTGGCAGACAGGAGCCAGGGTTGGAGTGAGCCGAGAAGATCCAGTGCCAGGAGGAAGAGAGTTAGGTTGGGATGACACCCGTAGCAAAGAGAATGATCAAGATCAGGATGATGGCCACAATGACGCAGATGATGATGATCATCTTGGCATTCTTCCACCAGTACTTGCGTGCCACCTTCTGTGAGGTTGTCTTGAAGTGTTCCGACTGCAATGGAGAGAGAGAGAGAGAGCTGTGAACACAGGAGGAGAGAGACCCCTCAGCCACACACCAACCAATGTGGGACGGGAAAGGTCTCCTCACAAAAAACAAACAAGAATTAAGAATGTGAGATGAGTCCTGCTGGATCAGGCCATGGCCCATCTAGTGGAGCATCCTTTTCTCACAGTGGCCAATTAGGTGCCTGTGGGAAACCTGCTAGCAGCACTCTCCAGATGCCAGTTACAGCGCTATGAGAGACGGAGGACAGCCTTCCTCCATGCCAGCATCATTTATACAATTCTATTGTGTCACCTTTTTGCTCAACTTAGAAGTCCCAAACACTGCAACCTTTTTCCCCCAGGGGAGTTGCTCCATTTCCTTGATCAGTTGCTTGCCTTTTCCTGGAACTTTTCCAACTCCGCAAAACCCTTTTTTGAGGAAAGGCAGCTGGAAGTGAACATAGTATTCCAAATGCAGTTGTACAACAGATTTGTGTAACTGCATCAAGTTACCAGCAGTTTTATTTTCAGTTCCTTTCCTAATTTCTCTAGCATGGTCCTGGGGTCCCAATATAGGTCAAACCCAGCAGTTACAAATTTGGCACAGAAATGGGACTGGCAGCCAAGCTATAATCATTGTGATGTGTTCAGAACGCCTAGTCCCATTTATTAAACTGGCCACCCAGCTGCGGTTTCCAGTCATCAAAGGCAGCCCAACACACAATGCATGGCAGTAATCTATCTGCTGTTTGCATCTTCTGCAGCTCTGTCAGGCCATCGACAGCAGCCATTCCATCAGGCTGCTGCGAGAGAGATGGAACTGCAGGGCCTCTCCATCAGCTCTGCTAAGAGACCGGCAAATGCTTGGCTCTGCTCCAAATTCTTTTCATTCCTGCTGCTCAAGACCTCCAAAACTAAGGATTAGTGCTTGTTTCCCCCTCCCCTCGACCTATTTCCTTTTGGGTTGTAAGCCTGAGGCAATCTTCTTGTTTATATTTGTAAGCTGAGCTTGAGAGCACTTTTTATGTGTGCTGAAAACCGGGATAAAAATGCCAATGAAATAATAATTAGCAAGTGTGTCTCTGTGTTGAAAGTGTCTCTGGAATTCTGTAGATATTTTATAGTTAATATTTTTATTCTACTGTTGTATTACCCATCCTGGGAGCATTTGTTGAAGGGCTGGATAATAAATTGAAACAACAACAACAACAACAACAACAACGGCAGCTCGTGGCACCCTGTTTCGATCAGGTACCCCCAATTAAGGCTGCTGAGCAACTTTCCAGCCACCAAAACCAGGTGACAGATTCAAAAGTCAGCTAAAATCTTGCACATTCCTGTACGCTAGTCTTAGGTGGTACGGCCAACTGCTCCGCCTCATTCCAGGAAACAGCTTAGCAAGTTGTAAATACCAAAGGTAGAATAAAGGGCAGAGGGTGGTTGGGGCCTTCCTGGGCTGCTCAGGGATTAATCAGCCACACTACAAACAGCTCCACCCTGTCCACTATGCTCCTTAGACACAGGACCTCTGGTGCGCTGCCTGAAAGGAGCTGGGCCTTGTGCCTCAGCCACCCTCTGCCTCAGCACCCACAGGCTGGTCACACAGACCAAATTGTGCCAGATTCTGACTTTTGAGTCAGAGGAGATCTCAGTTTAGAAGAGCCCAAATTGGCAATGATAAAAGGACAACTGGGATCAGCTGCGCACCATGGAGAAAACCTGCATGTTATTTTCAGACCAGCTGGGAAGAAAATGTGCTGGTTTGCAAGTCCCTCTCTGCGGTAAGGAGGGATTTAAAACCCCGTCCCAACAGGACAGGTGTGCAGGCTACTTGCAGGGAAAATCACACTTGAAAGCCAAAGGAGCTAAACATTTCGCCCGCTCTGAATTCTGAGCAGTGGTTGGGCTGAGGCACTGTTATCCGTGGATAAGGAGGAGGAGTTTTAATTTGCAGCAGAAACACTGTGAAGGCAAAGAATGCCTCCGTTGGCTGTACAGTGGGCTACAAACACACGTCTAAATACACCTATAGAGTTAGAACATGCTTGCCACTTGCAACATCCTTGAACTTGTGTGGAAAACCAGAGGATCATACCAAGTCACACCTTGTGGTTTTGATGGCACTATTGCCAGAGCCCCAGCAATGCTGAAAAAGCCCCTGCTTTATCCATGAGCAACTTCCCCTTCAAGCTGAAGCTCTCAAGCTCAGAGCAAGTTTGCTGAGGGCAGGGGGGTCTGCACCCTCCAGGTGCCTCCTCCCATCATCCTGAGGCAGCATGGCCAATGGTCAGGGATTATGGGAGCTGTAGTTCAGCAAAACTTAAGACAGCCACAGGTTCCCTAGGTCTGTGTTTCTAACTGGGAAACATCTTTCCTTCCAATGGAAACTTGCAGATGTGGCACAAGCAGAGATAACCAGATGTACAAATGTAAGATGGGGGACACCAGGCTGGCCAGTAGTACATGTGAAAGGGATCTAGGGGTCTTTGTAGACCGCAAGCCTAACGTGAGTCTGCTCAGGAATGGAAGAGTACCACTTTACTCTGCCTTGGTCAGATCTCACTTGGAGTTTTGTGTCCTATTCTTGACAGCACAGTTTAAGAATTGTATTGACAAGCTGAAACATGTGCAGAGGGAGTGACCAAGATGATCAAGGGTCTACAAACCTTATGAGGAACAGTTAAGGTAGTTGGGTATGTTTAGCCTGGAGAAGAGAACATTGAGAGAGAATCGAATCATAACATTGTGGAGTTGGAAGAGACCAAGAGTCCAACCCCCCAATAACCAGGAATAACCATCTTCAAATATTTAAGGGGCTGTCCCATGTTAGATGGAGTGAGGTTGTTTTCTGCTGGTGCAGAACAAAGGACCCAGACCAGTGGACCCAAATTACAAGAAAGGAGATTCTAACTAAACATTAGGAATAACTTTCTCTCTCTTTTTTTTTATTAGATAGAATACGCGATGTTATAACTATATGATACCTACCGAAGAGACGGAGGGAAGTCCGAAGCTCGGCAGAGCTTAAGGCTTAGGTGGATGGATAAATGTATAATGAGTGTATGTATTCTATGTGTATATGTAATAATGAAAATCAATAAAAACTGAATAGGAATAACTTTCTCACGGTAAGAGCTGCTTGACAGTGGAACAGACTCCCTCGGAAGATGGTGGACTCTCCTTCATTGGTTTTGAAACGGAGACTGGATGGCCATCTGTCAGAGATTCTTTAACTGTGATTTCTGCATTGCAGGGGATGGATCTAGATGACCCTTGGGATTCTAGGAACTACCATCACTTTCCCCAATGCTTGCTTGGGGACTCTGCTCTTCTCTACCAAGTCACTAGGCAAGTCCCCCCACTCTTCAGTGAAAGGAGCTTGGTGGCCTCCCGTGAAAACCTCACCCCCTTCGACTCTGCTCAGAGCACAAGTCTCAGAACCTACCGTCGCTTCCAGGTCCTCCGTCTTGTTGCGCAGGTGGTCCAGGTTCTCTCCCCTTGCCAGCATACGCTCCACGTTCTGCGTCATGATGTTCTTGACACCCTCCACCTCATTCTGGAGGTTCTTCACCTTGTCGCTTGCCATCCCGGGGGCGCTTCCACCCTCCTGGAGGGAAGAGAAGGAAGGAAGGGGGCTTAGGATAGAAGACCTGGGTCAGCCATGGATGTTGGCAACCGGAAGAAGGAAATCCAAATGGAGCTCCCAGCGTCCCACACACCAACAAATATGGGACGGGAAAGGTCTTCTGCACAACCCTCACAAAACATAAACAAGAATGCACTTGAGAAACCCACAAGCAGGACCCAAGCCCAAGAGCAACTCTCCCTTCCTGTGGCTTCCAGCAACTGGTCTTCAGAAGCATTGCTGCCTCCAACTGTGGATGCAGAGCAGTCCTCCTGGCTAGTACCCATCGATAGCCCTCTCCTCCATGAATTTGTCCAATCCTATTTTTAAACCATCTAGGTTGGTAGCCATCACTGCCTCCATTGACAGACTGTGCAAGGTAGATCCAGGGGATTGTGAATGAAGGAGCTGCTGACTGCCTAGGCCCCTGTTCAGAAAATATCTCTGTTCCACAACTGCCAATATCATAATGCCTTTATACATATCTATGGTTTGACTGCCCTTAGAATACTGCAAACAGCTCTGGTTGCCGCACCTCAAAAGGGACATTGTAGAATTGGGTAAGGGGAAGAAAGGGGGTTGGAGCAAATTTAACTTCCCAAGGAGGAAAGGGACCAACATTTTAGGAGTTTTAGTTTAGGACTAAAAAAAAAAGTGAGTAAGGGGCAGGGGGAGAGGACAGAGGCATATAAGATCATGCATAGTGTGTGGAGAAAGTAGACTCTGTTAGAACCCAAAGAAATCATCTAATGAAATGCACTACTGGAAGATCCAGGACAGAAAAAAAAAAAAAGAAGTAGAATATCACAGAATCCGCAGTATGCAGGGATGACCACCACCTTATATGGCTTTAAAAGGGATCCAGACAAATAAATATAGGATAAGGGTATCAACAGCTACTAGCCATGATGGCAACGTGCTTCCTCCACTGTCCAAGGCAGAATGACAGTTCCTGGGAGTCTGCAGTGGCGAGAGTACGACTGTAGCACTCAGGTTCTGGTTGCAGTCTTCACATTGGGCCATCTGGTTGGCCAATGCAAGAACAGGATGCTGGACTAGATGGGCTCCCTTTGGCCTGCTCCATCAGCCAGGCTCTCCTCCTATTCTTAACAGGGCACACAATTTGCCACTACAGTAGCTGCTCATGCAAATGCCACTTGTGCAAGGGCAAAACAAGAACCAACAGACGAAAATTAATCCATTGGCCTTGCACCAAGACACACTCTGAAAATAGGAACCAAGTCTGATCAGAAAGAACAGGCTTTGGTCGTACAAGAGAGGCCACTTTCACCCTGCCTGCCTGAGAGTGACGCGGTGGCTTGGGCGCCCACAGACTCCGCGCTGCCCCAAACAGCCTGCCCACCACCTCCCCATCAGCTGTAGGACGGCTGAGTGGGAAGAGGCAGGCAGGCTCCTCGAAGGCCCCGCGGAGCGTCCTGCCCCGGCTCGCGCCGCCCACGGGCACAGGGCATGCCCGCCACCCCAGGTGCCCGATCGGCTTGCTCCGCCGCTGTCTTCAGCCCAAGCATCGCATTTCCTCAAGGGCAACTTTTTGCACCATACAGGTGCTGTGACATTAAGATTGTTAAAACCATAATGTATTTTTACATTATTAGAACATTACAAAGAGCTGGGCTGCTGGATGAGGCCAAAGGCCCATCTAATCCAGCATCCTGTTTTCAGTTGGTCAACCAGATGCCCCAATGGAAAGCTTGCAAGCAGGACCTGGTTGCCACAGCGCTCTAGCCACAGCGCTCTAACCCAGCGGCCAGTATTCAGAGGTACATTACCTCTGAAAGTGGGGAGAACATAGGAATTGTGACTGGGAGCCATCGCTCGCCTAATCCTCTTTGAAAGCCATTCAAGTTGCTGGCCATTATTGCACCTTGTGGGAGCAAATCCCATAGTTTAACTATGCGCTATGTGAAGAAGTACTTTTATTATATATTAATTATGCTATATTATGTACAATTCATATTAATTAAAGCACAGGAGGAACTCAGCATTATTAAAAACCTCACTAAAATGCCAGGAGTGTTAGACAAGGCCAAACAGATAAACAATACTTGTCTCAAGGAAGAGAAACCATTCGTCATCCTTATTCACAAAGATGTTGCAATCCCGGTATCACCATATTCACTCAAGAGTTCCACAGAGTTGTTTCCTCAGAAATTATCAGAGTCAGATGACTAAACTTGGAGATAAGAAAGCAAAGACAACTAACCTCCAGAAGTGGAGATCGCAGTCACCCAGGGGTGCCATCTCACCCTCAGGATTGTGGGTGATCGCCACCATAACGAGGACGTGCGACATCACACACTGGCACGCAAGCACAATGCACAAAGTTGCATTGCGCTTTTGGTGGGGGGGCTCCTCCTCGCAGCCAGCAAGGCCCCCTTTTCCGTGAGGAGGGGCTCAGACATGGAGGCAGAGTTTCTGCCTCTGCATCTGAGCCCCACCTCCCTGGGAAAGGGGAACTCACTTGCTGGCAGCAGAGGGTGGGGCTGAACGGCTTCTTTCTCAGAGGCAGAGCCGCAGAGGCTGGTTGGCTGCCTCTCTCTGGTTTTGCTCACTGACTTTGTGGGTGCCCAGCCCCCAAAATTATATTATTGTGGGTGCCCAAGCACCCACAGCCCCTGGAGTTGGCTCCTGTGCAGTCACCGTAGCCACAATTTCTGGACACCACAACATACGTCTTCTGAACTAATGCAGAGATACAATGGGCAGCCTCCACTGAATTGGTAATTACTGATTCTATTTTATTTCATTACTACTGTATGAAAGAAAAACCAGTTATCAGTTACGACAGATCCTGTAATGATCAGTGTGGAAATCGCAGCTGTACTCAGGATGCCACCTTTCCTATTAACCACTGTGTCACTTTTATATAAAAAATAATAACCATTTTAGGGAATAGAAGCATATTACATCATTCAAGGCTCATTTTTTCTAACTGTAATTGCTGCCTTCAATATACTTGTTGTGGGATTGAATCATCAGTGTCCTGCTTTAGGGCTGTATCCCACCAAGTTATAGTGGACCCATAGAACTTAGTGGAGCTTAGTCATGTGCATTACTTTCAATAGGCCTACTCTGAGTACAGCTAACATTGGCTGCAACCATTTAGTACCAAGTCAGATAAAACAAATGTGGACAGATTTTATTTCAGATGTCATAGAGTCACTGGAATTTGATTTCCACATCTCACTGGCCTGAAGTCTTTTAAAAACAGGTTGTACCACCTGGTGGTAGGCAAGAATGCTGCCAGGTTTGGTGGTGAATTCTATAGCAAAGAGCAAAAATGCCACAGCTTAAGGACAGCAAACCCCTGCTTCAACCAGCCATCTTCAACACATGAAACCATTCTGTATCTTCTGAAACCAATCCTGAAAACTTGAGACCAAGGAACTCCAGCTCACGGTCCAGACACATCTAAGGATGTTGGCAGGGAGACACTCAAACGGTGCTCCATCCTACCTACCTGAGCCTGCTGCCAAGTCAGTGCTTCTGGAGAAGCTGCAGCGAAGAACCAGGAATGCTGTGCAGGAAGGCACCAGAGGTCTTGAGCAAGTCCCCAGCAGAAGTGACACATACTTCTTTCCACCGGGAATGCAAAATATGCCAAGCACCCCCCAGAACCAGCAGAGCCACTCTGCAGTCAACAGCCTGGCATCATCCCCAGCCCAGAGTTGCTTTAGTGGGGAGTAACAGAATCACAGAGTTGGAAGGGACCCAAAAGTCATCTAGTCCAATGCCTTGCAATGCAGGAATCTCAGCTACAGCATCCATGACAGATAGCCATCCAACCTCTGTTTAAAAACCTCCAAGGAAGGAGAGTCTACAGCCTCCCGAGGGAGACCGTTTCACTGTCAAATAGCTCTTACGGTCAGAAAGTTTTTTCAAATGTTTAGTCGGAATCTCCTTTCTTGTAACTTGAAGCTATTGGTTTGAGTCCTACCCTCAAGAGCAGGAGAAAGCAAGCAGGCTACCCCTCTCCATGTGACAATCCTTAAGATATTGAAGGTGGCTATCATATCTCCTCTCAGTCTCCCTTTTTCCAGGCTAAACAAACCCAGCTACTTCAAGAGGTCCTCGTAAGGCTTAGTTTCCAGACCCTTGATCATATTGGTTGCCCTCCTCTGCACGCCTTCCAGCTTGTCAACATCCTTCTTAAATTGTGCCTGACTTGGTTAAAAAAATTCTTGATGATGTTTTTGTTGTTATTTTTGGAAAATTAATAAAATGTTATTTTTTAAAATCCTTCTTAAATTGTGGTGCCCAGAATTTGACACAGTATTCCAAGTGTGGCCTGGCCCAGGCAGAATACAGTGGTACTATTATTTCCCTTGATCTGGACACTAGACTTCTGTTGGTGCAGCCTAGAATGTTAGCTTTTTTTGCTGCTGCTGCATCACACTGTTGACCCGTGTTAAGCTTGTGATCCACCAAGACCCTGAGATCCTTTTCACATGTACTGCTAGTAAGCCAGGTGCCCCCCATCCTATATTTGTGCATCTGGTTCCTCCTGCCAAAGCGCAGAACCTTACATTTGTCCCTACTGAAATTCATTTTGTTAGCTTGTTCTCCAATATGTTAAGGTCATTTTGAATTCTGATTCTGTCTTCTGTGACATTAGCTACCCCTCCCAGTTTGGTGTCATTTGCAAATTTGATGAGCATCCCCTCAATTCCTTCATCCAAGTCATTTATAAATACGATGAACATCGACGGGCCCAGTACAGAACCCTGCGGCACCCCCCTTGTCACTTCTTTCCAGGATGACAAGAAACCATTAATGAGTACTCTTTGGGTTCGGTCAGTCAACCAGCTACAAATCCACCTAACAGTTGCCTTGCTCAACCCACATTTTACCAGCTCCTCGCAAGAATATCATGGGGGACTTTGTCAAAAGCCTTACTGAAACCTGCAACTGTTGGCTACTCGTGCATACTCCTCCTTTGTGATTTCCCCTTTCTTCCATTTCTTATACATGCCCTTCTTAACTCCCAGCTCATCTGTAAGCTTCTTAGATGCCTCCCACTTTTCTGTCTTGTTGGTATTGCCTGCATTTGGGCCTTCAATATTTCCCCTTTTAGAAACTCCCATCCTTCTTAGACTCCCTTCTCTTTGGGTATTTCTGACCATGGGATCACACCCAGTAGCTCCTTCAGCTTTTTTGAAATTGGCCTTTTTAAAGTCCAGAGTGTGTTGCTGACTACACTTGGTTTCCCCTTTTTTCCTGAAACCCAGGAGAACATGATCACTTCTTTCCCAGTTTCTGAGTACTTCCACTTCGATTATCAGTTGCTCTCTCCTGGTGAGGACCAGATCCAAGATAGATGAGCCCCTTGTTGGTTCTTCCACCTTCTGGGAAATGAAATTATCAGCGATGCAATGGAGGAATCTGTCAGACCTTACACTTTTGGCAGAGTTTGAGACCCAACAGATATCAGGGAAGTTGAAGTCGCCCATGATTACTATATCTCTCCCTTTTGAATGTTTGGTAATCTGCTCTAGTAAGGCATCATCCAAGTCTTCAGTGTGGCTTGGTGGTCTATAGCAGACACACACAGTAAGGTCACTGTTGTTACTCTCTCCTACCATTTTTACCCATAAAAGTCTCAATCTGCTTTTCATGCTCCAGGTCATGGATTTCTTCAGAAGTGTACACATCCGTTATATACAATGCTGCTACTCCTCCTCCTTTCTTGTTTGGCTTATTCCTTCTGAACAGGTTATACCCCTCAATTCCTACATTCCAGTCATGAGTCTCATCCCACCAGGTTTCAGCAATGCCTACCAGGTTGTATTTGCCATCCTGTATTAAAAGCTCCAATTCATCTTGTTTGTTTCTCATCCTGTTTGTTTCCCATACTCTGTGCATTTGTGTGGTGCAAGAGGCTTCAACCTCTGGAGCCCAGCAATGCTGGTGCAGCCAAGAGTGTTGTCCCTGGGCTCTAACAGCAGAACAGGGAGAGCAGTCTTTTTCCCTGCCACCCAAGCTGATTGCTGGGCATCTTTCCTGTTTTAAGCCTCAAGCTGACCAGTCGGTATTTGCCTTGTCCTCTTCTTTTATCGCTTTTGAAGATGGGGACAACATCTGCCTATCTCCAGTCCACAGGGAGCTCACTTGCTCTCCACAAATTCTCATTGATTATAGACAGAGGCTCTGAGATTACACCTGCAGTTACTTTAGTACCCTTGGCTGCAGCCCATTAGAGATTTGATTTGAATTACTTTAAAGTAGCTAGGTGTTCCTTTACCACCTCTTCCTATCTTGGGCTGCAGCTACCATTCTGCACCATTTATTATATCACCACCAAGTTGGGCGCAGCTTTCTTTCTGAGTGAAGACAGAGGCAAAGCAGGTGATGAGCAGTTTCGGCGTCTGCCACCCAGTAGCACTTCTGTTTTGTTTACACTCAGAGGGCCTACTACTTGCTTGTTCTTCCTCTTGTTTCAAACATAGATGGGGAAAAAACATTTTTATTATTTTTGACTTCACTTGAAAGCCTATGTTCATGCTGAGCTTTAGCCTATCTGACCTTCTCCATGAAAGTGTTGGCTAACCTAAAAACATCTTTACTGGCAGGCAATGTATAACTCCTCAAAAAATTAGTAAGGGAATAAAGGGACTTTTCCTGTCTCTGGTGGAAATGACCACAGGCTGCTGTATTCTCAAATGAAATCTTTCAGGAGATATAAAAAAATATTAATAAACATATTAAAATTTATCCTCTGTTATCCTTACTAAATATGTGGAAATATACCATGAAGACATTTTGCCAAAAGGAAATTTTGACATGGATGCTGTCAGCTGTCAGGATTTTTACAGCACAACAGCGGAAATGACTTAAAAAAATATGTCTATATCCTTATGGTATAAAAATATATGGAAGTTGGTTATTGCAGGAAAAAATAGAACGTACGTTACAGGTCTCTAAAGGGCTGGAAGATTCCAGTGATTTCTACTCAGTATGGTGGGATTTTATTTTACATAGTTTAGCTTCAGATTCACAGAGAAATATGGATGCCATGATCTTAGATTAGATGTTGGGGTACTTAACTTTCTCCCTGCGCATGCCAGGCCTCTTCTGTGACACACTTCCAGCTCCAGAGTTTGGAAGGGTGATCTCACTAGGGGGGTCTTTCACCTCCAAGTTGCCATAATGGCAGTTTGTGGGTCTGGGGGGCCAGGTCTTCTCTTCCCATGCCCCAAGGTATGTGCCTAGATGCACATACCGCTTATGTGCCTTGAAATGTTTTTCCTCACTCACTGCCCCAAAGAGGCTCCAAGCACCAAACCCTTTGACTCAGGGCTCCTTTTCGCCACACAGATGTCCAAACCCACAACTGTGATTTCTTTTCCTTACTAGAAAATTGTACACTCCCAAATGCATTTGCAAAAGGATTGATTCCATTTGTCTTAGGGATTTGTAATCAGAACTCCATAAGCAAGCTCTAATACTTTAATTTGGCTGCCAAGGAACAAAGGACTATTGGGTTTAATTCTTTCACAGTCATATTCTTAACCTTGTAAACTATACCCAGGTTTTCTCGTTCCCACAATTTTTACTCTCCTGCAGCGCTGGTTCAAAGGCTTGGCTTCAGCCATTATAGTCTCTGGGCAGCTCCAGATGCACTTTTCCATTTGCATTCATAATTCTTTGTGTTTGCGATGGTATTGGGGCAGTTATAAGCAGTCCCACTTTCAATACGGTTTGAGCCTACCAACAGTTTCAGGGTGGACACGCTGCTTCATTTCTGGTCAACGCATGTCCTGTAACTTCCTACTGAAATCCTTTAACTCCTCATTCCACAAACGTTCTGGTTTACTTTTTTTTGTCTCACCTTTGTTGCAAGAGGATACCTCCCAACAGCAATAAGACAATAACACTGGGGAAGTGGAACGATGTGTGTATGGTCCAGGATAAATACACCACTAATGCACAATGATTGTGTCAATGGCATGTTATGGTACACCCCCCCAAAAAACAAACAAACAGCAATCTGGAGGGGCCCTCTGTGCTCTAGCATTCTACTTATAGCTGCTAGAGTCTGAACGAGGTCAATTTTTATAGAACCACAAATACAAGCAAGCAGTAACAGAAATTCAGTAATATATTCAGCTAAAGGTAGGCCATAGGGAATCTAATTTTGAATAAATGTGCAATTAATTGTTTTGAATTTTATTATGTTATTATGGGTTCATGGATTGTGCAAGCCTCTATTCTGAATAATTATTATTTTTGTTATGTGTAGTGGGCAAATTTGGAGTAAGACGGTTGGATGGCACCCGGTATGCCTCCTTCCAGAAACTCCTGCAGTCAAGCTGGTGCCAAATGTCTTGCTCTGCTTTCCTTTGGACCACATCAGTGAGGCCAAGACAGGGGTCTTGTAGTCTGGACAGCCTAGGACCTCCATACACATTGCCCAGGCCTGCACCCCAGAAAAGTCACTTCGGTGCTGCTAATACAGCAGGAACAACATGGGAGGCAGCAGTTATGGGTTACCAGTCACTGCAGCCACAGCAGGCGCTGCCATTCTCTAACGGTTTGCCTCTAGAGACAGACGGATGCCAACAACAGGGGTAAGGGGCACTGGGGGTGAGTACATGGAACCAAGGGGGCTGTGGCTGAAAAAGTTTCAGATCCACTGATCTAAACTGTGTACAAGGATGACCCTAGAGGGGTGAGAAGTGGCTTTCCTGGACAGCAAGCAATTTCAAAATCCAACATTCCACAGAACAAAGAAGCTGGGCTTTTCCTTGAACATTCTTTTGGCAGCTCTGACATCAAAACTGGAGCAAAACATCCCACAGACTGCCAGGGCTGGAATTAATAGCTGCCTTATCTTCAGACCTATTCCTGGAAGCTGTTTGCTAGGAAATGCAAAGCAGGAGTCCGAAAGTCTAAACCAGGGCAGGTCTGCTATACCCTGTGCTTGCTTCCCTAAACAATGAAAACACCACCACCATTTACAGTCACCCTGAGGCAGCTAAGTGCACCCTCCGTGCAAGACCCAGCACAGTTCAGGGGATACAGGGCTGAGGTTACACCAGCAGGGGGTCAAAACCCAGTGCAGTCCTGGGCTCACACCCAAGTCACGGGATAGGCACTCACTCTCTGCTATCACTCTCTTTTGCACAAGGAACCCACTGACCTCACACAGCTGTTGTGATGACAGTCAGTAACAGACCATAAAAGCTATTTCCATGTAGAAGAACCGCTACACAGCTAATGAGCAACCAGTGCAGGTCAAGAGTAATGAGAAGCTGGAATTAAACATGGCAGCCTCTCCCAACAAAATGCTCTGCAGATGTTCTGGACTACAACTCCCATTGGTCCCATCATCAAACTTGGGTGGAGGTGACAGGAAATGTAGTCTAGAAACAGATTCTGGGCTCATCCACACTGACCTTTTGCCGCACTCTTTCCAGGCACAGATCCGTACTTAAATGCTCCGTGTCAGAATGTTTTCTCTCTTTTTTTTTTTTTGCCCCAGTGAAATCTTGCTCTTTAGCACTCAGTCAGAGCAAATGTCAATTCAGGTTTTCTACAGATTGCCATTTGCTCCAAGCGAGCTTCAAAGAGTGGGTTTTTGTGGTGAAAGCTCTGAGGCAAAAAAAAAAAAAAAAAGGTGTTTGTACTCAAACACAGAGCTTTAAAGTGTAGACGTTGCCTGGAGGAAAGGCAAGTGTGGATAAACCCTCACACTATCTATTTAAAGCGCATGACTTCCCCCAGATAATTCTGGGAGCTGTGGTTTGTAACGGGTGCTGGAAATGGCAGCTCTGTGAGGAGGAAACTACCATTCCCAGGATTCTCTGGGAGGAAGTCATGTGCTTTAAATGTGTATTGAATATGCTGTAATTGTACAGCGTGGATTTGACAGCTGGACGGCTTATGGCTCAAGAATGCTGGACTGGTGCATGAAGAATCTAGAGGATGAAAGAGCAGCATAATAAAGTTTCAGTGATGAGATTAACAGAAGAAATATCCTAGCAGTGGGACGGACTCTGGTCTCTCTTAAGAGGTTTCTGAGCAGGGATCCAGCAGCGATGGGCTTCTGGCATTGGCCAGAAGGGGTAGGACTGGATGACATTTGGGGCACCTTGGGGGCAAGATCTCAGTGCCCCCCCCAGAGCGCTAAACTGCAGCCAGGGGTGACAACTTGAATAAAAAATGGGGCGGGGCATAATTGATCATATGACACGGTGCACTATTTGAAGGCAAGGCTCGTCAACTTGGGGGGGCGCTGGACCCTCAAATCCTTTATTGGGATGCCGAAGACCCCACAACCCCCAGGAGTTGGCTCCTATATGGCTGCAGCGGTTCAAGTGTCGGCTTGGGGTCAAGGCGGGCGGTGTTCGGATCCCCGCTCCGCCACGGCCGGTTCCACCTCTCCCAGCCTAACCAGCCTCGCAGGGTTGTTGGGAAGACACAGAGCGGGCGGGGACTCGGGGAAAGCCCGGAACTGTGGCCCGAGCTTGCAAAAGGGCCACCTGTTGGTTTCTAGAGGGCGTCTGCAAAGGCCGGAAAGGTTTCGAGGAGAAGCCCGGGAGGAGGAGCCCAACTCGCCCCAGCAGCCCAGCCCAGGAAGAGCGCCAAGCCCCGCAAAAGAGGTTTCCCGCGGGGGCCGGAGCCTCGTCCCGGGGCCTCCGAAACACCCCCCCCCCGCGCCGCCACCACTCCCGCCCAGCGCCCCTGCGCGCCGCCTCGACGCCGGCCGAGCCCGAGGGCGGAAGGGAGGCGCGCCAGAGCCGGGGGAACCCCGAGCCCGCCGCGCCGGGGGCGCCCTGCTCCAGGGACGCGGCCTCGAGAGGCAGCCCCCGCCCTCCCCCGGCCAAGCGCCTGCTCCGCGCCCCCGCCCAGCCACGTCGAGGCGCGGCGGGCGCCGGACGGGGCGGCGAGAAGGCAGCAAACTCGGCGCGGCTGGAAAGCTCACCATGAGCCCGTCGAGTGGGATCCCCCAGCAGCCGCTTCCCGGTCCTCGGCCAGCTCCCCGAAACTTCCTGCTTCTCTCTCGCTCCCCGCCGGCGGCCGCCCCTTCCTGTCCGCCTACCTTCTGGGCTCAGGTGGCCCGGGGCGGGTCCTCTCCTCCGACGCCGCCGCGCCTCCTTCCGAGAGAGCGGCCCCAGGAGGAGCCCCACCCCCGCGACGGCTGCTTTGTGCTTCCTTGACGTGGCTCGAGGCCCGGCGGAGGCCAGTGTCTGCAAGAAATAGGGCTTATTAACAGGGATGGGCATGGGCGTTGCCAAGGGGGGGCAGCTGCCTCTCCCTGCCCCCCTAAATCAATAAAATCAGTAAAAATACAGAGCAAACTCAGGTTCTGCCATCCCCAACAAAAGGCCTGCCCCCCAACAAAAATCTTGGCTACACCCATGTACCTAGTTACAGGTAGGTAGCCGTGTTGGTCTGCTGTAGTCGAAACAAAATAAAAAAAATTCCTTCCAGTAGCACCTTAGAGACCAGCTAAGTTTGTTATTGGTATGAGCTTTCGTGTATCTGAGGAAGTGTGCATGCACACAAAAGCTCATGCCAATAACATACTTAGCTGATCTTAAGGTGCTACTGGAAGGAATTTTTTATTTTGTTTAGACCTAGGGGTTGGTTAGGTTTGCCCCCACCAAGGGCGTAGGCCCAGTGGGCGCAGAAATCTCTCCACACTGGCTTGGAGTGGCTAGGAGCCTTCCTGCCCCGTCCACACTCTCCCTGCCAAGGGCACAAGAAAGCCTAGGTACGCTTCTTTTAACACATCTTTACACTTGGAAGTCTGCAATGGAGGAGGTGCAGAACATTGTATCTCAATAAAAGACCTGCACAGAGCTTGTCTGAGGCCCAGGAGTGGGACTGTTTTGTTGTTTCTCAAACTGGACTGGAGTTCTTTAGCCCCTGTTGGCCAAGGTGTGAGCATCTCTGTTATGTACTAAAGTTCTCACCCTGGGCCAGCAGGGGGATACTGTAGATAGTTTTCACTCAGGTCCACATATGCAAATAAGGGATTGAAAGTGATGTTCAGTGATTGGATAGTTACAGAAAGTTGTTACAGTTGCGTTGTACTGGAGCTCTATATAAGCAGGCTGACTGAACCCTTCAGTTCAGTTCTGTTCTGGCCTGTGAATAAACAAGAGCTGTTTGAAGAATCACTGTGTTGTCTGATATGTTCACCCACAACTTAACAATCTCCGTCAAGGGTAAAGACACCCCACCCTCCTCCTCAGTGCCTCCCTGTTGTGAACTCCAGCAGATTGGAATCTGACTGACATGGAGCTGTGCTGGGGTGGGGGGAGAGAGATGTGAAACTTAGCAGGAAGGGACGGGTCACCTTCATTGTGCTCTAAGGCAATACAGTGGTACCTCGGGTTAAGTACTTAATTCGTTCGGGAGGTCCGCTCTTAACCTGAAACTGTTCTTAACCTGAAGCACCACTTTAGCTAATGGGGCCTCCTGCTGACACCGCGTCACCAGAGCACAATTTCTGTTCTCATCCTGCATCCTCAAGCAAAGTTCTTAACCCGAGGTACTATTTCTGGGTTAGCGGAGTCTGTAACCTGAAGCGTATGTAACCTGAAGTGTATGTAACCTGAGATACCACTGTAATGTGAACCCAGCTGCCCTCAACTCCCTACAGCCTCCACCCTATCCCATAGCAATCCAGAAGCCAAGGACTGGAGTGGGACCCTAGTTCAAATCCCCACTGAATCCTAAAGCTCACTTAGTGGCCTGGAGCCAGCTGGTACCTTGCAGCCTAACTTGCTGTTGTTGTGAGGGTAAAATGAGTGGAAGGGAGAACTGTCAACACAACCTTAGCTCTTTGGTGTAAGGTCTTGCGTCAAAAATGTGGCAGGCCTCCAGGGATAGCGAAGACTCCACTTTTCCTGCATACTGCTGCCTCAAAGTCAGAAATGGCTGGATGAGGAAGAGCAGACTTTGAAGACTGACATTTTTGGTAAAGTGCTTCACCAAAGGCCCCTTAGATAAGAATACAGATCCTCTTATGGATCATAACTGGTTGAAGAAGAGGAAGTGTAGAGTAGAAATAAATGGACAAATTAAGAAATGGGGTTCTCCAAAGATCAATATTGGGCCCTGTGCTTCTGAACTTGTTTGTAAGTGTCCTGGAGTGTCCAAGATGGTTAAAACCTTGGTTCTGGCTGCCTCAGTGGGAGAGAAGGGAGGCAGAAGGCTAACTGCATCTGCTTTGCTGAAAGCTCAGCTCCATTGGAACCTCCTACCCCTGCACTGCGCCTGTGTATGAGGTTTATTTCCCTCCTCTTCCTTCCTGTCCCCCTTTCCTTGTGTATTGCTAGATTGTAAGTCTGCAGGCAGAGACGCGGGTGGCGCTGTGGTCTAAACCACAGAGCCTAGGGCTTGCCGATCAGAAGGTCAGCGGTTCCAAACCACACTACGGGGTGAGCGAGCTCCCGTTGCTCAGTCCCTGCTCCTCGGTCCCTGCTCCTGCCAACCTAGCAGTTTGAAAGCACACCAAAAAGTGCAGGTAGATAAATAGATACTGCTCCGGCAGGAAAGTAAACAGCATTTCCGTGTGCTGCTCTGGTTCGCCAGAAGCGGCTTAGTCATGCTGGCCACATGACCCAGAAGCGGTACGCCGGCTCCCTCGGCCAATAAAGCGAGATGAGGGCCGCAACCCCAGAGTCGGCCACGACTGGACCTAACGGTCAGGGGTCCCTTTACCTTTAAGTCTGCAAGCAGGGACTGCCTTCCTCTAATAGTATGTAAGCCACTCTCCGGGAGCCCTTTTGGCTGAAGGGTAGGGTACGGCTGCTCTAAATAAATACCAAATAAATAATAAAATGCTGCTTGCCTACCAAATAAATATCAACATGCTGCCACTTTAATGTGCCTTTGCTGCACTGTGGCCATCTATGCACCTCACTGCACTGTCACACACATGGGTGACAGCAGCCACAAGACTGCCCAGTCTCTCTGTGTGTCTGTGAGCCAAAAGGCCTGCCTTGTGGGCTCAGTCTTTCCTCGAGTTGTTTGCAAGAACCTCTGCTCCTAGAAACTGACCCTTGACCATATATATGTAATTTCTATACTGCCCTTCATCAGAGGATCACAGGGGTTACAATATAAGAACACAAAAATACATAACATAGTGATTCTTTGAACCACCCTGAGATGAATGGTGGTGTACAAATGTAATAAATAAAAACCAATCAAGCCTCCCCCCCCCCAGTTTAAAAGGCCATAGGTTGTTTAATTAGCCAAAGGCCTTAAATACACAACTGATCCCCTCCCCCTTGGCTGGTGCTGCGTGTGTGACTGTGCCCAGTGAAGTGAACTTATCACCATTCCCCCCCACCCCACATTGCACGAATAAACTTCCTACAGAGAAGAAAGTGAGCTGATTTTCCTTGCCCCTGCCCCAGTGCTATTCTTCTAGAAAAAGAGGCAATGGTGCCCACCTGAGAGGTGCCAGAGCTGAGTTCCTGCGAGTTCCGGCTGAAGAAAAGCCCTGCCCCTGCTTGAGACCCTTCTAAGGAGAAGCTCCTCCCTAAGGGTTGTCTCCTGCTCTCTCTGACATTTTTGTGGGGGCTGGACGCCAGTGTGGTGTAGTGGTTAAGAGCGATGGACTCGTATTCTGGTGAACCGGGTTCGCTTCCCCACTCCTCCACATGCAGCTGCTGGGTGACCTTGGGCTAGTCACACTTCTCTGAAGTCTCTCAGCCCCACTCACCTCACAGAGTGTTTGTTGTGGGGGAGGAAGGGAAAGGAGAATGTTAGCCGCTTTGAGACTCCTTAAAGGGAGTGAAAGGCGGGATATCAAATCCAAACTCCTCCTCTTCTTCTTCTTCTTCTTCTTCCTCTTCCTCTTCCTCTTCCTCTTCACTTTTGATCAGGAACATGGAAAGAACTGACTGGTAGTCCTTTAAAAAGCATTAGGCGCTTGTAACCTTTAATTTTTGTAAATTGGTGCTGTTATTTTTTACTTGAATGTCAGATCCTGTCAGATTGTGTCAGATTCTGGCCAAAGCACTAACACTCATTGGATCCTTCCATCCAGATGGGGTCAAATTTGCTCAGCTACAACCCAGTGGAACAGGAAGTAAAGCGTAAACAGTTAAAACCACAAGAAACTGAAACAAATTGCTCAGTTTATTAGTGTAAAAAGCTTAATGGTGTTATGAAATGATAACATGAAAACGTATGGAATTTACAGGAAATAAAATTGCATAAGATAAAATGTTTGAAAATAAAGCAACTTAAATATGATGAAATTTAAAGCAAAGCAATTATATATAATTTGCATATACTAAACTAATAATTAACATCAACAAAGCAATTAATATGAGTAAATAACACAATCTCCCCAAATTTGGCCATATATGTCATGCTTTCACTTTTGTTTTGGCTTCATATTGGTTTTCTGGGACTTCATATCTGTCTTCTGAAGCCAAAGTCTCAACTAGTAGCACTGAAAGCAGAAGATTTACACAAGGTTCAAGCAGCTTACAGAAAAACAATACAGACATGTCATAGTGTTATCCATCTTAATCCATTAGGGCTTCTCTGCTGTGTGCAATAAACTTTAGTGCAGGGCATGCGGGCACAATAGAGCCAGATTAAAAAATGGGATTTGAGTTCAAAATGCTTAAGAGAACATGATTTAGATAAATGGTGTGAACTGCCTATTATGAAACACATGAATTATAGACAATTTCTTTTTATATTTGTATTGTTTATAGCACCTTGGGTGTCAGCTGAACACCCTCCAGAGGAGGGCAACCAAAATGGTCAAAGGCCTGGAAACGATGCCTTATGAGGAACGGCTAAGGGAGCTGGGCATGTTTAGCCTGGAGAAGAGGAGGTTAAGGGGTGATATGATAGCCATGTTCAAATATATAAAAGGATGTCACATAGAGGAGGGAGAAAGGTTGTTTTCTGCTGCTCCAGAGAAGCGGACACGGAGCAATGGATCCAAACTACAAGAAAGAAGATTCCACCTAAACATTAGGAAGAACTTCCTGACAGTAAGAGCTGTTCGACAGTGGAATTTGCTGCCAAGGAGTGTGGTGGAGTCTCCTTCTTTGGAGGTCTTTAAGCAGAGGCTTGACAACCATATGTCAGGAGTGCTCTGATGGTGTTTCCTGCTTGGCAGGGGGTTGGACTCGATGGCTCTTGTGGTTTCTTCCAACTCTATGATTCTATGATTCTATGAAATAGCAAATGCATGTACTTGTTGGCTGATGGATGGAAAAATAGCCTTTTCAGAATTTTGCAGAGCAAAGTCGGAAATGCAACCTGTGAGCCATCTTCTCGCACGCTGGGGAAAACAAAACCATTGAATGCATGACTGTGCCATGTGGATGGGTAAGCTGAGATTGTTGTGGGTCCAGTTGGTACACCTGCCTGCCTGCCTGCCTCCCAGCAGGCCAAGAGTGAAAGCAAAGGGAAGTAGCAAGTTGGAGCTCCAACAAAAGGTTGCCTTGCAGTGTACTGGTAAGTCCCTCCAGACAGAAGTGGCTTCTCTTCAGCGTGCCAACCAGCCAGCCCCTGCAATCAGCGAATTACGCTGCTCCTTGTTTTTCCTTTTCCAGTTGATGGGGCCCATCTGCACTATACAGTGGTACCTCGGGTTAAGTACTTAATTCGTTCCAGAGGTCTGTACTTAACCTGAAACTGTTCTTAACCTGAAGCACCACTTTAGCTAATGGGGCCTCCCGCTGCCGCCGCGCGATTTCTGTTCTCATCCTGAAGCAAAGTTCTTAACCTGAAGCACTATTTCTGGTCTAGCGGAGTCTGTAACCTGAAGCGTCTGTAACCCAAGGTACCACTGTACATTTAATGCACCATCATACCGTTTTAAAAACTCAGGTTTTCTTCCAAAGAATTCTGGGAGCTGTAGTTCATTAAGGGTGCTGAAAGCTGTCAGGAGACCCCCGGTCCCCTCATAGGGCTACAATTACTTCTCTGAGTTCCTTGGGATGAAGGGTTGATTGTTAAACTACTCTGAAAATTGTGGCTCGTTACACAGAATCTGATTCTCTATGTTGCAAAAAAAGATATGCAGCAATTTTAGAAGAAGGCTTTCTTCAATCAAACCAATCAAATATATAGCTATATTCCAGGGCGAGTGGTACCAGGCGTCCTGTGTCAGATTGGCTGTTTTCCATTGAGTTGCTATTACCATTTGTGGTGCCAAGATCATCTATAAAACCAGGGATTTTTTCCCCAGACAGAACTCAGGTGGGTGCCATTGACACCTGAGGGAGGCAATGGGAGGCATACATGATGAGTTCCAACACCTTTTTTTCTAGAAAAACAGCACTGTATAAGACTTATTCTTTTGACAATGTATCTACATTGGTATCACCCAAATATTCAGGAAATTAATTTGGACAACAAACAACAACTTACTTGGTAACATTTGTCATTTCTGTCAAAATTAAACCCCCCAAATCTTGAATCAATTGACATTCCCATCATAAATGGTAAAATGCACACATTTATTGCAATAATCAGGTGATACAAAAGAAGACATTTTTTGACATTTGCAAGGGAGTAAGATACTACTTGTGTAGTAATTTGAAGGGTTTTCCCCCAAAGGAAACTGGAAAAAATGAGATTCTGATTGCTAAAAGCTCCTCCCCTTTGGAGCCGGAGCGTCCGGATCGGTGCCAGGAGTAGAGGGAAGATCGCGGCCACGCTCCACGTTCATGCTCCCTATCCAAAGGGCTGGAGCAAAAAAAGGCTCCCTTAAAAGCAAAGGCCGCCACATTCCGGGCTTTTACCATTAGAAACGCGTGACAAACGCGCATAATGTGCTGGAACCCAAAGGGATCACCGGGAAGCAGAACGCTGGGATGTTGGAGGAGACCAGAGAATTCATTAGTCATTAGAACCATTCGTGTCGGTTTTTTAATGCCAATTTACTTAAAGACCATCCACTTCCACGCCCTCCTCCCACGAGCTCAGTGTGATCATAGCTGTCAACTTTTCCCTTTTCTTGCGAGGAATCCTATTCGGAATAAGGGAATTTCCCTTAAAAGGGGGGGGGGGGAGTTGACAGCTCTGCCCTTGATTCTCCAACTTTCCGTTTTAGTCTCGCAACAGCCCCGCAATGGAGATGAGGCTGAGAGGCAGCGACTGGTCCAAGGCCCACCCATCATGTGGGCGAGCGGAGAATACCGCCCATTGGGTTTCACTTGACGGGCCAAGGCGGCCCCCGCCCGGGAAGCTGCTTTGCTGGGCGGCCCGTCCCGCTCCTCCGCCCGGCCCGCGCAGGGAGGCGCCTCCGCGGAGCCGGAAGTCCGAGCTGCGCGGCGCTGCCTGGCTCGCCCTCCTCTCTTGGGGGGGACTCCGCCGAGCGGAAGGGCGCGCTCTCGCTCTCCCGCCGCCACGTCGAGATGGGGCCGGGGCGCGTGCACGCGGCGGGTAGGAGCGGGCAGGGGGCAGGCGAGGGGGGGGGGCGAGGTTCAGGCTCAGGCCTCTGGGGGGGTGCTGGGGAAGGGCCCCCTTCTTCTTCCTGCAAGCCCAGCTGGGGCGCAGCGCCCGCCCCCGGGACTGGCACCGCGTCTCCCCGTGGCAAACGCCCCGCGGTGGGGCGAGGAGGGCAGGCTCTGCAATCCCCTCTTTTAATTCCCCCCTGCGCAGGGCAGCGCTGGCCTTTGAGAGTAAGAGACAACCCGGGATAGCCTTAAGCTTTTTTCTGGGGGGACGCATACCCCTAAACATTTTGTGAATCTAAGTTTGGACTCATTGAGGAGCGGTGTTTCAATATGAGCAGGAAAATGAGAGTACTTCTAAACATTTTTTTTAAAAAGAAAAAAAGCACTGGCCTTAAGAGAGTTGTGTCTCACTGGTCGCCAGTCTGCCCTTTTAGCCATAGCTGTCAACTTTCAGATTTGAAAATAAGGGATCAGCAGCCTCTCCTGTCCCGGGACAGTCTACAGGATATCTAACAATCCGGGATAGCAGTGGGAATAAGGGAATTTCCCACAAAAAAAGGGAAGGTTGACAGCTATGCTTTTAGCTAGCAACCAGGATAAAGGTAAAGGGACCCCTGACCATTAGGTCCAACCGTGACCGACTCTGGGGTTGCGGCGCTCATCTCGCTTTATTGGCCGAGGGAGCCGGCGTTTGTCCGCAGACAGCTTCTAGGTCATGTGGCCAGCGTGACTAAGTTGCTTCTAGCGAACAAGAGCAGCGCACGGAAATGCCGTTTACCTTCCCGCCGGAGCGGTACCTATTTATCTACTTGCACTATGACGTGCTTTCGAATTGCTAGGTTGGCTGGAGCAGGGACCGAGCAATGGGAGCTCACCCTGTCGCGGGGATTCGAACCACCGACCTTCTGATCAGCAAGCCCTAGGCTCAGTGGTTTAACCCACAGCGCCACCTGCATCCCATATATCTTTTAAAAGCTTAGAATAATAGAATTGTAGAGTTGGAAGGGACACAAGGGGTCATCTAGTCCAACCCCCTGCAATGCAGGAATCACATCTCAAGAATCCCTGACAGATGACTATCCAAGCTCTGCTTAAAAACCTCCAAGGAAGAAGAGTCCACAACTTCCCAAGGAAGTCCATTCCACTTCATTCACTTTTATGGGGGGGGGAGTAAAGGGTTCAATAGAATACAGTCTGGGGGGGGGTCCTCAACATTATACACTCCCCCCACCCCAGCTCAGCCTGCTCCTTCCTGCCTGGGCTCTGTCCCTTGGTCACACCAGAGTGTAAGGACAAGACTTGGCCAATATGTGCAACAAGGTGAAGTAGACAGTAGGATTTGGGGGGGGGGGATTTTATCAACAGCCAGTTTGAACTTGCTGTGTGTGTCTAGCAGTGTGCTGGTTTTCAAAATGCAGATTTTCCCATTCCTTTGCCGTTGGCAACCTCTGGTCTCTTTAATTTGAGAGGCACCAGAATTATACCAGCAGAGGCTACTTTTCCTGTTAGAAGGCAGTAGCTTCCTCTGTCCCCAAGTCACAGGAAAAGTAGCCTCTGCTGGCATAATTCTGGTGCCTCACAAATTAAAGAGACCTGAGTCAAGCTGTCTAGGGCACCATCTGCATGAGAACATAGAGAGCGCCTGCTGCTGGGTCAGGGGGTTGCCTGAGGCCTCTCAGCACCCTTCACAAACTACAGCTCCTCGGAGTCTTTGGGGCAAGCCTTGACTGCTTAAAGTGGTTTGATATGGCTTTGATCAGTATTGTTCAGATTTGGGACCATCTCAGTCGTACTCAGGGACGCGGGTGGTGCTGTGGGTAAAACCTCAGCGCCTAGGACTTGCCGATCGCATGGTCGGCGGTTCGAATCCCCACGGCGGGGTGAGCTCCCGTCGTTCGGTCCCAGCTCCTGCCCACCTAGCAGTTCGAAAGCACCCTTAAGGGCAAGTAGATAAATAGGTACTGCTTTATAGCAGGAAGGTAAACGGCATTTCCGTGTGCCTCTCTGGTGCTGGTTCGCCGGAGCAGCTTCGTCACGCTGGCCACGTGACCCGGAAGTGTCTGCGGACAGCGCTGGCTCCCGGCCTCTAGAGTGAGATGAGCGCACAACCCTAGTCTGTCAACCCCCAGTCTGTCAAGACTGGCCCATACGGGCAGGGGTACCTTTACCTTTACCTTTACCTTTACAGTCGTACTCAGCAATTCTGGGATTGAACTCAGGGCTTTTGCATGCAAAGCTGATGCTCTGCCGCTGATCCATGACTCCTTTTCTCCCTCTGGGGTGCAGCTGCCATCCTCTTCATCTTATTTTTGCAGGCACTCAGCTGTCAGAGTCTCCTGCCAGCCAGAAGAGGCGCAGCAACAAGAAGGAGGAGCCTGGGCCCTCGACCCCCTGCAGCTGGACCAAGCGCCTCCTGGGCTTTGAATGGGCCGATCTTTCCAGCTGGCACCATTTTGTCTGCTTACTTAACAGGCCGACTGACCCTGCGGCGCTGGGCATCTTCCGCTTTCTCTTTGGTGAGTCCCTTGCCTTAAGAGTGCTGGCCCTGGGAGGCCGGTGTGGACTGGAGAGTGCTTGTAGGCACCTCAGAGTATTGAGATGCTTGATATCTGTAAGGATAAATCCTTTTGGCATAGGTGTAGTTTAGGCAAGATTCCAGGATGCCAACTGCTTTCAGAAAGGTGCTGATCTGTGCCCACAGCAGCAGCTTTCCACAACCTGGTGCTTCTGGGGTATTTTTGGATTACAACTCCCCTTAGCGAGTGGAGCACAGACTGCATATTTGCTATCAGGATGGGTTTAAGGTGCTCAGTTTGGTGTATCAAGCCCTTGGTAGCCAGCCTGCTACTTGAAGGAGCACTTTTCCCCATTGCTTGTCTTAAGGTGGAGAGGCAGTGCTGATCGCTGATGTAATATAGCAGGGCCTCCTTGGTAACAGCTCCCAGGATATGGAATGCCCTCTCCTTGGAGACAGATCTCCTTTCTGATGCATTCAACACTAGCCTAAAATAATAGGAAGAAGAACAGCGACAGCAGCAACATCTGGAGGCCACTAGGCTGCAGAAAGCTGATTTACAGTGTTCCAACAATTTCATACTGTATCCGCAAAGCTCCATCCCTCCATGTGTGTTTAGGCTTGAGTCCCAGTTGACACCTGAGGTTCTGCTCCACGTTACCTTCAGCAGTAAAGCTCAAGAAACAGGGTCTTTGGGGTCATGGTGCCACACATGTGGCATTCCTGTCCCAGTTGCTGCCTGTCTCTAGGAGCAAGGGAAACATCTCATCTGGATCTTCAGAAAAGCTGCTGGAAGCCCCTGTTATTGGCAATCATCATTTTCTTTAACAGAAGTAGGAAAGCAATTATAACACTAACAGTACAACATGATAAAATAATAATAATAATAATAATAGTAATGATAATAATAATAATAATGATAATAATAATGATAGTATGGCAGGTTGAGAGGAGTTCCCTACCAGGACAGACTTTGCTCGTGTGCTCAAGACATCAATTCTATAAAACATATTTTGCTGCACTGTGTGAAATATGAGCAAGCCAGGGCTGAACTGATACTACCCTTGCTGGTACCTTTCCCATGAAAATCAGAGGCTCACTATGTCAGGTTCCTATTGGAAGACCGGACAAATGCTAGAACATTAGCAGTGGTGAAGTTTTTATCGGTGGTTACAAGAACCAATGATCCCTATCTTTAAGTCTGAACAAAATGCTTGTTTAACCTGGAGGTAGGTTGTCTGAATTGTGCATTGCTTTGTAATGATTTGTTGGGTCTCTAGAACGTAATAAAGATTGATTGATTGATTGATAATAATAATAATAAACATTACAGTGAAAGTACAGTTGCTTGAGAGAGCACTGCAGAACTAGGAGGAGAACATGATGCATCTTACACAATCTTATTTGTGAACTAAGGGCCTCCAAAGGTTGAGGTGTGAGTCAGGAGAGTGGACTTGACTATCTGCCTGACTAGCAAACACCAGAAGAGGCCACCAGATACTGTCAAACCCCAATCCCATTGGAGCTGGGATTGTTTCTTTGTGGGCCTTTCCTTTCCTTTTTGCTGTCATAGAAATTTAAAAAGGGTATGTTGTTTCATTCTCTGGTACCCTCTTGTCACAAGCCATGCTGTTGGTCCTTTGAGGCTGAACGGGGAGAATGAAATACAGGTACCAAGCCTGGGGTGGGGAGGACAGGTGAGCAGGAGTGTGCATTGGTCACTTTCTTGCAGTTGTCAGGAATTGATGCTGAATTGACCCAGGCTGAAGACTCCACATATTCAGCCTCTGCAACAGCTGCAGGAAATCTTGGAAGAAAAGGCACTTTCCTTTCCAAGGGATGCTTCTGAGCACCTTGCCGCGAGTGCAGGAAACTCATCTGAGCTTGCCCTTGGGCTGGCAGGCATAAGATAGTGCCCCCTGCTAGTCCACTCTGTGTTGCTTGGTCTTCCTGATGCATCTGAAGTTTGCCACAGTTGAAGCCAGGAAACTTGGCTAGATTTATTTGATCCACCAATGCTGATGTTGTGCTGTTTGCTCATCCTCAGTGCATCATTTGATGTCCACTGCTTTCTCTGGAGCCTTTAAACTTGTGAGGATCTTCAATGCACCCTGTATTAAGATGTAAATGCATTAAGGCCTAGAAAGGGTGGTGGGTAGAGTTAAGAGAGAGCATGGCCATGTTGAGACCAGGAATGGGTGTCAAGAGCCCAAATTAGGTGGCTTTCCTCCTCTCCTCCCTCATGCTGTGTTTGTGACCTTTTGGGAGATGCTGGGTGCAGGATTCATGACTGTTTTTTCTCTGCATGTGATGGCTGCTGCTGCCCTCCTTTCATACACTCTCTGCCATATCTCTTGCAGGAGGAATGTCTGTTCCTACACGCCTCCTTCTTTACAAAGCTGCCCACAGGGCCTCCTTGCCAAACAAAATAGATGGGCTGGTTTTCCTGAGAGCTGTAGGGGAAATAATTTCATGGCGGTTGCAATCCAGTTCAGTGCCCAGGATGTGGAGGAATGCGCTGCTTTTTTAAGTTGTGGTGTTTCCCTCCTGTACTGGAGCCAGTTGGTTTTGGTGGCAGCTGCAGAGATGCCACATCCGTACCTGGCAGCAGCTTTGGGCTTCTCATTTTGGGCCAGTGCTGCTGGCCTCTCTCTTATCAGCAGTGATAGGAGACTTTGGACCTGGCTAGGAGAGATCAGGGTGTGATCCCATCGTGGGCTGCACTGGATGGTTTGTCCTAAAAACCAACAAGGTGTGTGTGTGTGTGTGTGTGTGTGTGTGTGTGTACAGAATGACTGACCTTTCCTTTGAATCACTGCTGCTTTCAATGAAAAAAAATTCTACTCTGTGTTTTGAAACTCTCTCTGAGCCCCCTTCACTCTTCATTTGTGGCGCACATCTGACAGTTCCACCTGACCCTCAGCATTTTCTGGAGTGGACTGCAGTAGCACATAATGTACCAATGTGGTGTGCTGGTTAGAGTGTTGGACTAGGGTAAGGTAAATGTAAAAGACCCCTGGATGGTTAAGTCCAGTCAAAGGCAACTATGGGGTGCGGCGCCCATCTTGCTTTTCAGGCTGAGGGAGCCAGAGTTTGTCCACAGACAGCTTTCCGGGTCATGTGGCCATCATAACTAAACCACTACTGGCGCACAGAGGACCGTGACGGAGGCCAGAGTGCACTGAAACGCTGTAAGAGCCAAGGGTTCAGATCCTCACTGCAGGCCTGTTTCCTTCCAGTGTTTGACCCCATTCCACCCCACATCATTCTTCTCTCTGGCCCTTGCTTAGGTTTGTTGATGGCCTTGGACATTCCCCAGGAGCGAGGCTTGAGCCAGCTGGACCACAAATACCTGGATGGGCTGAAGGTGTGCCGCTTCCCCCTCTTCAACTTCCTGGAGCCCCTTCCGCTGGACTGGATGTACCTTGTCTACACAGTGATGCTGCTGGGTAAGGACACTGGGAGAAGGCCAGGGAGGTGGGATGGACCAGCCCTGCAGTGTTGGCTCCACCTTGTTTCCTGGGCTTTTGGGCCTTGTTGGGTTGAGTGCGGCTGCAGAAGGTGCTCTGGGGACCTGACCTTGCCTCCCTCGCTGCAACAGGTGCTTTGGGGATCATGCTGGGCTGTTTCTACCGCCTCAGCTGCCTGCTCTTCGTGGTGCCTTACTGGTATGTCTTCCTGCTGGACAAAACAACATGGAACAACCACTCCTACCTCTACGGCCTCCTGGGCTTCCAGCTCTTGTTCATGAACGCAAACCGCTACTGGTAAGGGGTACCCCTTTGCTTTGCTTTCACCCAACAACCCTGATGTCAGGTTTTGCAGTGCCTCCTCTTTGCTCACAACATGCTTATGCCGAGTAAACACCTTTCCCAGCATTTCAATTACACAATTTCAGCTTGACATTTGAACAGCTTGTGTCAGGAGTCAGGAGCAGGTCAGCAATGAAAAAGCACCAGTGTCAGTGAAGTTAGCTCTTTATTCCAGGAAACCAAAACAGTGCAGTGATCACAGCAACTCTTCCCAGTAGGTCTTGCTACATTTGTGGCCGTTGTGAGGACTGAAGGTCCCCGCAGCCTTCCCAGTGCCTCTCTAAGGCCCTTCTTCCCCCAGTTCCTTCCAGCAGCCTAAGGCTCCTTTGACTTGTCGCTCTTTGCTCCACCCTCTTCATTTCTCTGTGTGTTCTGGGAGACCAGCAGGGAGGAGAGCTGGTCGCAGCAGGAGGGGGAGCTTCCTTGGCTTCTTCAGCAGCCTGCCTCCACTTCTGCCTATTGACCCCCCTCTGCTTCTGCTTCTGCCACAGCCTCTTCCTGCTCACTAAATCCTGTTACGTCTTCAGCTTCCAACGCATCCTCCCAGTCTGCTCCCTCTTCTCCCTTCTGACCACTTGTCATCATTCCACCACCAGTCCTGGGGCTCTGAGCCTTGTTCCCCTGGGGGTTCCCCAGCTAGTACCTTCCACCCCCCCACCCCTGCCTCCATTCAGTCCAAGACACTTGCAGGCTCTGGCATGAGGTCCCTAGGAAGTCTCCAGCAGCTGGAGGAGGAACATGAGCAGGCATCTTACTTCCTTTATCTCATAAAATTTATATGCCACTTGTTTGGAGAAAGAAACCTCAAAGCGGTTTACAAAAAAGAATAAAACAGTGAAATAATTGGTAAAAATAGTTAAAAACAGCTATTCAAAACATTTTAAAAAAGAATTAAAATAAATGATAAGCTGAAAACCAGATTAAAACACCCGTCAGGCTTGCCAAACAAAAATTGTGAAAAGTGTACAATGAATGATGTCAACAGGCAGGGAGTTCCAAAGTGTGGGTGCTGCCACACTTACAAACTACAGTGGTACCTCGGGTTACAGACGCTTCAGGTTACAGACCCTGAAATAGTACCTCGGGTTAAGGACTTTGCTTCAGGATTAGAACAGAAATCGTGCTCCAGCGGCAGCAGGAGGCCCCATTAGCTAAAGTGGTGCTTCAGGTTAAGAACAGTTTCAGGTTAAGAACAGTTTCAGGTTAAGAACGGACCTCCAGAACAAATTAAGTTCTTAACCCGAGGTACCACTGTAAATGCAAGTCATTGATATTTAACTCATAAATCTTGTGCATGTTGACACCAGCAGAAGTTGGTCTTGCATTGCAAGGCATTGGCTACATTTCACATTAAACCACAGTTGAAAATTAACTACAGTTTAATGTGAACAAGTAACCTGCTGGCACACACTGTTCAAGGGCGTCTCCTTTGCTGCTTCCCAGCTCCTGCCTTTGCCTTAGGAGAAGCAAAGCCTGTGCCTTGGCTTAGTGTTAGGTGAAAACCTGACCTTATTTCTCTCTGTGCAAACCATACGTAGTAATCCAGTAGCAACCCTTGGCTACCACTCAGGGCTTGCTTGGAGGGCAGCAAACTACAAATCTGGATTCATAGGTAATGGCCTGGAATGTGCACCTTCACTGCGCTTAGTTTGCCTATGACCAGCTCCAAACTGTGGCAAAGACAGATTCCAGATGCCGGCCTTCTGAATGAGTCAGAAAGCCACTGGAGAAGTGACTGTGGCTTCTGGGTTTCAGAAAGATTTTGTGGACCTCTTGCAAGATCTTGCCAGAAACCGAAAGCTGCAGCTGTGTGACCCTAGCAAGCAAGGCTTCAGCGGAGGTGTGGGGTGTGGGAGGCAGTGGTGGGAGAGGCGGCAGCAGTTGACAAAATTGGATGGGCCACCCCTGACAGCACCACCTTTTTAATATGTCTGCGTTGCGGTGGGCTGAAAATAATATTTCAGAATTCTTAAGTGCCATCACTCAGGAGAAGGCCTTAGGCATCCAGAATGCCTCTGGTACTGGCTAAGCTGATTTGGACCCCCCCACCTTTGTCTCGATTTAAAATGGTCCGTGGGTAGCTTCTCAGTCCCACTGGAGGCTTCTAGGTAATGCGTCTCTTTCCTTTAGGTCTATTGATGGCCTCTGGAATCCGCAGAAGAGAAACGCGCATGTTCCGTTGTGGAACTACACGCTGCTGCGCACACAGGTAAAGCGCTGCTGTTATTTCCCCCTAGCCCCCACCCCAGTATGCAGACTCCACTCAGTGTCTGCACTGATGTGTCCTCTGGAAACTGTTGTAAACAAAAATCTGCCCTTTTCCCCTTATGGGGTATCCAAGAGCCCATACAGAGTCCTTACGTAGGTTGCCTATTGGTAGGAGAAAATAACAGAGGCCAATCAGAGAATATTGAGAAGCAAAGCAGCTAGTAAGCCTGATCTTTATTGATCTGTTGCAACAGGCTCCTCACTCACCACACACAGAAGGGAGGAGAGGAACCCAGAACAATGGCGTGCAAGGCCTTATATAGACATTTTAAATTCCCTGCCCTGGAGCTCAAGACCACCCCTCCATACATCATACGTCATCACAGAAGGGGTGTAACCTAAGACCACCCCCCAGATACATCATACCTACATCACAGAAAAGGCGGTCTACAGCAGAAATCTGAGTGTGTTGTTTATCTCATCTGACAGGTTACCTGTTTAATGGTCACTTGATTGGATTGCCCGGGGAGCCTGGCCAGTCTTTTGTAATGATAAATACTTAGTTCCTGAGCCAGGTCACAGGCTCACACCCTATTCATATCTTAAATGTGCCCTTCAGACAGGATTTGTGAGGAAAGAGACAATGGGGAGGTTTCCCACTTTGACCTTGCAGAGAAAACATTTGGTCAGTTTGGGAATCAAAAATGGTTTCAGGTCGGTCTTCCTGTGCTGATCTATGTACGTGCTTGGTTGGTACACTTATGAACATTTAACATATATCTAAGACCTCAAAATTCCTATCACAAAACAAAGCAGCCTCTATGTAGATGGATGAGCCAGGACCCCCCACCCCCACAGAAGCAGCATGGGCTCAGCATTGACACTGTTGGGCTGTGACTTTCCAGGTTTGCAGGCCAGAGTCTTTCCCAGCCCTACCTGGGGATGCCAGGAATTGAACCTGGGATCTTTTGCGTGCAAAGTGTGTGCTCTGCTGCTGAGCAAGAGCTCACCCCCTTCATTGGGGGATATGTAGCGAGGTCCTTTCCTCACCTCGAAGGTAGTTTGGAGATGGGCAACCCCTTTGCTCCTGCCTGATGTCTTGTGGCCCTTGCCTGACTAGTTTGCTTCAGAATCTAACTCACAGATTCTTGGCCTTGTTCCCGAGCAGATCTTCATTGTGTACTTCATTGCGGGCATCAAGAAACTGGATGCGGATTGGGTCGAAGGCTACTCCATGAGCTCCCTTGCTCACCACTGGCTTTTCAGCCCCTTCAGGTGAGGAGGAAAGGGAGGGAGGGAGGCGGAAGCAGTGAAGGAGGAGAAAGGTCAAGGAATCACACAGGTAGAAGGTTCCAGCCGCTCCCTTCTGCATCCTAGATTTGGGAGGATGGAATTCCCATGAAGGGTCTGGCTTTAGCTAGGGATAATACTTACTAGTTTTCAATTACAATCCAATAATAACTGCATTATAACAATACCAATTTATAATACAATTATTAATACCAATTGTTCAAATACCAAATTATATAATTTAGATAAAGTGGCCCCCTGTGTGCTAGATTTGATGAATTGATTATTTGCTTTATTTCTGCGTTCCAGAATCGTATTAATTTCCAGTCATAATGATAATCCCTTATACAACAACTGCAATATTAAAAACTTCTATTCGTGTTGACACATTAAATGATTTATAAAGCTACAAGTGAGGAACTCAAATTAGATTCTTGTTCTTCCTGTGTGTGGCAGTTATTCTGTCTGTGGTGTTTCTTCCTGTCCTTGTAAGATGTTATGTCTTTCTTTCCCCCGGTTGTTGCTGTTATCCATCATGCCTTGGGCGGAGCTGATATCCCATTGTTCCAGAAATTTCTCCATCACTCCGTCCTGTGCTTCGCTGTTTTGCAACTTTTGCAACAGCTGCAAAAGTCACTGTGTCCCAATAAATAACCTGTTTTCACCATTTCCCCTCTCAGTCTGGGAAGAAGAGCGGTCTGTTGAATTGCAGATGACTCAGTAAAGAACCTTATCAGTTCCTTCGCAGTTCACAGACGCCTTTCATCCTTCCTTCCAACTGAAGATATATGATATATACTTCCAATTAAATTAAATTCCAAGTCCTCTTAGCATTATTCAGTTCACTCTGCAAATAATAAAGGATAGGGAAGAGTCGGCTCTAAGTTTCTATCATTAAGCCTTTTGCAAAATAGAGCTTCCCTCCCTTTCTCCTTTTTTTACACACACAGTTCCATTTGATACTATATTCCATATTTATAATCCAATTCTTTCATTCTCGCTTGTACAAATATAATTTGAACTAAAATTCAGAGGAGAGTTGCCGAATCATAAATGCAGAGAATAAAACTTTAAACAAACCATAGGCTCCACTCTCTGCCCACCGTCTTTTTCACCAAATGAAGTCTTATCTTCAGTTTTGTTCTGCATTTTGGGATCTCATCTCTTCTAGCACGCGCCTGTACTTTAGTCCAATTAAGCTCCAACTAACAGGAGAACCTCTGCTTCTTAATGGCGGCATTGGAGGGTTTCTGGTGGGCAAAATGTTTTTGCACTCAGCTCCTCCCTGCCCCCCCCCCCCCGCATTCCATGCCAGAGCAAGGAGATGAACTGCGAGTGAAGCCCCTTCCCCCTGTCCCTGGGGGGGAATTTGCAAGGATAATTACCCTCAATCATCCTTGTTTTTCCTTCTCTCTCTGTCATGGAGTCTGGCTCCATTAAGGCAGAGCAGAACCAGAAGCCACCGTTCGGTCCACATTTTGAAGTGAGCTGACCTCCCACCACTTCGATGAATACATGGATTGGAATATGATTATCCTTTGGACATGACCAAATTTTGTGATACAGTTCCTGGCGCAAAGAAGTGTGTGTGTGTGTGTGTGTGTGTGTGTGTGTGTGTGTGTGTGTGTGTATATATATATGTATATATGCATATATATATATATATATATATATATATATATATATATTTGCAGATTTAAAACTAAAATAAATTTAGAAATGCATTTGTGATAAAATGCATATCTAAGTTTACAGTATGATTTTGTCTTACATGGGGGTTCAGTTCCAAAGGTTCTGCATTTACATGAAAACTGCATATACCCAAACCCTTGGAACTGCCCTGCGGCTAGTGAGTGAGGGTGGGAATCTGCATGGGCTTTTTCTAAAAAAGAAGAGACTTGTGAATTATCACATAGAAATTGACATTGCTGTGCATCCCTAGTCCTGAGCATAGGCTGTTCACCTCCACCCACCACTTCTCAGTTATGCTGTGTCTTCTATCTCAGGTTGGTGCTTTCAGAGGAGATGACCAGCCTGCTGGTAGTGCATGGTGGGGGTCTCATGCTGGACTTGACCGCTGGCTACCTGTTGTTTTTTGACGCCACCCGACCCATTGCACTTGTCTTTGTCTCCTACTTTCACTGCATGAACTCCCAGCTCTTCAGCATTGGTAAGTTCTCCAGATGTCCAAACAACTCTCTTCTTCGCAAGAGGGTCAGGAGCCCTTAACTCCTGCCTTGTTTGGCTTTGGCCGCTAACCACGCTCCTGCTTGCCTGCGGGGTGAGTAAAAATCCCTTTTAGGTAACCAGGAAAACAAGTTTTTTTGGCTGTTTGGGGAAAAATGTGGGTGGTTCCTCACACCACCCCCCTTCATAGTATTAACAGGCTGCAAATTGCTAACATAGGTTCATGCAGAGAGGGAAAAAATCCCCAATTTTTTTTGGGGGGGGGAGAGGCTTTTGCAGACACTTGCAAGCCTATGTTAATGCCATTTGGGGTAGTTTGTGTGACAAACTTGGTAATAAAACTTCCTCCTCGTCTTTGTTTTTGCAAGGTGGTGGGTGGGAGATGGCAATTGTACATAACCTTAGCATTGGCCTGGTATTGCAAACATCTCCTTCTCTGGCCTCCCTGTCCCAATCCACAGAAGTCCAATTTCCTGGCATTTTTTTCTTGCCCACAGGTATGTTCTCCTACACCATGTTGGCCACCAGCCCCCTTTTCTGCTACCCAGACTGGCCACGCCACCTGATTGCCAAGTTCCCGGCCTGCTTCCAAAGGCTCCTGCCCCTTTCAGAGGCTCCACAGCCCAGCCAGGAGTGTGTGTATGGAGGAGCAGGGCAGCAGAGGTTAGGCAGAGGAGCCCAGAAGCTGGGGTTGCGGCAGAAACTGGGGGCCATCTTCACAGTGCTGTATGTGCTGGAGCAGCTATTCCTGCCCTACTCCCACTTCATCACCCAGGTGAGACAGGCCTGCTTGGCAGAAGCAGGCAACATGGTGGTGCCATGGATAGCGTTGCGTTAATTGTGTTAATTCACAAAGCCCTAAACAACATTAGTCAGACCCCACCTGGAGTCCTGGAAAAATTTCTGGGCACCCCAGTTTAAGATGGATATTGACAAGCTGAAATGTGATCAAACTGGGTGAATGAGGAAGTAAAGGGTCTGGCAACCAAGCCTTATGAGGAAGAACGGGGATGTTTAGCTGAGGAGACTAAGAGGTGATGAGATATCCATCTTGAAATATATAAAGGGCTGTCACTAGGAAGATGGAGCAAGTTTACTCCTGCTCTGGAGGGTATTGTGGGGTGTTTCTTAACTCTTGCAGACGTGCATATATATATGGGTCTTGGAGCAAAAGGTGCTGGATGTTGTCATTGGACAGACGAGATTTTCCTTGACGTGGGTCCTCTGGGAAGCAGAAGATGACGGATCTGGGCTAACAAAGTGGGAGGGACTGAGGAGGCCCCACCTGAGCCAGCGCAGTTCTTCCCATGATGCATTTCTTTCCCAGCATTCCTGCAAGTTTGAGAGTTTCCCTGGTCCAGATCTACATTGAAATATATTGGTGCAGGATAGTAACGGCAGAATCTTAATCAGGATTGTGAGGTGAAATATCTGGTTGCTGGTAGCTTTTAGTCAGAAAATAATAGTCCGAAGTGGCAGCTCAGTGCATTGTCCATGACTGTCAGGCTGGGAGGGTGAAGGAAGAGGGAAAACAAGATCCTTTCTGGGAAAAGTCACCAGATTTCCCCTCAACTCCTTGTGCAGGGCTATAACAACTGGACAAATGGACTCTATGGCTACTCGTGGGACATGATGGTCCACGCACGCTCCCACCAGCATGTGAAGATTACGTACCGTGATGGTCTCACTGGGGAGGTTGGCTACCTCAACCCTGGGGTCAGTGTTTCTTCCTTTTCATTTGCAAGGGGGCAGGGGCAGCTTTGGGCTACTTTACTTGGGCTGCTTCCCACATGGCAAACTGCAAATCAAATAATAGAATTGTAGAGTTGGAAGGGACCCTGAGGATCATTTAGTCTGCAAAGCAGGAATACACAGCTGTCCCATACAGAGATTGGACATAGGGATACATTGCATGTCAGGACAGAGGCGCCAGCTTGCGAGGGCGATAGAGGGCGGGTGGGCAACATTGCATGTGTGACATCCTAATGTTGGGAGGAGCTGGGGGCTGAGCCAAACACACGACTTCAATGGCTGGCATCTCCTCCTCTTGGCGCCACCACCAGCAGGGGCAGCTTTGACCCTCCTGCCCCTCTGTGGAGGAGAAGGAGGAGGAGGAGGAGGCCACTGGAGCTGTGCTGTGCTCGACTCCACACTTCACCTCCATGCATTTAGAACATTGGGGGGCCCAGCCCCAAAATATGGGGAGGGGCAAAAGAATTGAGCCCACAAGAGCTGGTGCCCCTGGTCGGTTACATGGTTGTATTCAGACCACTGTACCTGTGTCAGTTTTAACTGCAGGAGTGTGATGTTTGTCAAGGCTGCCTGCTATGTGTCTCATAAAATAAGCCCATGCCATGTGTGACAGATATGTAGGGAAGTGTTCATATGCTGTGTATTGCAAGTTGCTTTGAGTTAACTTTATGCAAAACAAGAAAAGGGGGAAACATGCAGGGCATATCCTGTGCCGTGGTGCAAAGCTCCGCCGCCCCCCCCCCCATTTCCCAGAGTTGTTGACCTTTTTTAAGGGGGGACAGTGCTGCCGGCAGGGCTGGAGGAGGCAGGCAGCGGCTGGAGGGTGGGGAAGAGGCGGAGGCTGGACGTGGCGGCTCCCGGCTCAGCTGGCCGCTTCGTGCCGCGGTGGCCACGGCAGATGGAAGCTCCAGGCATGGTGCGGCATGGCGGAGGCAGGCAAGGGCGGCAACTGATGCCGGGAGGCACCACGTCCAGCCTCCGCCTCTTCCCTGGCACCCTCCAGAACTTGGCACCCTGGCGTCCCGCGACACCAGGCTCTATGGGAACATGACTAATTAGTGCAAGTAATAATCATAATTGGGAGGATCACTGCACAGCCCACCCACTTCAAAGTGGTTTCCTGAGGATCTCAGGAGATGGGAAACCTCCAAATGATACTTAAAAATAATTACTTGTTGATATTTGTGGGTTTTCTGCCATATTTATATATACACACAAAAATACAAGCTGTTTCGTAGACCAAGATGCATCAATCTGGGATGCCTAACTTTCTTTTGGAATAAAAATCCAGCTTTTAGAGAAAATAATAATAATAATAATTAATAATGCCCATCTGACTGGGTTGCCGCAGCCACTCTGAGTGTTTCATCAACCTCAGCTCTGGGAAAACTACGGAGTCATCTGAGCTTCATCCAATTGGAGTGGGCGCTTTGGAGCCAGACAGTCGATAGCCCTAGTTAACCCCATATTCCAGCGTGCCACCAGGGAATCGGCTGAGAGGCCATCAGAAAGGGATAATGCATCTCCTTTGGAAGCTGTTTGGATCAATTAAGTGTCAGGGGCAGACCATTTGAATCGGTCCCACCTCCCTGCGGATGGGAAGGGTTGCGGAGAAGTCCAGTTGCACCAGGAAGTGATCTGACCATGGCACTTCTTTTGTTCCACTGAAACTTAATGTCAGATCACCCACAGAGGTAAACACCAGATCTAAGGTGTGTTCATGGCTAAGAATAGGTGGCCATATTTATTCAGAGACAGCTCAGTGGAGACCATGCTTTCCATGAAGTCCCAAGCAGCCCCTTGTCAGGCCATGTCAGCATGGATGTTAAAATCAACCAGGACCACCAAGCCAGGTGTCTCCAGGAGAACACCCAACATGACCTGAAGCAGTTTGGGCAAGGAATTCTTGGTGCAGCAGGGAGGTCAATACACCAAAAGGAATCCTGTACTGCCCCTATTGCCCAACTTCCAGAACATGCACTCAGAAAACTGTGTCTCCCTAATAGGATGCCCGGTGAAAACTAAAGACTTTCTAAAAATCATTGCACCCACCTCCTTCCCCACCCACATGATATGGGTTGCTGTGTGTAAGAGAAACCTGGTGGATAAGCAGTAGCAGAAACAGGCTCATCTACCTTGTCCAAGCAAATCTCTGTTATAACATGCTAGGTCAATTCCTCCATCAAATCATGGATGGCAGCGGTCTTCTGAATCATTGACCTGGCATTGCACAGTGTCTTGTGGGACACCTGTAGCCTTCTTGTCAGGGCCAGACCTGGAGGCAGGGATAGTCTTCAAACAACCACTAAACCTTTCTCCATAATGATGTGGTCTGGTCCAAATTCAGCAGCTGGAACAAATAATACATCTAAAGTGCAGAGAGGTGAATTTGCATGAGCTGCATAATCTTTGGAATCTTCACTTTCTAGCTGTAGAACTGTTGGGATTTTGGGTGCTGATTGCTAGACCTTGCTGCTCTTATGGCAGCAAGTCTGTCCTCCTGCCCTCCCATTCTCCTCTTCCCTGCACACCCCCACCAGCCCACCACCCTTCCTGTGTCCCAGCTGAGACTTGCATGTGTTAGGGCAGGTCTTCACCCAGAGTCGACGCTGGAGGGACCACGCAGACATGGTGAAGCAGTATGCCACCTGTCTCAGTCAGCTGCTGCACAACTATAACATTTCGGAGCCGGAGATCTACTTTGATATTTGGGTCTCGATCAACGATCGCTTCCAGCAGAGGTGAGTAGGCTGTTCCAGTGACTGAAATGCCCTTGAGACTGCTGCTTGCAATAACAGTAAAGCAAAATTGGGGAGCTTCCAGCCCACAGGCCCAATCAGGTTCCTTGGTCTTCCCCAACTGGCCAGCAGGCTGCTTTGGCCTGGCCATGCCAGCTGTGTGGCTGGTAAAGACGTGGCTGTGCCAAAACCGGGGCTGCCAGGCACTTCCTGTCATTAATCAAAGGCACCTGCAACTGTACATCAGCTGATCACTGGGGCTTTCAAAGCACAGCGCCTTTGCCTGGATGGTTTGATTTCAAAACAGGTAAGGAGAAGCAGGTCACTTGATGTCATTGTGACATTGGGTGATCAGCAGGCGGACTGTCTCTTCACCTGTCATACTTGGCCCATGGGAGGTGGGGAGGGGGAATTCCCTACCCCTTCAGTAGGGAATTATACAAGCTGCACTAACAATTCCAGTAAAATTGGAGTGCTATACAAGTGTTGAGGGATGGGGCAGCTGTTGGGGAGGGTGGGGGTGGAAATTAGGATGTTGCTTGCCATCATGCAGTTCCTTCGTAATGTCACTGACTTTGGGAAGACACTGGATAGAACACTGAAGAACCGCCTGTCCTTAAATGAGTAAGCCTCTCATAAACTCAAGCTGAGCCCATCCTTGCAAAGGAATTGAGTGCATGGAAGGAATGACAGCCATATTGGATCGGAGGAACACAGCCATGCAGGCAGAGCCCTCTTCCTTGCTAGTTATATTGACTTGACAATGGCCGGGGTCCCTCTGATTTGGGTATCTTCACTTTGCCCATGTCACTCCCCTCCTTAGACTCTTTGATCCACATGTGGACATTGTGAAGGCTGAGTGGTCCCCTTTCCAAAAGACGACATGGGTGAAGCCTCTGCTGGTTGACCTGTCACCCTGGCGGACAAAACTACAGGAGATTGAGGACACCCTGGACAACCAAACCGAGGTGGTCTTCATTGCAGACTTCCCAGGTACGTCTGTGCTGTTTGCCTTCTCCTGGAAACTGTATCCCTGTTTAAGCCAAGTCTACTCAGTACTCTTTGGCATGTTGCCTTTTGCCTGTGTGAGCAAGTTGCCTGAGTCGCTTTTAACTGCCTGTGTAGGGAAGCCATTTCAAGAGACTGGTGAATCCTCACCTGGGGGTGGTCTTGGGGTGTCAGAGCAGCCGTGGTCTTGGGGCTGCTCCTAGGCGCTCTGTTGCATTCCAGCTGCTCATCTCCCAGTTGTCCCCCATGGCAGGCCTGCATCTGGAAAACTTTGTCAGTGAGGACCTTGGCAACACTAGCCTTCACTTGCTGAAAGGGGAAGTTGCAGTGGAGATTGTCAGCACGCAGAAGAACCACACGCTGCAGGAAGGAGACAGGATACAGGTGAGGGGGAAGAGAAGCTGAGAGGCGATATGATAGCCACTTTCAAATATCTGAAGGGCTGTCCCATGGAAGATGGAGCAAGCTTGTTTTCTGCTGCTCCAGAAGGGCTTCAAGTTACAAGAAAGGATATGCCGACTAAACATTAGGAATGGCTTTCTGACCGTTTAACTGTGGAACAGAGTACCTGAGAAGGTGGTGGACGCTCCTTCCTTGGAGGTTTTTAAGCAGAGCTTGGAGGACCATCTGTCAGGGATTCTTTAGCTGTGATTCCTGCCTTGCAGGGGGTTGGACTAGATGGTCCCTGGAGTACCTTCCAACTTTACAATTCTATGGTTCTGTGAGGGCCAAGCTGAGCCTTCACAATTGGAGAGCAGGGGAAGGGAAGCCTTTTCCAGCCGCGTCCAGGACCACCAGTGATCCTGATGCTCTGCCCCAAAGCACAAAGGAAAGGCAATGGGCATCTAACCACCTCTCGACCACCTCACATCCCCCGAGCCCACTGAAGTATTGGAACCTTCACCCCATGCGCAATACTTGCATGCACTGCTGAAAGGCCAAGGCTTCATGGTCAGGCACATGCTTTGCATGCAGCAGGTCAAAGGTCCAGTTGCCCAGTATCATCTCAAACAGCAGCAGGGCTGGGAAAGACCTCTGCGCTCCTGTGACCCAGGAGAGCCACTGCCAATCGAGGGAGCAGCACTGGCTCAGATGGACCACTGCTCTGTCATTTATACCACATTAAGGGCTTGTCCACACTTCCACTTGTCCTGTGCCTAGAAAGGATGGGTCTGAGTGGTCTTCTGCTTAACTGAATGCTTTCTAGGTATAGGCCTGAACACTTTCCATGGGAAAAGCCTCTCTTGAGAGTTAAATCAGTCAATGACCACACTAAACTGCTGCTATATCATAAAAAGCTGACTATCTCAACTTCAATATAGCCCATTTTCTCTTTTGAACTGAATATGGCCCCTCTTGTGCCTTGTGAGAACTCAGAATCACAAATACAAACAAACCATGACCAAAGGAAATAGTTTTGAAAGTAGTAGGAGCAGAAAAACTTTACAAAGCAATAAAGGTGTTTTGCTCTAGGCTCTCGCCTGGTCAGTCATAAACAGGCAGTCAACATGCTTGGAGGAACCTGCTCCAGCCCTCCTCTGCCTCATAGCACCCCCACCCCAGTAATGGGGAGTACTGCCCATTTTGGGAACCCCTGCTGTGGATGGTGGGGCCCAAGCAAAATGAGGCCAGGGCCCTGTGTTGATATTCCAACTTTGCTCTCTTCCTCTTGGACACAGCTGCCGCCGGGGAAATACCACAAAGTCTTCACAGTGTCCCAGGAACCGTCCTGTTACATGTACATGTACGTCAACACCACAGAGGCAGCTCTTGAGCAGAACTTCACTCGGCTGCAGGAGTTGCGGGAGAAGGTGCAGAATGGGACAGGTAAGGCTGAGCAGTGGTTGGGGGGGGGGCAAATGAACTGGGGGCCTCAGAAGGTCTTCCGGCTGCACCACCGGCTGCAGGGCCCCAGCCTCTGCTGACACAGTCCTCCTCTATTTCACGCCTGCTGCTGGGACAGGCCAAGGACTGGCCTTGGGCTCTTCAGTCCCAAGCGGAAAGTTCAAGGGGCCTTCAGGTGCTTTCAGAAGAAATCATGAAAACCTCCTGGTTTCTTCCATCCAGTCCAGCATCCTGTTCTCACAGGGCACAGCCAGATGTCTGAAGCAGAATTCCACAAGCAGGGCAGGAGTGTAGTAGCCTCTCTCACCTGCTCCCAAACTCACACAAACTGCCTCTGAGGTGAAACATAGACATTGTGGCTAATAGCCATTGCAAGCCTTAAAGGTAAAGGTAAAGGGACCCCTGACCATTAGGTCCAGTCGTGGCCGACTCTGGGGTTGTGGCGCTCATCTTGCTTTATTGGCTGAGGGAGCCGGCGTACAGCTTCCGGGTCATGTGGCCAGCATGACTAAGCCGCTTCTGGCAAACCAGAGCAGCGCACGGAAACGCTGTTTACCTTCCCTCCAGATTGGTACCTATTTATCTACTTGCACTTTGACGTACTTTCAAACTGCTAGGTTGGCAGGAGCAGGGGCCGAGCAACGGAAGCTCACCCTGTCGCGGGGATTCGAACCGCTGACCTTCTGATCAGCAAGTCCTAGGCTCTGTGGTTTAACCCGCAGAGCCACCCACATCCTCCATCAATTTCTCTAATCCTCTTTTAAAGTTTGTGGACATCACTGCCACTAGTGGGAGTGAGTTCCATTGTTTGACTCTGTGCTGGGTGAAGAACTCCTTTAATCTGTCCTGAGTCTTCCCACATTCAGCTTCACTGAATAACCCTGAGTTTTAGTATGATAAAACTCCCTGTCCACTTTCTCCACACCAGAGATAATTTTATACAACCTGCCATGTCTCTCCCTCTCTCTCTCATCTCCCCTCCCTGCCAAGTCCCAATTTTTTCTAAACAAAAAAAGTCCCAAACACTGCAGTTTTTCCTTGAAGAGGAATTACTCCATGCCCGTGATCATTTTGCTTTCCTTTTTCTGAAACAATGTCCTTTTTTGAGGTCCAGCACCTGAAACCACATAGAGAGTATCCCAAGTGCAATCGCACCAGAGGTTTACACGATAGCTTTATTTCATTTTCAAGCGACTCTCAGTCTTCTGATACTAAATCCTGATATTGCCCCCCACCCCCAGAAACGGAGCCCCTCCCTCCGGAGCTACAGCCCATCTTGGACAGCTCCATGGAAAACGTGACGCAGGTGGACCCTGTCGTGGAGGCCTTTCTCCGCCGCCAGTGGCGCATGGAGGAGCTGCAGAAGCGCCGCAATGCCACGCTGGCCGAGCGCTTCCACCGTTTCATTGCCAAGAAGTACTTCGTATTCCGCAGGAGGTGAGAAAAGCCTTCTCTTTCCGCACAACGTCTGCCCATCCCTGCCATTTCTTGCTGGCTTAACCTGGTCCACTTTCTGGCTTTGGCAGCTGGATGATGCTGTGAGCACCCTGTAGTCTGGCTGCCAGGGTGACTGAGTCCATTTATTTACTTCATGTTTTTGATAGCCTGCCTTTCTTCCAAGGTGGGATTCAAGGTAGTCTCCAGCGTTTAAAAATTTTGTTATAAAATACAAAGTAATAAAAGAAAACTAGTTAAAACCAAAAGTTAAAAGGCATCAGAACACATTTAGAGCCAGCAGTTAAAATATACAGTGGACGCTCGGGTTGCAAATGTGATCCGTGCGGGATGCACGTTCACAACCCGCAGCGGTGTGTCTGCGCACACATGGGTTGTGATTCAGCACTTCTGCGCATGCGCGACTGCCGAAACCCGGAAGTAACCCATTCCAGTACTTCCGGGTTTCGGCGGTCCGCAAGCCGAAAAAACGCAACCTGAAGCATCTGTAACCCAAGGTATGACTGTAGTCTGCCCTGACAGCAGCCAGTGATCAGCATTGTCTGCCCCTTGGTTTTTAAAAAAGGCCTCTCTAAACAGGAAGGTCTTAGCCTGCTGGTGGAAGGATAACAAAGAGGGAGCTAGCCTCTCTTGGGAGGGAATTCCACGGTCTGGGAGCAGCCACAGAAAAGGCTCTCTCTCTTGTCGCCTCCCAGCTGTGCCTCTCCTGTTGATGGGACTAAAAGAAGGTGAGCTCACCCAGGCAGGTTCATATTGAGAGATAGGATATTTTGAGTAATCTGGTCCCAAGTCATGTAGGGCATAACCAGCACTTTGAATGAATGAATGAATTTATTAATACGGTCACAGACCAGCGTCAACACACACAATATCACAAATCATTTAAAAAAAGAAAAAAAGAAAAAATATCAGAAATGCAGAGGACAATATGAATATAACAAGGATTTAAATATAAAAATTAAAATTAATTTTTAGCGTGCCCCCTGTAATTAACATTTAGGGGTTTGGTCATTATGGGATACCACTTGCTTCCTGCGATTAATTGCAGACGCACAGAATTTGGCTACATTTAATGTAGTCTTGGGATTCTTGTCCTCTAGCAGTAGTTTTAAACTATGGTGTTCCGATTCTTTCCTGGACTTTTGCAAAACAGGTGTAATAAAAGTCAAACGTATATCCTCGTAAAGACGACAACGTAATAGTACATGTGAAGCCGTTTCAACTTCCAACGAGCCACAAGGGCAGACCCGTGCTGTGTATGGTTTACCCTCAAATCTGCCCCGAAGTAAGGCAGAAGGGAGAACGTTGAACCTGGCGAGGGTAAAAGACCGTCTGTATTTGGGTACCTGAAGACCTGACAGATAGTTAGCTGGAGAGAAACCTCTCCCATGCTCCCATGGAATTGTGATTGGAAATGGACTGGTAGTTGGCAAAATTGTTTTAACAAGGGAGCAACATTCAAAGGGTCGTTTGTTTTTCTGGGGGTTCCTCTTCACAGTGCCAGTTTGTCTTAATGTTTTAGAAAAGGCCCTTCCCTAGGCACACAGTCTATGGTGGTGAAAATGCACAGCTGGGGAACTAAATCCTGACCTCCCCTGCAGGCCAACTTCAGGCTGTGGGTGGGGCCACCCACCTGTCCGTCACCAAATGTGATGGCAGCAAGAGAACAACCTCAAGGGGGTTCTGCTCTCTCGGCGCCCGTCACCTGGCCTGCACTGAGAGCAGTCTCACTGGCCGAACCAAATGGGGAATGCTCTAGGGCAGAGCTTTCCAAACTTTTCAGGATGGTGACCCACTTTTTAGACATGCATCACTTTGCGACACGGTAGTTCAGTTTTAGTAGGAAACCGGAGGCTAAACTAAGAGCATTTGCTCGACACACCTGCACATTGTAGCTAACGTGTCATGGCACACAGTTTGGAAAACTCTGCTCCGGGGCCACAATGTCATATGCTGATAATCATAAAACAAAACAGCAACAACAAAACCCTCAAAACAGTTTACAAAACGGATAAAACAATAATTATAATTACCAGCAAAAATTAATAAAAATTAAAGACTTTCAAAACGTTAAAATAATAATATATTAAAGTATATTAAAACACACATCACCTTTCTAAACTTCAGCATAGGCTTGTCTAAACAAAAATGTTTTTAGCAGGTGCTGAAAAGATTACAGTGAAGATGCCTGCCTGGTATCAATAGGGAGGGAGTTCCAGAGTGCAAGTGTTAGAATATTGAGTTCTAACCAGTGTGGAAGGGGTCTTATGTGGCACCTGTAACAGGGTCAGTTCCATTGATCTAAGCGGTTGACTGGGCATATACGGGGTGAGACGATCTCACAGGTAAACTTGTCCCTTGTTCTAAAGGGCTTTATATACTAATAGTAACACCCTGAACTTTGGCAACTAATGTAGATATTTGAGCAGAGGTCTTATATGCTGACAGGGTTTTATCCCTATCAGCAACCACGCTGCAGCATTCTGCACTAACAAAAGCTTCTGGATTAAGTGCAAGGAAAGCCCCACATAGAGAGCATTGCAGTAGCCTGCTCTTGAAGAAGCCATATGTGGTGCATGCGGACATTAAACTGATGAGGTGAGTTCTTTCTGTTTCTCTGCCTTCTCAGCCTCCTGATGACCTGGATTTCTCTGCGGAACTTGTTGTTGGGCCGCCCGCCCCTGGAGCAGCTGGCGCAGGAGGTGGCCTATGCCAACATGCAACACGAGGAGGTCCGGACACCCAGCAGTCCAGACACCATGCCAAAACAGCCAGGGCGTTCTGAACTCTGAGCAGCAGCCGTCGCTACCTCAGGTGCCAGCAGCAGCAGCAGGGAGGCTCTTGCAATGGGGCCAAAGGATGGGAAACTGGGGGAACAATCTGAGCGTTCAAAAGAGCCACTTGCTGGACTTCGTGGCTTGCCCTCTCTCCCTTTTCTGGACTTCTGCTCTTCAGCCAAGGCTCTTGTACTGGCTTGCTGAGATCCACTGCCTCCTGCCCACCTCCACTGGCCTCTGCCGTCTGGAGACTGGTGTATTAAGGGGCAGTGCCCCACCAGTGCCCTCCTCCTCAGTCTCACTGTTGCCTGTTGTAGATTCAGAATGGAGGAAGATGATGGGGACAAAACCAGCATTAGTGACAGAGATTTTCACTGTCCTTTTAAAAACACCCAGAGGTAGCTGCTCTCTTGGTCCAGAAGAGAAAAAACTCCCGTATCCACAAACTGGGCAGTGCATTTGCAGGACCAGTGAAAATGCTGCAAAAGAGTGAGCAGGTTTTCGAGGTTTCTAGAGCTGTTCATGAACCTGAATGTTAAGCCAAACTGTGAATGTTGGGAGTTTTCCCAGCATTACTACCTGAGATTATTTTTCAGCTAATGTTGGTTGAAGTTGAAGGGCGGGGGGGTTGCCAGGCAGTGGGTTGGCTGGGCCTGATGGGAGATGTAGTCCAAAATATCTGGAAGGGTATTAGGTTGGGGATGGCTGCTCTACCACTTGAGCTCTGGACACACAGAGTTGCAATTTCACACAATTGGAAAGGAACTGGAAACCTTCACTGCCGTCTGGGTATCTATTACAGACGGGCTTACAGTAGGAGTCCTCAGGTCTGTCTAAGAGCCTTATAATTAAGTCTAGAAAAGAGAAGGTTGTGGCGAGCTCCAGTGTGACCAAGACAAAAAGTGTTCAATTTCTATTAAAAATTAAATTTTATGAACACGTGTGTGTCATTGATTGTCTTCACTGCCAGAGTTCTTCACTCACCCTCTTGAGGGGTGGTTTGACAGGGCTGTAGGCAAAATTGCCACTCTGGGTCTTTGTGGCATCCGGATGGGTGGCTTGGCTCGTGGCTGCCATCCCTGTGTATACTCTGACTCCATGTGTGGTTCCTACTAGTGGCTTATACCTCTCCTGTTGTGCGTGGTAGGTGTCTGTGCTGTGTGCATCCCATGGCAATAGTTGCTTCATAGTACTTGAATTCAGGACCACCCAGTGAAATTGGACTTGGAACAGAAGGGAGGAAGGACTTCTTCAAACATTGTCTTAACTGAACTCCTAACCATGTCCATTCAGAAGTAAGTCTGTTGAATTTAAGGAGCTTCCACTCAGGTAAGGGGTTAGGATTCCCACTATGGGAACTGAGTGTCACGTTATGAGATGACTATTGGCTTAGATGGCCTTCAAGGGGGATTGGACAAATTTATACCACCTGTAACTCTCCACCATTTGTGTGCTGGGTTGGATGTTGAAATGAAGCTAAATGGTAACCTATGTGAGAATGGAATGCTGATTTTAAGAAACAGGTGCATATTTCTGGAAGCAAAGACTGTCAAAGGGGAGAATAATAAAACCCAAGATGGTGAAAACACTGCTGAACACTGCTGAGCGAAAATTACTAGATGAACAGCTGATAGATTTAAGAGCTGTGTGAAATGTTAAAGGAGGTTAGATCAGAGAAATATGAGACTAAAGAATGCACGGGACCTGTGGGAAAGGTGTTGATCCAGAACTGCCTGAAAATGAAAAGGTAAAGGCAAAATGGACGACAGCAGACGTTGGAATGGAATGGACATCCACACAGCTGTCTGGAGGACTGGATCAGACAAAGAATGCTGTTGTGCCTCTGGGAGAAGTGAATGGAATTATGAACAAAAGCAACTGGAGATGACAGAGGCTGAGAGAGAAAGAAAAAGCTCCCAAGATTTTTGTGCCTGCCTTGGCAAAAGAATGTGAAAAGGGGGAGGGGGGAGGACTTTTCCTTTTTCCTTTAAACCAGGATACAGAATATGGCCAACAGGAAATGAGACTGAAATATATAATTGTTACATACATAATTGGCAGACACAGAATTAGAAGCCCTTCAGTACTTGTTCTATCTTTTCTATGATTTTCTATTTTCATTAACTCTAGATTTACATTTTGTTTTGTAATTTGAAGTTCTCTGTCTTGGCTAAAGGAAGATACAGGGAGGTGATGGACCGAGAATGAAGGGCCTTGCATGAAGGGCAGAGGAGAGAGGGTCTCCCAGGGTGGGAGGCCGGGGGAAGAGGGGGAAGCTCCCAGGAGAGAACTGAGAGGCTCACTCTTCTGTGTGCAAAATAAGGGTAAAGATTTAATTTTGATAAAAGGATTTGTAATTTCCTTTTGTTCATCTCTTCTGTCTCTTCTTTATTTCTTTCCTTTATTCCTTTTTCTATTTTTCTTTTCTAGATTAGTGTGATTTTTTATTGTATTTTATGTTGAAAACTTTGAATAAAAAATGATTTAAAAAAATCAATGGCTCTTCCCTGAGAATTATAGCTTTGTGAGATTTGAACTTGGAGTTTTGAACTGGGACTGCCCATCACTTAATAGTTACAGGTAGGTAGCCGTGTTGGTCTGCCATAGTCGAAACAAAATAAAATTCCTTCCAGTAGCACCTTAAAGGTAAAGGTACCCCTGCCCGTACGGGCCAGTCGTGTCCGACTCTAGGGTTGTGCGCCCATCTCACTTAAGAGGCCAGGGGCCAGCGCTGTCCGGAGACACTTCCGGGTCACGTGGCCAGCGTGATGAAGCTGCTCTGGCGAACCAGCACCAGCGCAGCACTCGGAAACGCCGTTTACCTTCCCGCTATAAAGTGGTACCTATTTATCTACTTGCACTTGGGGGTGCTTTCGAACTGCTAGGTGGGCAGGAGCTGGGACCGAAAGACGGGAGCTCACCCCGCCACGGGGATTCGAACCGCCGACCATGCGATCGGCAAGTCCTAGGCACTGAGGTTTTACCCACAGCGCCACCCATGTCCCTTTTCCAGTAGCACCTTAGAGACCAACTAAGTTTGTTATTGGTATGAGCTTTCGTGTGCCAGTATTGGGGGGGGGGGGTGTTCATTTGCAAACCAGAAATTTAGGTTTACAAAAAGAAGATTAACACGTTCTGACACAACAAATCCACTTTCTTTTTAAAATCCTTCTTCAGTTGGGAAAATGGCAGAGAAATTGAACAAAAGGTATAAGATAAACAACTGATGAGTGGAAAGATGTATAACCTTCATGCAAGCAAATCAAGATGAATGTCCATTGGGCTATAATTTCCCTGCCAAAAAATCTGAATGCTTGCTCAATAAAGATGGGGTATCATCCAAGCTGCGTGAAAGTAAATCTAGGAACACAGGGAACTGTTTTATACTGTGGTTCCATTTAGCTCAGTATTGTAAACACCGATTGACAGCAGCTCTGCAAGATTTCAGGCAGGAGATTCTCCTGGTCCTGCCTGGGGTTGAACCTGAGACCTTCTGCATGCAAAGCAGCCCTTCCCTAATCTTCCTCAATAAACAGGCTGCCTGGAGGAGCCTCTCATTTTGCACTTCTTTGGCTTGCCCCTGTCTACAGGTTTGTTTCCAAATGTGTGGCTTGCGGCCAACAATCTTCACTTGCTTCTGACTCTGAGGAATCGCCCTGGACCAGTTTGCCAGGATATGGCTGATATTAAGGTCAGGGGGATGTAGGACATGGCATTTAAATTCTTGTTTAGGACAACAGTTGCGTTAGATGTAATAGGAAGGAGAGCTTCCTTCAAAGTCAGGCTGTTGCAGCTCCAGCAGGTGCTGCCTGGACAGCGGCTTAAAGCTACCACAAAGTGCGCAGCATTTTCTTATATCCTCACCATAACAGAGCTAATTATGTGGTGTGTGGCAGCCTGGCCAAATGAATCATCTGTCAGCTGTGAAAGCAGATCCCAGAACGAAACCACTTTCACAAGGGGATTACAAAGCACAGGAAATACAGGTGATTACCAGCAGGTGCCTTTGATACCTACATCCGTCTCTTCCTCTGGCCCTTTGAAATGACTCTGATATGCTGCAATTAGGGATTGCTGGGAAGAGATGGAGGGTGGCTGCTGCCTTCCTCCTCTCCTCCTACTTTGTTTTGAAGTTGGGATCAAAGGGATTTGGAGTGTCTGGGGGGTCTGGAGAGGAAGGAAAAGCGAGAAGATGCTGCTATAAATAAGGCTGAATTCTCCAAGGTGCAGCTTAACTCCTTTAGGTGCGAAAGGCAATCAGTGCCTTATTCTGACAAGCAGCAACCCACAGGTTCAAAATACTGGGGTGAAGGATGTGTGTTGCTCAGTGACTAGGAAGGAGAGCGGAAGGTGCTTTGCTGTCTTCTAGGGAATATAGACAATACTCTGAGTTGGGAATGGAGGTGAAGTTTCTGCTTGGGATCACTTGCCTCTGCTCCCCATTGACTGCTATGGTTCTTGACTTCAACACCATCAGGGGCTCAGCTGAAGTATCCAGCTCCAAAAAGGTGAGCACTTTGGTGGGGGCTGTTTTTCAAGTAACATTTGCCAGTTAAGAGCTCCAAGATAATAAGTAACAGGTTACTCATGATCTCTGGACCCAAAAACTCTGCAGGCTATATAAAATGCTACAGACAGCTGCAAAATCTGCTTATCCAGCAATTGGAAGAAATAATAATACTAATACTAATAATAAATAATATACTCTGCCTATCTGGCTGGGCTGCCCAGCCACTCTGGGAGACTTCCAACACACTGTTCTGTAATCCTCTGACAATAGAAGACTGGTTTTGGGCTGGGGGGGAGGGAAGGTCCTCTATAGAAATTATTAAAATGATATAATTTAGAAGTGCATTGAATGAGCAATCAAGCATGCTTTTTTGGAATGATTGTTGCTATTTGTTATGTTCTGAAATGATTAATTCGATTTGTTATCTTTCTATGCTGCTTTTCAGTCAAAGCGGCTTACAAACAATAAATAACAATAACAAGTTAGAACATCGCAAATACAGCATAAATCATATACCTTATTTTTTACTCTATAAGACTCACTTTTTCTCTCCTAAAAAGTAAGGGGAAATGTGTGTGCATCTTATGGAGCGAATGCAGGCTGCGCAGCTATCACAGAACCCAGAACAGCAAGAGGGATTGCTGCTTTCACTGTGCAGTGATCTCTCTTGCTGTTCTGGCTTCTGAGATTCAGAATATTTTTTTTCTTGTTTCCCTCCTCCAAAAACTAGGTGCGTCTTGTGGTCTGGTGCATCTTATAGAGCGAAAAATACGGTAATTAACAAATGATCACTGAAACAATTACAATTTCTAACACAGTTAACAAAGCAGCAACTACAAAATAAGCTCAACAACTAAAAAGCAAACCAAACATCACAATTAAAAGTAATATAATAAACAAAAATCAAGACACCACACATCCCTATAATCCCTGCAAACTTGTAAATATACTTTTTTTACTAAGTTAGTAAGCTAAACAATTGTGCAGTTGAACATCAATTCCACTAGTTAATATTTTTCAATTAAAAAAAAAAAGTAAAAAAATATATGGATGAGGTTAAGTTTGGCAGGAAATACAATTGCAGCCAGAACTTCCATATGCTGATCTGGAAGTTTAGTGGAGCATATTTCTGACTCGGAAGAATCTAGACTGGGCTGGTACTGAGGGTGTTAGAAACTGATGTGGATTTATTGAATGCAGTGGTAGACTGAGAGCAGCCCCAAACTCTGGTGGCTCTGACAAATTGCCTGTTATGATGCAACTGCTGTCTCCTGCCCGTTCCTTTGGTAGAAGGGACCTTTCAGCGGCATAACTTGGGCTCCTGCTGGCTGTTAGATGAGTGCAGGTGTGAGGAACCTCTTACCCAGACTGTCCTCAACTGTGACTCCCATCAGCCCAAGCAAGCACAGGTAGCGCTCAGGGATGATGGATTCAGCAACATTTGGAGGGTCAAAGGTTCATACCTGAATTAGTGCTTGCTAACACAAAAAAGTGCCTGGGCATAGGGTGGGGAAGCAGCTTGTGGCTGATCAAGTTCCCCACCCTGGAAAATCTGATAAAATTAGTGGCATCAGCTTTCCAACAGGTAATGTACTTTCATTCTCCACATCTTGTCTGGGCTGAAAACTATTCTAGTGGTACTTGAGCAGCTGAAACTTAACTTCCCTTTCAAAGAGCTGGAAGCCCCTCCATCGCTTTTAAACTACAGCCCTGAGGCAGAACTCCTTGTGCCTAACGCTCCCCGTGTAGGGTTGCCCAGCCTTTCCTTGAACAGGATTCCATCACCTCTCCATGCTGCTAGAACTGTTTCCCTTCAATCCAGCTTGCAGTTTAAACTCATGACATCTTGCTCTAGATCCTCTTCGGATGTAAGGATCTAAGGAGCAATGAGCATTGCAGTTCTTTCCAAAGGCAAGCCTTCCGCTGTGCACACAGAAAGAAGCACCTGAGGTGGAAATGAGGGCCAGCACAACACATTATGCTGCCTGTGATGGACACCAGAATAGCCTGGCTGGATCAAGCCAAAGGCTCATGTAGTCCAACATCCTGCTTTCACTGTGACCAACCAAATGCCCTGAAAGCAGGACCCGAGAGCATCAGCACTTGCCAGTGTGGTGTAGTGGTTAAGAGCAGTGGACTCGTAATCTGGTGAACCGGGTTCGAGTCTCCGCTCCTCTACATGCGGCTGCTGGGTGACCTTGGGCCAGTCATACTTCTTTGAAGTCTCTCAGCCCCACTCACCTCACAGAGTGTTTGTTGTGGGGAAGGAAGTGAAAGGAGAATGTTAGCTGCTTTGAGACTCCTTCGGGTAGTGATAAAGCGGGATATCAAATCCAAACTCCTCCTCCTCCTCTTCTTCTTCTTCTTCTTCTTCTTCTTCTTCTTCTTCTTCTTCTTCTTCTTGCCCCACGTGATGCTCAGCAACTGTTACTCAGAGGCATTTGCTGCCTCCAGCAGGGGGGTGACCAGGTGGCACCCCTCCCCAATTCCACACGCGGAAGCAGACTGGACATGCAGTTGCAGACTGGGGTGGGGTGTAGGAGAAAACAAGCTATGTAGCAGACCTCTCTCTTTCCACCAACAGAGGAGGCCTAGCCAGCAGTTTTCGAAGGAACTGCCTGGCCCCAGCATTTGCTGCCCGAGGTGGTTCTCATTTGCAGGCCTGGTTGAGACTGTATTGTAGCTCCATTTCTCTCTCTCTCTCTCTCTCTCTCTCTCTCTCTCTCTCTCTCTGGACCCTAACATGACTGTGTCCTTTTCTCCACAGAGTGCCCAATGCTTCACAGACAAAGACTGCCCAGCTGGGAAGTTCTGCAACAAGGCCTGGGAAGAGCTGCCCTTCTGCGCTGCTTGCCATGGGCTACGGAGGAGGTGCCAACGCAACACCATGTGCTGCCCAGGGATGCTATGCATTAATGGTAAGCAGTGGCTGCAACAGCAAGGCTAGGGGAGGAGTATGTTAGATGTTCCTTGCCTGCATTGTTTCCTAGCTAAAAACCACATTTAGATATGCTTTTATTTAATCCATAATTGCACTTGTTTTGCTAAATTGTTGGGCTCCTTTGGGAGGAAGGGACAGAAATCTGAATAATGCTACTATTGATTGCATTTATTTACTTTCTCCAAGGAGCTCAAGGTGGTGTCCATGGTTCTACCTCTAGTCATTTAATCCCCACAACAACAGTGTGAGGCAGGGTAGGCTAAGGGGCAGTGAATAATAGCCCAAGGTCTTCCAGGTCCTAGTGTAACCACTGCACTACACTGGCTTTATTTTTGAATGGGACCTGAAAAACATGGGAGAAATATCTGCAGAGCAACCTGTAATGTAAGAAGTCCGTCTACTAATTACTGCTAAAGTCTGGTGGTGGAGGGAGTGTACATGACGGCCTGTGGTGGTTCAAGCAGGAGAACCACTTGCGGGGAGAGGGGCAATGAGTGAGGCAAATGTCTAAGGTTAGAATTCCCCATCAAGAGCGGAGATGCTCCACACGACCACATTATATAGCGGTAATGTGGTTCTCCAGAGGTTGTTGCACTCCAGGGCCATCAGTCCCAACCAAGCATGAGTAATGGTTGGGAATGATGGACATTGTCTCCCAACAGGGTTTGAAGGGCCACAGCCAAGCTTAGCTGCACCAGTGATAAAGAATTGGTAAGCTGTGCTTGATATGGTTGGGAAATGGGTACAGTGTCCTAATAAAGAGGGGGAAACCTACAATTCCAACTTAAGCTAGTCCAGGAGTTGCCAAACTTTTTGGACCAATGGGCACATTTTGGATTTTAAGAGATCTGGGGTGCCAGTTACAAAATGGCTGTTGAGGGTGCATGACTTAACACAAAATCAGATGGACAACTTGACATCTTGTGGTTGGCATAAGGTTCTTAGAGGTGGCTCTGTCCTGCTCGTCCTGATTGTGGAAACCAAAAAATACTGTGGTTTTTTAATGTGTACCCACAGCTGATTAGATCCTGTTGCTGCCTAATGGCAAGAGGGAGCGTTCCTCAGTACCAGGAAAAATATACCACACTCATGCTTACTTCACAGAAATTACTCAGAAGGTGCCACACATTTTGCTTCACCACACATCATGGTTGGGCTGGCACCCATTGGTTAACACAAATTCCATTTATACATCACTCATAAACATATCACACACACATTGACATGAGCAGATGTGCAGGCAACCACACAGAACAGAAGGCACTGGAATCCATTTGCATTTCTGGCCCCATCTGTCTCAGATGACTCAAGATTGCAGGCCCAGTTTCTAGCAGAACTTGGTGCCCTCCAGATTTTTTGGACCACAACTCCCATCAGCCCCAGCTAGCATGACCATATATGATGTTGTGCTTGATGGGGCTGCGCTGGCCAGGGTTGATGGGAATTGTAGTCCAAAACCCCTGCAGAGCACCAGATTTAGTCCCAGAACCAGGAATGGCTTTTGTCTAAGACCTTTTGTCCGAGAGCCAATGTGGTATAGCAGAGTGTCAGACTAGGACCTGGGAGAGACCAGGATTCAAATCCCCACTTGGGCATGAAGCTCACTGGTTGATGTTGGGCCAGTCACTCACTCTCAGTCTAAGCCACCTGACAGGTGGGGGGATGAAATGAGGAGGGGGAGAATCATGTAAGCCACCTTGAGCTCCATAGATGAAAAGGTGGGGTATAAATGGCAGGGGAGACCTTAAAAGAGCAGCTGCCAGTTGCAGGTAGAATAATGCCAGGCTAGATGGACCAGGGTTCTGACATGGTATGACAGCTTAAAAAATATATCACTATTCTCTTTCCACTCAGAAGTGTGCAGTCAGACTGAAAAGACGACTCTCGTTGAAGAAAAGAAGTGTGAGAAACAGGCTGGGTTGAGTTCAAAAGCTGCAGTCCAGTGCCTGGTTCCAGCAAGCAACGTCTTGAAGAAAGGAAATACTCAAACACCAAGCAACAAAGGTAAGAGAAGAAGAAGTGGCAACAGCTGTGCAGCTAGGAATAGGGATGGGTCGGCCTTGGGTACAGTGCTTGCCTCCTCCTGCCTGCAGGCAAAGGAAATCAGGTGACACTTCAGATGTGTGTATGGGATGCTAGATATGGTTTACCCTCTTAAAGTTTGTTTGATAATCCTAATTACTGGCCTTCCCTAGCATCTCTATTTAACTATATACCAGGCATGTCAAACTCCCAAGAGACTGCGATCTACTCAAAGTATAAAAAGACTGGCTGTGATCTACCCATTGTCATTGCCAGTAGTTGTTGTTGAGCTTTTTTTTTGGGGGGGGGGGAGGCAAAGTTGTTGAGTTTTTTTAGGATGTGCAAGGTTGGTTTTAGGAGGAGTGCATTAAATCAATCGCTCAACGGTCAGCTCACCTCCTGACTTACCAAACTCTGCTACCAACGCACGAAAATAAACCTATCAAAGCAGCACCGCTGGCAGCAGCGAGGGAACATAGCGCCGGGGGCAGGGCGTGTCCCGATCACAGCAACAGGGAGATCACATACTAAACTACTGTGACCGACCTGGGACACCCCCGCGGTCGACAGGTAGATCGCGATCGACCTGTTGGACATGTCGGCTATATACAATCTGAAAGATGAGCCTATTTATTGCAGTCAGCGAAGACGTTGGGTCAGAATTTTTGCATTCTCCATAGCTGACCTGGGCAGCAAAATGTCTGTATAGTAAAAATGGGAGGCAGTCAGTGGGCCTGTCAAGTCTTGTTTATCACAGTTTCATCCTGCCCCCCCGCCAGGAGCTCAGGATGCTTTTATGCCCACAAAACCTGGTGAGGTAGGTTAAGGGAGGAGATTGGCATAGGGTCACCCAATGAGTGGAGACTTGACGCCAGGCCTCCCCAGTCTTATATCCAATGCAGGGAGCCTTGTACCACACTGGCTTGCAATGCAAGCTACTGAGCACTAGCAGAGAATCATGTAACTTGTAGAGTTAGAAGGGATCTCTGGGGGTCAACTATTCCAATCCCCAGCAACGCAGGAATGCTCGAGCCAGAACTAGCCGTGGGCCAAAGAGCAAAATGAAGACTATTCTTATTACAATTTATTACCTGCCTTTCTCTCTAAGAACCCAGGGCAGGTTACAACAATTAAAATACAATATTAAGAACAGCTTAAAGAACTTGCGATCACAGAAACAAGATGGTTCCTAAAAATATACAGGTTGTGGGAAAAGTAAGTAAGTGCTTAAGACACATTTTCTGAAAGCTGTCTAGTGAAGGTGCCTGATACAGCTCTGTGGGGAATCCCACAACTTGGGGCTGCCACAGAGGAGGCCCTCTCAGGACCATGACACAAACTTCAGAGGCCAGTGGAACAACCCAGAGGACCCTCTGTGCTTATCTTGGCACCCGAGACGGTCTGTGGGGAAGGAGGCTGGAGGGTTAAGGGAAATAGAACATGAGAGCATAGCTTAGCAGGGCCAGCAGAATCAGAAGTTCCTTTAGTCTCTCACCCTTGCCAGTTTTCTCCTCTGGGCAGAGGGAGAAGGGCAGGTAAGCAAGGTAGAGGCAGTACCTGCTGCTGCTGCTGCTCCTTGCTCCTATTTGCCCACCCATCCACCTAGGGAAGATCTCGCCACTCCCAGGGCCTTGGAAACTGCCCTCCCTTGCTGACCCCTGCCTGGCAAGGGTCCTCTTGGGCTATGCACGCTCTCAGCTGGATTTCAATTGTGCACCATTTCCCTGCAGTTGAAGAGGGCGAGAGTTGCCTCCGCACCTCCGACTGTGCTGTGGGGCTCTGCTGCGCTCGCCACTTCTGGGCCAAGATCTGCAAGCCTGTTCTCAAGGAGGGCCAGGTGTGCTCCAGACGAGGACAGAAGGATGGCTCTCAGGGACCCGAAATCTTCCAGCGGTGTGACTGTGGCCCAGGACTGTCTTGCCAACTGCCACTCAGTGGAGAGTCCCAGCGATCCCGCTTACGAGTCTGCTGGAGAAACTGACGTCACGTTTATCAGTCAGCTAATATTGGAGTCCTCATAAGCCAAAGATGAACTCCACCCAGTAGGAAATCTAAATCCCCAAACCACATATATTTGCCCTCCATACACTGCTGCTGCTACTTTGTAGGGTAGATAAATGGCTCCCTTCAGATGGGTTGTTGCTCTCCCTGGTGTGCGCCTTATTTTAGCTTTTGATACTTGAACTGGGCCTGTTTTAATCAAGAGGAGACTTCAGTGTTGACACTCAAGGTGCTAGCCTTGGCCTTTTGTCTGGGATAGAGTAGCTCAAGAATCTCCTCTTCTATAAGCTTGACTTTCGGTGGTCCCACCATTGATGGGAGGTTGGGTTGGTGGGACAAGGGAGCCCTTTTGATTATGTCACCCGAATGACAGAATGATCTTCCCAGATATGAGCTTTTCAAGCAGGAGCATAATGCGGTTCTGTTTCAGCAGTCATATTTTTAAGTGAAGACCTTTTGCGATTTATCGTTTCATTTTTTAAATCCCTCCTGTGTACAAACATTGCAGTGGTAGAAACTTGGTTATGAATATGTTGATAAAGACACTTGGCAGTAGAAAATTGTTGAGGAGTTGTGGCACATGGGCAAGAAGCTGTTGTATACTGCTGTAAAACTGCTTTTTTATTTTTTACAAAAGTGTTGTACAGTACAAATTTTATGAAATAAATTATCTGTGCATGGCAAGACAGGTGCAGCAGACTTTTAGATGACATGGAATGCATTTATCACTTGTGTGAAGCAAGGATGTGCTTCTGTAAGCATCCTGGCTGCATTTCCTTTGGATTCAGCATGAACTCTAATTTTCCAAACTGACAAAGAGATGGGGTTAATAAAGGAGAAAACAAAATGAACACAAGACCTCTTGTATGTTGATGGAAGTGACTAGACTTCACCTACCTGTGAAAAACAAAAGGGTAGTTCTAAGCCATGCAGGAAGGTTTTTGGTTTCCATAATACTCTGGTTTTTGGTTTCCATAATACTCTGGTTTTTGGTTTCCATAATACTCTGGTTTCTCTTCACATTGAATAAATCTTTTGCCTTTTACCATAATGTGCTATGTAACATCCAATCCTTTTTGTTCTGTTTACATCTGTTGATTTGTTATTTGTCATGAGAGAAAAATAATAAAAAAAGAAAAAAGAAGTATATATATCTCTCTGTCAAGTCAAAGGGACAGTTCTGACCCAGGCATTTAGTTGGCAGAACTTCCACATGTGGACACCAACTGAAACTTCCTTCAGCCCTGGCAATGGGCTGGCTTAGGTGGCACAGAGCAAGCCGTGTGTGGCACTGGAAAGCAGCATTCGGATGCTCAGGGTGGACACCAGAGCAAGGAAGTAGTTAAGAGCTGCCAAGGAGGTCCATCAAGTAGGGCAAGGTTGGGAAACATGTCCTATCAGCCGCAGTCAGCACAGCCAACGAGCAGAGGATGCAAACTGCGGTCCAGCAACAGCAGGAGGGTCATGTGGTCCCCACCCAGGAGCAGCTGCTGCCAGGCATTGGAAGGGACTCTCAAGGGTCATCTAGTCCAAACCCCTGCAATGCAGGAACTACAGCTGAAGAATCCCTGGCAGATGGCCACCCAACCTCTGTTTAAAAACCTCCAAAGAAGGGGAGTCCACCACCTTCCAAGGTAGTCCGTTCCACTGTCAAACAGCTCTTACTGTTGGAAAGTTCCTCCTAGTGTTTAGCCGCCAGTGTGGTGTAGTGGTTAAGAGCGGTAGTCTCGTAATCTAGGGAACCAGGTTCGCGTCTCCGCTCCTCCACATGCATCTGCTGGGTGACCTTGGGCCAGTCACACTTCTTTGAAGTCTCTCAGCCTCACTCACCTCACAGAGTGTTTGTTGTCGGGGAGGAAGGGAAAGGAGAATGTGAGCCGCTTTGAGACTCCTTAGGGTAGTGATAAAGCGGGATATCGAATCCAAACTCTAGTTGGAATCTCCTTCCTTGTCATTTGAATCCACTGATTTGGGTCGTTTTGAAAATGAAGTATGGGCAAAATATGGTCTCAATTAGATTGTTCCAGTGAATTGAACGAAATAGAGTTGCCTTTGTGGACAATGCTTTTTCACACCCCACTTGAAAGAGAGGTAGAGGCCATAAGACGGTATGTATCCTGGACCACTTGCAAGGTGAATGGTGTGAGAAGGGTAAAGTTCATTCAAGGATTCTGATTCTCTGTGTATGCACAACTGAAACTGAGTACTTAGGGCTAGGGAAAGCAATATCTCCTTTATTTTAGATGCAAGTCTTTACCTCTGAACTACCACCTGCCCTCCAGTCAGTCAACAAACCTCTGTGTTTGTACTTGAATGCTGAGTCACAGCGCTGGGCTTCAGCTCCCAAGCCCCTACTTGCTCCTCTAATTACATTTTTTGAAGTTGAACTGCTAATTAGTGCTGTGTAGCAGACCTCAGACTGCTATGTGAAAGCCTTACCTTTTCACTTGGGTCAAAATACATCTCTTAAGCCAGATCTGGGGAATCTGAAGCTTTGCAGAAAGAAGGTAAGTCACAGCCAATATACACCAGCTAGCGTTTTAATTCAGCACACACTACTGTAAAGTTCCAAAGACATTTAAAAACGAACCACACACTCACTTCCCCAACAGGATTAAGCAATAAATTACAGTCTCAGGCTAGATTGCCACCACCTCAACCTAAGAAATTAGCTTTTCAAAGCGCCTGGGATTGGGAGAGCAGTTATTCACTCCGCTCCTTTGGCTCGCGATACTTCCACTGGATGTAGTCAAAGATGTCCTTCTCACTGTTGACAAGGAGGGGCTCCCCAGCAACTCCTGAAAACACACACAGTGCAAATGGGGATGGGTGAGTTAAGTCCACTGGTAGGAAGGCGGGTTTATGGCAAAGCACTCCACTCCACACCCTCCAGAGTTATAAAATCAGTATTATGTGAACAGTATAGAAAATGAATTGCATTTCTTGTGGACACAAATGCTATTTAGCAAAAGCAGAATCAGCAACAGATCAGCAGGTCGTGGAACCAGCTCTGTTAGAGGGTAACACTCCCGAATGCAAAAAGTGAGGACCAGGGTGTGGGTGGGTGTCATGGAGGGGGGACAGGATACAAACAACAAAGGGAGGGGTCACAGCTCGGAGGGAGAGCATGGGCTTTGGATGCAGAGTTCCAGATGAAAAATCCCTGGCCGCATCCGCAGGCAGAACTGGGAAAGGCTTAGGCATGAAAACCTGGAAAGCTACTGCCACTCAGTCCAGGCCAGCCTTCCCCAAGCCGCTGCCTGCTAGATTTTTGGACTACAATTCCCAGCAGCCCCTGACAGCATGGCCAATGGTCAGGTATGATGGGTATTGTGGTCAAACACGCCCTGGAGGGCACACACGCTGGCAAGGCTGGCACAGACCAGTGGTTCCCCAACTCCACCCCCACCAATGGACCACCTGAAAATTGTTGATGATCTTGCTGCCCCACTTGGGGATTTTTCTGCCTGTTGCAGCAACTGGGGTGGGCCGTGCTAGATGCTGTATCATTTTTACCTGTTACTTTATGGATTATTTTATTTCTTATATATTGTATTCCATAGAATTCAAATTGTAATATAATCATATGCAGTATGTAAGAAAAGAAGCAACAGAAACACAATTAAAAATCATTTTGGATATTTAATGCAACGAATGTGCCATCTCCTGCCTTCAATCACAAACCCCCAGACACCTTCAGACCACCAGGATAAAGCTGGTGGGCCACTGGTGAGCCATAGACCAGTTTGGAAGCCCTGCTGCTAACAACCTTCACCTAGAAGGACCAGCAGTCCAGGGAAGTGAACAAGCCCCTTCTTCTGGACACTAGAAACATTCCCTTGTCCCTACCCACCATTTTTCTTCACTATCTCTTTGCAGCCACGAGAGCTAGATGTTTATTTCCAGGAAACAGACAACGGAACCAGAAGCCAAGATTTATGGCACGGTTGCAGTCGAGACAAAGAAACACAGACAGCCTCAAATCCATTCCCTAAAAGAGCAGATATGAGCACTCACCGGTGATCCCCAAGGGCCGGATTGTGTATTCATTGAGGGTGAAGCCCATTTCCAGAGCATGGGTTCTCATGTTCTTATTGAATATGTCGCTTCCAGTGAAGTACAGAACTCCACAGTAATACTGATCCCTGGGAATCAACCTGCAGAGCAGAACCAAGAGGGGAAGCACAATAAGAACCTAAGAGAGCCTGCTGGGTCAGATCAAAGGGCGCCCACCCCGTTCTCACAGTGGCCACCCAAATGCCCCAATGGGAAGCCTGCAAGCAGGACCTGAGCACAAGAGACTCTCCTCACTTGAGATTCCCAGGGGAGGAAGGTCACAGCCATCCTGGCTAGTAGCTCTTGATAGCCTTGTTCTTCATGAACTTGTCCAATCCTCTTTTAAAGCTATCTAGATTGGTGGCCATCACTGCCTCTTGTGGTAGCCAGTTCCATAGTTTATGTGCTGTGTGAACAACTCTCTTATTTGTCCTGAATCTTCCAACATTCACTGGCAATGAATGGCTCTCTGTCATGTGCAAGAGCTTCCTGCAGCCAATCAAAGCCCCACTTTGGTTTCTGAACGTTTTGGAAGTCGAACAGACTTCAGGAACAGAGTCTGTTTGACTTCCAAGGTAGGACACACACACTCTCTCTCTGTATTACTATTTATTCCACCTAGCGTACCAGTGCAGTTACCAGCCCCCTGTCCTCCTTGAGATTTACCTGATATCAATCCTCCTGTAAGGGTAAGCAGTTTCCTCATCTTTGCTTGGGAGCTGACACACTCCCTATAAGTTAAAGAAAGAAAACGTACATACATACATACATATAGATATACAAAGCAAGGAAAACACCAAAAATCATTAGGCACCCTTAGAGCCCGACACCTTTGATCAAGCATGCTGCCCCCAGTGTACCCCATACCTGGTGTCATATGACAGAGACTCAGTGTAAAAGCTAAACAGCTTGTGGAGCAGCTTCCTCCAGAGCAGAATTTCCTACCAAACAAAACCCTTCCAATATGGCTGGGATTGTAGTTTTATTTTGCAGGTAAACCTACACTCTTCAGTTCAGCAATTCTTTGGCTTCAAAAGAACCAAATGGTGATTTTCTGAAACTGTTCACGAATGCTGGGATCTGGACAGGAGCACTGTGGATCTCTGGGGTGGTTGGGAGAAGCTGCTTACAAAAGCAGGATGCAGGGCCGCTTGTTCCAGAGATCCATTTGGACAGGTACAGGCAGCAACCGCAGGATCACAATTTTTGTGCCCTGGAGGGCCAGCTAGGTTTCTCCCACACATGTACCCATAAAAGTAATAGGTATGGAACAGCATGTCAGTTGAAACAAGAGTTTGCAAAGATAAGTTAATAAAAAGGGGGGGCACGTTTCCACACCCATCACAGAACATGCATTTTTTTGGTCAAGATTTAGGACAGAGGGCTCAGTCTAAATGCAGCCATTTTAGCGCCACTCACAATTAAGACATTGAGAACAAGATATCTGAGGCCTGCGGAGACACACCTAAACTGGATGTGAAACTTGATAGCACACATCCGGAGCAGGAGAACACTTGATGGTCTCTCTCCAAATAAATGATGCTTTCACCTTGTTCTTTGTGGCAAAACCCACATCAAAGGGGGATTAAGTATCTGCATCCTGACAAAGAATCTGCTGCTGAAACAAAAAACCTGAGATTTTCTGCAGCCAAAAAGTCTTTCCCTACAACTCCACACAGCTGAATTTCATAGGAACGTTTTAAGGAAATGCACTTCCGCCCGAGGTCAAACATGAAAGGGGGTTTCCTTGACTTCAATACCGACATGGAATTTTAAAACTTGCTAACATTTCAAAGAAGAGGCAAGTCTGGGCTCTCTTAATTTCTCATGGCTCATAAATTGGCATTCCAATTGTCAAGGACTAAAGAAAGGAGGCGAGAACTCAATTACTTGGGGTTCTCTGTCTTCTCCTCCTGCAGGTTTGAGCATCTTTCAAGACACGCGGAATAAAAACACTCACCATGAACTTGGTGTCTCCCTTCGAAAGCGTATCTGTAATGAAGTGGATGTTTTCCAGTTGCTCGACCACTTGATGCAAAAGCTTTGGCTTCAGAAGGAATAATATTTGTCATCATTGAGTAGATAACAAAACACACTTGTAATGTTTATTCAGATGCCTCACAAACTTGCCGTCAGAAGGAGTCTAGAAACTGTTTCTCCTCCTGCACAGAATATTTGAGGGCTGCTGGGAGGCTATTCTCTTGGGAACAGCAGCAACAACTTAGAGCCTCTGCCCTGTTGAACGCTCTTTTGCCTTGAAAAGGCCTAGTGCCATCTTGTTTCTGGCGCTTACTACGACTTTTCACTCAAACCTTCCTAGATCAGTTGTTAGTTATGCACTATGTTGCATCTCACTGGTCACTGTGAAATCTGAAATGCATTTTATGCTGTTTTATCTTGACTGCTGGCAGGCTATGCCTTTTCCTCCTTTAAGATTGATAGGTGCTAAGCGGTCTAAAAATATTTTCAAATAACTAAATAGAGAAGAGGGACAGGGCAAAGTCATTTTCCTGCCTGAGGTGGAAAGACTAAGGACAGCCTCACAACCACTAGAAAGTTCTTCGGCACAAAATGAGAAACTTGTTTCATAGACTTTTATGTAGCAGATCTTCCCAGTGGAAGGTGTCCACAATGGAGCAGATCTGTCTGTTGCCGGTGACTCTACTTGTTTTTGGAGGCAGCTACAGCAGCTTGCTTTCCCTCTCTGTATAGGGCAAGATTTGAGGCACCGAAGAAAATTGTTCTTGCTAAAACTAGGGATTCTGGTTGCCTTATGACTGTGTTAGGCAGCAGTAGCCAACATGGTGCCCTCCACTGTTGTGAACAACTCCCATCACCCACGACCACTGACTGTGCTTGGGGGTTGGAGTCCAACAAAATCTGGATGGCACATCTGTTGGTTACCCCTTGTATTAGGGATTGGGAATAAATATTACTGCAGGGCAGACTTAGGATCTGTCCTGCCTCACCATTCTCAGGCTGGGGCTGTCCTGCCTGTGCAACTCATGAAGTATTATGTTTGCACACCAGTATTTGCTGCTTTTTTATGAAGTCTGTAATCCAAACTCATAAATATATCTTCTGAGTGGTTTTTTAAAAATGTAATAGACTGCAGAAAGCACCTGTTTGGAGGATTCTGAAGTGAAGTTTGGATGGGTCAAAAGAATATCCATATCCCCACTTGATTCTGCACCTGTCAAAACCAGAGTATAAGAGAATAAGAATCCTGCTTTCCAGCCAAACCTAGAAACTTTGTTTTTATTTCCTCACTTCTACCCTTCAGCTCTGCTGTGGTCTGCAAGGTTTAGTTAGATCTGCAATTGAGGTAGGTAGCCGTGTTGGTCTGATGCAGTCGAAATAAAAATAAAAAGTAAAAAATTGTCTAGTAGCACCTTATAGACCAACCAAGTTTGTTCTGGTATAAGCTTTCGTGTGCATCTGAAGAAGTGTGCATGCACACAAAAGCTGATACCAGAACAAACTGAGTTGGTCTATAAGGTGTTACTAGCACCTTATATATTTTTTTTATTAGATCTGCAAGTTTTACAAGTCCCACTTCTGCCTCAGTTAAGTGACATAACTAATGTTGGGATCTCAAGCATGTTAGATTTTTTTTCCAGACTAATAAATACTAAGCAGTGTAGAAGTCACCAAGAAAACACAAATAAAATCAACAAAGTTTTTAAAGACAAATATGCAGAACAAGATTACATGTTCTTGCCCCAGTCAGGCATTACAGAAACCTCAGAATTGTGCCAGAGAGGACACAATGCCCCACAACAACTAACAGAGACTCACCTCGACGGAAACTGCCACACACTGTAGCAATATACGTGGGGTCCACTTTCTTTACCTCGCTCAAAACGATTTCCTGTTTTGGACAAAAAGAGATCAAGTGATTTGATCTTTCTTCCACAGACCCCTCCTTGCCTTTCCCCTCAATGAGGAAGATGGTGCTTTTCTCACCTGCATCTCTAACATCTCTTTCCGAGGAATTCTTTTCTCAAAGTCTTCAAAGTACCTGCACATGCAAAATAAATGAGGATAAGGAAGCAGCAGTGACTGTGTTCCTGGGCGCACCAATTTTCAAGTTCTTTTGAAATTTAAATCCACTAACTCTTATAAATCCCTCCCAGTTACACAGTGCAAATTCAGGATTAATTCAAGTACTAATTCGCATATGTTCTGCTTTGCTGCCCAAGTTTTTTTACTGCTGTTTTACAGGGTGTGTTATATGGATTTTTGTATGGTTCCTACTGGTAATGCATTGTTCTCTGAGATTGTTGTGCTTAGACTCTTCATACAGCAAGTGACTAATACCAATATTGTGTCAGCTTTAGAATAAGTATTCTAAACCTTCTATCATCTGATAGATATAATATGCTAAAGCTACTGTTTAAAACAGAATACTTCTGACACAGGCCAAGCAATATGCCGCAGCAAAAAATATCAGTGATACATGAATGCTGCTTCTCAACATGACTTTGTTATAAACCTTCCTTTTTCAACAAGCCTTTTATGGGGAGGTTTTTATCTCTGTCTGTATCTCCATTGAATTTTGAAACTGTTTTTATGTGTTTCTATTGTTGCTTTTTTAATTATTAATCACTTTGGGATATTTCATTTAATTTATGATTCACTTCCCACAAAACAAATAAAATAAACACATCTTTGAACTGGTCAGCAGCACTACTGCCCATACAATGAATGTTTCACTACTAATGGCCCATTTTGCAAGTAATTCAGTATCACAGAATTTCAATCAAGAAACCATGGAGGGCAAGTCAGACCCTGACCAACACTACAAACTGCTGAACAAAGGTAGCTAAAACTTGCATAGAGATTAACATTTGGCAACAAATGAAAAATCTACCATGGTGTTGCTTCTGAATGTATATTAAAAAAGCTCTATGCAAGTGTGCCATCAAATAACTATAAATGTCCATAACTGAACCTTTAGAGGAAGAAAATATGCAGGTCTTACTTCAATCCAATTCGCTGATGATGGTTCAGTTTGTGCTCATTTTTTCTTAGATCTAGAAGGAGCAGAGTAATGAAATCGGTTAAGCATTTTATTAAATGACTATCTCTTCCAGATGAAGCATTTACCAAGTGACTGTCCTGATTTCCTCTCAGAAAACTTGCACAGAGGCTATAACCCATCATAGTCAAATGGCTGCTCTCCTGAACAAATTACTGTATTTACCCATCACTTTTCTGACTACAGAAGTCCAATCTTTTTCAAAAGTGGATTTGTTGTGTTGCTCTTGCTATTTATATTGTACTGTGTTGTTGTTTTATTCCTTAAAGTTGGCTATGAAAAAGTACTCTTATGACGCAAAGGGCACACGGAGGCATCTCCTCATGCAGGCCTGTGCAGTCTAGAAGCAGCCCTCAAGAGAGGAGGAAATGTTTGGCACAACTTTCTTGGCACTGGATATATCAACAATCTGGGATCTCTGGATTGTGATCCCAAGGAGACGGACAAAAGGGAGAAGTGGGTCACAAGCCTGATTACTGCAGAACCAATTTGGTTTCTCCCTCAAAATGTAATAGCCCTTGAAATACAAATAGTTACTTGCATTAGCTTTAGAAAGAATATTCTCCAAAATTAAGTAAATAAAATAAACCAATCATCAGCTATAGAAACAAAGAAAAACCACCCAGTTGATCTAAATCAATTTAGCCAGGGGCAAAAAATCCAACTTGTCAGCCCAAAGCGGTCCTGAACATTAAAGTTTTATGCATTTCTGGAAGGCAAAAGAGAAAGACCTTTGTCTGAGCAGCTTCTGGTTGTAATTCAGATGGCAAAGACCATCCTAAGCATGAGGAAGCCATTGGTGGGGGCAGGGAGGGGGCACACAGTGTAACGGGAGGAGGAAACTCACTTCAGTTCCCTCAGGCCAGATATGAAATGGCAGGTTAGAACATATAAAAACACAGCAACACCCCACCCATCACCCCAAAACAATAATTCACATACCAAACACCAAAGGACACCAAAAGAAATCCTTCAGTTTTCAACAGATAGGGGTAAAGAGGGGCATCTTCAGCAACTGATAGAAGCTGTCAAGTGATGGTGCCAGATGCTCCTTCAGGGGAGGGAGTTTCACATCCTTGTTGCTATCGCTACGCCCTCTCATCAGCTGCCATCCCTCAAACCCCTGAAGGTGGCAGAACAGAAAGGAGGGCCTCCTCCACTGATCTTGATCCCTGGGCTGGTCTAGGGTGATGGTATTGGGAGGGAGTATTGGACGACGGGGGAGATGGATAGGGCAGCAGAGCTATAGTTGCAGAGTCCTCCTAGCCCTGCCTAGGCATTTCCAAAGATGGAGGCATGTTGGCCTAGCAGATAAGCAGCTTGTTCTCTCAAACCAGAGAGACAGCCACAGCGGACTCACCTTCCAGAGTTTTAATTCCTTCGTCCACAAACTTCCTGGCAGCCGCAGGCCTACAAAGCAACAAGGCTGCTCATCACCAGTGTGAAGCATAACATCTCATGCAAAATTTCACTCCATGAGGATTTGTCTGCCATGAGACAGATTGCTGACCCAGTAATAATAATAATAATAATAATAATAATAATAATAATTTATTAAATTTATTATTTGTACCCCGTCCATCTGGCTGGGTTTCCCCAGCCACTCTGGGCGGCTTCCATAGAAACCAAAAATACACTAAAATACCACAGATTAAAAACTTCCCTGAACAGGGCTGCCTTAAGATGTCTTCTGAATGTCAGGTAGTTATTTATCGCTTTGACATCTGATGGGAGGGCGTTCCACAGGGCGGGCGCCACTACCGAGAAGGCCCTCTGCCTGGTTCCCTGTAGCTTAGCTTCTTGCAATGAGGGAACCGCCAGAAGGCCCTCGGCGCTGGACCTCAGCGTCCGGGCAGAACGATGGGGGTGGAGACGCTCCTTCAGGTATACTGGGCTGAGGCCGTTTAGGGCTTTAAAGGTCAACACCAGCACTTTGAATTGTGCTCGGAAACATACTGGGAGCCAATGTAGGTCTTTCAAGACCGGTGTTATGTGGTCTCGGCGGCTGCCCCCAGTCACCAGTCTAGCTGCCGCATTCTGGATTAGTTGTAGTTTCTGAGTCACCTTCAAAGATAGCCCCACGTAGAGCACATTGCAGTAGTCCAAGCGGGAGATAACTAGAGCATGCACCACTCTGGCGAGACAGTCCGCGGGCAGGTAGGGTCTCAGCCTGCGTACCAGGTGGAGTTGGTAGACAGCTGCCCTGGATACAGAATTGACCTGCGCCTCCATGGACAGCTGTGAGTCCAAAATGACTCCCAGGCTGCACACCTGGTCCTTCAGGGGCACAGTTACCCTATTCAGGACCAGGGAGTCCTCCACACCAGCCCTCGCACTGTCCCCCTCAAACAGTACTTATGTCTTGTCAGGATTCAACTTCAATCCATTAGCCGCCATCCATCCTCCAACCGCCTCCAGGCACTCACACAGGACCTTCACCGCCTTCACTGGTTCTGATTTGAAAGAGAGGTAGAGCTGGGTATCATCTGCATATTGATGGACACCCAGTCCAAACCTCCTGATGATCTCTCCCAGCGGCTTCATATAGATGTTAAAAAGCATGGGGGAGAGGACGGAACCCTGAGGAACCCCACAAGTGAGGGCCCAGGGGTCGGAACACTCATCCCCCACCACCACTTTCTGAACACGGCCCAGGAGGAAGGAGCAAAACCACTGTATAACAGTGCCCCCAACTCCCAGCCCCTCTAGACGGTCCAGAAGGATGTTATGGTCGATGGTATCAAAGGCCGCTGAGAGATCCAGCAGAACTAGGAAACAGCTCTCACCTTTGTCCCTAGCTTGCCGGAGATCATCAACCAGCGCGACCAAGGCAGTTTCAGTCCCATGATGAGGCCTGAATCCCGATTGGAAGGGATCCAAATGGTCCGCATCCTCCAGGCGTGCCTGGAGTTGTTCAGCAACCACTCGCTCAATCACCTTGCCCAAGAATGGAAGATTTGAGACTGGGTGATAGTTGGCCATACTGGCCGGGTCTAAAGATGGTTTTTAAGAAGCGGTTTAATGACCGCCTCTGTCAGCGGATATGGGGATGTTCCCGCACAGAGGAAGCATTCACCACCCCGCAGAGCCCATCGCCCAGCCCTTCCCGGCTTGCTTTTATTAGCCAGGATGGGCAAGGATCAAGGAGACAGGTGGTTGGTTTCACGCGTCCAAGCAGCCTGTCCACATCCTCAGGGGTAACGGATTGAAATTGATTCCATGCAACTTGACCAGACAGAGCTCTAGCACTCTCCTGCCCCAGCCCTGCTGCCACGGTGGTGTCTAGCTCCTTCCGAATATGAGTGATTTTATCTGCAAAAAAATTTGCAAAATCATTGCAGGAGATCTTGGGGTCTTTACAAGGCCCCGGTGGTAAAGGTGGTTCCGTTAAATTGCGAACCACCTGAAAGAGTCTCCTGCTACTATTTTCTGCAGATGCAATAGAGGCGGTGAAGAAAGTCTTCTTCGCCGTCGCTATCGCCACTTGGTAGGCTCGACGTTAAGCTCTAACCTGTGTCCGGTCAGATTCGGAGTGAGTTTTCTGCCACCGACGCTCTAGCCGTCTCAGCAATTGTTTCATCGCCCTCAGCTCCGAAGAAAACCACGGGGCTGTCCAGGCTCCATGCAATCGGAGAGGGCGCTTCGGAGCCAGACAGTCGATAGCCCTGGTTAACTCCGCATTCCAGCGGGCCACCAGGGAATCAGCTGAAAGGCCATCAACATGGGATAAAGCATCCCCTACCACTCTCTGGAAACCATTTGGATCCATTAAGTGGCGGGGGCGGACCATCCAAATTGGTCTCACCTCCCTGCAGAGGGGAAGGGTCGCGGAGAAGTCCAGTTGCACCAGGAAGTGATCTGACCATGGCACTTCTTTTGTTTCACTTTTACTTAGTGTCAGATCACCCATGTCACTAGAGGTGAACACCAGGTCTAAGGCATGTCCATGACTATGAGTTGGGCCAAACTTATTCAGGGACAGCCCCATGGAGGCCATGCTTTCCACGAAGTCCCGAGCAGCCCCTTGTAAGGTCGTGTCGGCATGGATGTTAAAATCCCCTAGGACAACCAAACTAGGTGTCTCCAGGAGAAAATCCGCCACGACCTGAAGCAGCTTGGGCAGGGAATCCTTGGTGCAGCAGGGAGGTCGGTACACCAAAAGGAATCCTGTACTGCCCCTATTGCCCAACTTCCAGAACATGCACTCAGAAAACTGGATCTTCCCAGTAGGACGCCTGGTGCAAGCTAGTGACTTCCTAAAAATCACTGCAACCCCCCCTCCCCGCCCACATGACCTGGGTTGCTGTGCGTAAGAGAAACCTGGTGGGCAAGCAGTGGCCTATCTGCTTCCTCCAACCAGGTCTCTGTCACACATGCCAGGTCAAATCCTCCATCCACAATCAGGTCGTGGATGGCAGTGGTTTTATTCATCATTGACCTGGCATTACACAGCAACACCTTCAGGTCATGTGGGTTTCCCCTGTTGATTCCAGTATCCATCCGGTCAACGCCAGACCCGGAGGCAGGGATAATCTTCAAACAACGACTAAACCTGCCTCCTCGGTAATGACATGGTCTGGTCTTAGCGTAACTCCTCCTCCTGCCCATGATCACCGAGATCGGATGTCCCAGTGCTTCCCCCCCCATGGAACTTGTCCCAGCCATTGTGTTGGCTAGGGCCCCACTCCCAGGCAGCCCTGATCCCGCCCCTTAAAAACAAAACACAAACTATACAGAACCAATAAAACAACAACAACAAAAAGGAACAAAACAATTATACTAAAATTAATCCCCAACCAAATATCCATCCCACCCACCCACCACACAAAAGGCAAAAGAAAAAGAAATTAAAGAAGAAAGAAATAAAGAAAATAAAAATTAAAGAAATAAAATTAAATGCCACTGACTGCTTGAGGACATTTTAAAGCACATTAACCACCTGGAACAGGGAAGCAATGGCAGAACACTTCCCACACTTCCCCAAAAGTTTGTTCCAAATAAGGGCCTGGGCCACGCCCCCTGGGCCAGTTGGAAAAGGACTTGGAAGGGAGCAGGCCCTGCAGTCCTCCCCACAGCCGATGGTCAAACGTTGGAAGAGTTTTAGAATTAGAATGACAAAAACAGCAGAATCTTGGACGGCGGAGGCAGAGAATGTCAAAGCCTTCCAACGGGGAGGAAATAACAGCTGATTGAGAATCAAAAAATATCTGGAGGGCACCAAACTGGGGAAAGCTGGATTATGAAACTGGGACACTTGTCAATAGCAGCACCAGAAAGTGAATTTCAATCTCCTCAAATTTGAGATCAAATGCATTCAGGAGACCCGGTTTCAAAGCTCATTTCTACCCTTGGTTTTAAAAATGCACACACATTTACCCTATACCGCTGACTCTGGTCAGGAAATTGATAGATGAGCTCGTATCATCCTGTCGGATCTAGAAGGAGAAAAAGAACGGGCTGTTTCCAACTGCACAAATGAAACAGATAGTCAGATTATGGCAGGGAAACGGTTCCTGTGAAGCCTGAGTGAGACATTGCTTGGTTCACTCAGCCAAAGCAATGCCTGCCTTTGTCTCCTCCCTGCTACGTGATGGGATGCGGGAGCACAGGAGGCAGCGGAGACAGAAGCAGCAGGAGAAGATTTTCCCATGAACTGTGCAGAGTCAGCTTTCACAAAGAGCCTGCTGGATCAGACCAATGACCTGTTTTCACAGTGGCCAACCAAATGCCCGTGGGAACCTGCAAGCAGGATTCGAGCACAAGAGCACTCTTCCATCCTGTGGTTTACAGCAACTGGTATTCAGAAACATTGCTGCCTCCAACTGTGGTGGCGGAGCTTAGCTACTGTAGCTAGTAGCCATGGATAGCCTTCTCCTCCATGAATATGTGTAATCCTCTTTTAAAGCCATCCAAGTTGGTGGCCATCACTGCCCCCTGTAGGAACAAGTTCCACAGTGTAACTATGTGATGCGTGAAGAAGGACTTTCTTTGATCTGTCCTGAATCTTTCAGCATTCAGCTTCACATGAGATGATAATAATAATAATAATAATAATAATAATAATAATAATATTTATTTATACCCCGCCCTCCCTGGCCAGAGCTGAGGTCAGGGCGGCTAACACCAGTAAGATTACAATAAAAACATAATAGAAAGAAAAAGAAAAACCAATTTAAAATGCAGCCTCATTTTAAAAGGAGCCCAAAACTGTAAGGGGAGGGAAACATAAGGGTCATACTGAGTCCAAACCAAAGGCCAGGCGGAACAGCTCTGTCTTGCAGGCCCTGCGGAAAATGTCATGTCCTGCAGGGCCCTGCTCTCTTGTGACAGAGCATTCCACCAAGTCGGGGCCAGTACTGAAAAGGCCCTGGCCCTAGTTGAGACCAATCTAACCACCTTGTGATTTGGGATCTCCAAAGTATTGTATTTGTGGACCTTAAGGTCCTCTGCGGGGCCTACCAGGAGAGGTAGCTGTTCTTGACAGAGTTTGGGACTCATTAAGGTGCAGCATGGGGACAGATGTGACCAAGTAGTTTCAGTAGTAGAGCAGATGCTCTGTGTGCAGAATGGATCAGGTTCTGTCCTGGGTATCTTCAGGTAGGGCAGGGAGTGTCTGCCAGCCAGCCTCACTTGGTATGCAAGGCAGCTTCATATGCTGGCATGGTTTATTTTTATTCATTAAATAAATGTTTCTTAACTGCCTTACTTCAAGAGATTTCAAGGTGGTGTACGCAAGTATTAGGCAAAGTATTCACCCCATTAAAAAAACCAAAATGACACTCCACGCTCTTTTAGTAAACCTCTTGTGGTTTTATTACAATCAAGTAGTGTATAAATGTTGTGGGTAGGAAAATTAGAAACAATATAGAAGGACAACTAAGTTCAACATGTATGCTTGTACTTTGCATATACGTACTTTCGGAGTGAAATATTATACCACTTGTACAAAACAGAGTTATAAAAATCCAATTAGTTACCTTTTCCAGCTTTCGTAGTTTTCCAGTAGATAAAAACTCATCAATCTTTTCTGCAATTTTAGCTCCAACTCCATCCTTTAAAAAAGAAAAGAAAAATGAAAAAATGGGAGAGCTACACAGGAACTTAACTTACAACAGCGAGCAAGAGAGTGAAGCACATAAAACAATGTTGTAAAGAATAAAGCATTTGAGAGTCGGTGGAGGAAGATTGGAAGAAATTCAAAGACTATCTTCAGAAACATTGCAAAATTAAAGAATGTTAGAGTGATGTTGGACTGAAAATAAGCGGTTTCCAGCTGTACAGGTTAAAGTTAATGATAGACTAAGATTAAAGATTAGGATTAAAGATGTTTAAAGAAATGGAAATTCGACAATTAAGAGGTAAAATTTTAATGTTATATTACACTAAGATTAAAGATTAGGTTTAAAGAAGTTGAAGTTATATATTTCAATATTATATTAAAGTTAAAGACTGGGATTAAAAAAGTGGAAAAGAAATTGCTGGACAAACAATTTGGATTGGAATACAAAAGAGGGAGGTATGAGGAAGTCCAGAAAATAAGTAAACTTAAAAACGGAAATGGAAAAGAGATACTGTTTTTAACTGTTATGTTTCTTTTTTTATTGTTGAATCTTGTTTTTTGTGTTTTTTTATTTTAATTTTTTTCTTTTTCTTTTTGAGATTTGTATTGTGTATTTGTGTATCTTTTTTATGTTTTTCTTTTCTTTCTTTGTTGTTCAATTTTTGATTGAAACTTTAATAAAAAATACTTAAAAAAAATAAATAAAGAATAAAGCATTTGCCATAACAACATGGAGGGCGAGTCCTCCACCTGCTTGTGACTTGCATTCCCATTGTCCCCTGGTCAGCAAAGCCAATCTAAGGGCAGAATCCACCAGGAGGTTCTTCTGTGCTAGCCCCATTGAGATGATCAGAAGCAGCGCAAGAACATCGGTTTTGTTTTTAAGTTGCATGGATCCTTTAAAACGTGCTACTTTCACACATGAACATGCCCAAAGCAGCTCACAACACAAGAGCAGCAATACAGAAACAGTAATGTACATCAAAACAGCATTACTACTATGGTCTGCTCCCGATAAGCTTCAAAACACAATATAGCAATCCAATAAATAACAATTCTACAGCAGTTTCTCCTGCCAACCAGCAGTTCAAAAGCACGTCAAAAGTGCAAGTTGATAAATAGGTACCACTCTGGCGGGAAGGGAAACAGTGTTTCCGTGTGCTGCTGTGGTTCGCCAGAAGCGGCTTAGTCATGCTGGCCACATGACCCGGCCGATAAAGCGAGATGAGCGCTGCAACCCCAGTGTCGGTCATGACTGGACCTAATGGTTAGGGGTCCCTTTACCTTTACCACAGTTTATTTCAATCAAGCAAATGTTTGAACAATGTTCCAAGTAAATTGGAAGTTAGCGTCAACAACTAAACCACAACCAATTTTGCATATTAATTGTTATAATAAAATAATAAGCTAAGACACAGCACAAATCCCCATTCTTTTTTCTCATTGTGTTTTTATTTTTATTTTGGCAGATTACAAACCATAAATTTGTAGAAAAATTTGTAAACATATACAGAATCTGAAGATGAATTTTATCGATTCTGAATTATTCACAAAAGCAATGGGGACCTGCCTGTTCTTAAGGGACTTACCAGCTTCTTTGCTTCAGCTCCACTTTTGATCTTGCTTGGATATTTTGATATCACAGAGGCTGCCTTCCTGTATGCAGCAATGAAAAATCTACAGTCATATTTTGGCCCCCCAAAATTGGCTCACAGCATGAGATCCCCATTGCCGTTCCACTGAAAAGCAACACCCTTCCAGAAATTACAGTCAATTATAGAGAAGAAGCAGAAGACAGAAGTTCAAATATAGGATCTCTCTCCTCAGAGAGGTGGCAGACAGTAACTGTATACATCCAGGCCACTCACTTTGCAGATCTCCCTCCAGTGCAATCCTGTAAAGATTTCTGTTGGACCAGGTGTCATGGTCTGCTGGCAAACAGATTATTTTTTTTCTTTATAGGCCACTTCATATTCCATCAGAAGTCTCTAAGCAGTTTACAAATCCCAACGAAAAGGATTGAGTATAAAAATATGATATAAATTAGACATGCAAACCCAACAACTATTACTGCTGCTACTACTACTGATTCCACATTGTTAGTAACATAATTAAATATCTTTTAAAATGTAGATAAATAAATCATATACAAAACATCAAAATATACCATAATGCAGATAACACATTGTAATTACAGTATAACATTGTTATAAAACCCCTACATAATTACCAAAACCATTCACACTACATAAAACTAAACCCACAACCCACACAAAGACAATCATTCAACAGACTCCTAACACTCACTGTCACTCCATCCACTCAATTCTCACTTTAAAAAGCACACCTAATACGGAAATAAAGGACATTATATTTCCACTTCTGCACAGGATTTGTATTTTGCAAAAGTAAAGATGTTCCTTTACTTTATCTCAAGAGGTGAGACCAAGTTCTCCTAAGATGCTGTCTCTGTTTTGCACTTATTCCTGGAGACTCAGCCATATTTTGAAGGGGGGGGGCACTGATGGAGATTTGCTGTGAAACAGAGTCAAAATCTGGGATGGGGTGTCAAAGTACCACCATTGCAAGAAACCAAACCCACATGCTATGAAATGTCCTTATTTCAAAGCCCTCTGTAAAACTGCTTTGCCAAAGAATCGGTGGGTTTCCAAGCCAAGGCAGATCAGATGATAGCAGAGATCTTACCTGTAAGCATTGTACTTGTGGATGGCCCTGTTCACATTCCTCTCATAGTTGGCCAGTTCTGAAAAAAATATTCTAGTTAATTGTGAACAAAATCACATAAATTGGGAGATTCGTCAACCTTTGAATGCCTGTTGAAAACTTTTCTAAGCTGCCAGGCTTATGCAGGCAATTTAGAAAATATATATTTTCATAATAGTTGTACCTTGGATCCCGAACACCCTGGAACTCGGATGTTTTGGCTCCTGAATGCCGCAAACCCAGAAGTGATTGTTTCAGTTTGTGAACGTTCTTTTGGAACCTGAACATCTGACTGGGCTTCCGCGGCTTCTGATTGGCTGCAGGAGCTTCCTGCAGCCAATCAGAGGCCACAATTTGGTTTTCAAACATTTTGGAAATCGAACGGACTTCCGGAATGGATTCCATTCGACTTCCAAGGTACAACTGTAGCTTGTTAATGGTCTCAGATTCTAAATTTTTACATGCTTTTATTATATACAGATATCACTGTAAACCACTTTGATATGATATAGTGGTATATACTTTTTAAATAATAAATAAATAAAAATAGGGCCCAGCTCAGGTCAAGGTCAGTATGATTCAGTACCAATCATTTAAATGACAGAGACTGCTCAACTCTACTTCAACTGAAATGCATAAAAAGAGGGTTTGCATTGGATTGTGCCCATCTACACTGCAAACAGAGAAAGATATATAGATATAGGGGACGGGCATAGCAAATAAAAAGCAGAAAATTAAGCAAGCATAAACACTGAGGCCAGACCAAGACTATAAAAAGTGAAGACACAATTTTCCCTGTTGCATGTGACCATGCTGGACCATTTGCAGAGCCACACCACACATTTAAAGCACATCCAATGCACGTGACTTTCCCCAAAGAATATCGGGGACTGTACGGTCCCCCTCACAGAGTTACAATTCCCAGCTTCCTTGCCAAACTACAGTTCCCAGTTCTTAAAATGCAATAGGATGGTGCAGATCTGCTGGGCAACTTCCATCACTCTTTAGTATCAGCCATGCTGGCTGAGGCTGATGCGAGTTGGGAGTCCAACAAGCATCCCACCCCTGGGAGGAGCCCAGCCACACTTGAAGGGCTTAAGAGGTTTTACGATGGCATCAACATCTGTGGACTGGAGCCCATGTGATCCAGTTCAAGAGAAAGCTTGTGGACACTCCAGAGGCATTTGACTAGCTGCTGTGAAAAAGAGGCTGATGAACTGAATGGATTTATGGTCTACACCAGCCTTTGCCAACCTGATGCCCTCCAGATGTTTTGGGCTACAACTCCCATCAGCTCAGCTGGCCAGGGCTGATGGGAGTTGCAGTCCAAAACATCTGGAGGGCATCAGGTTGGTGAAAGCTGGTCTCCAGGGTACAGGTCTCACAATGAAGGCAGCTGTGAAGCTGTTCCCCATGTGGGCATGTGTTAATAGTTTGTTTTTATTCTTGTTTTCATTTTATTATGTATTCTAATTTTATATCTTTATGTTGTGAATTACCCTGTGATCTTCAGATTAAGAACGGTGTACAAATTTAATAAATAGTAACAGTCCTAATAGTAAAATAAGTGGAATAATTCAGCACCTTGCACCCTCTACCTACATGAAAGCCCCCCATGCAGCCTGTTCTGTCCTTGACCACTTCTGCCATTTCTTCCGCCTTTTCTGCTGCTTTCTCTTGATGACTTGCCTTTAATAACTACTTAGCCAGGAGTGGAAGTGGGGCTTGCCAGGTGCAAGCAGCCCTGCCCTACAACCTTCCAAAGCCAAGAGCAGTGGTTCTGAAACTTTCAGAATAAAAATTTGCTTGCGGCACACCAATTTTTTTTCTTATGAAATGCAGTAGAAAGTGCAGCAAGGATTGCGCTTGGCATCACTTGATGCTCCTGCTCTCATTTTGAAAAGATACCTATCAATATTCTGCAAATAATAATAATGATAATAATAATAACATTTCTATACTACACTAAAGTACTTATAACCATATATGTATTTTAGATACTGTATTTTTCGCTCCATAAGAAACACTTTTTTCGTCTTAAAAACTAAGGGGAAATGTCTGTGCGTCTTATGGAGCGAATGTGTGGTCCCTGGGGCTGGGGGGACCTGGGCTTTCCCCGCCCCAGCCCCGCGGCTAAAAAGGAAGCCAAGACAGCGAGCGGGATCCATCCTGCTCGCTGTCTTGGCTTCTTTGCTCTTTGGGGCTGGGGGCTGGGGACCCGGGCTTCCCCTGACAGCCCCAGAAGCTCTGGGAGAAGTCCTCTGCTCTTTGGGGCTGGGGGGGGGGAAATAAGATTTTTTTTCTTGATTCCCCCCCCCCTAAAAACTAGGTGTGCCTTATGGTCCGGTGCACCTTATGGAGCGAAAAATACAGTAATATGTAACACAGATACCTATATACTAGGCAAGCGTATATGAAATTGTAGTTTTGCATACATGGCGATATATTATACTTTTCATGTACTTTTCACTTCATTTTGTTCAACTGAAGTACTTTCAATGCACAACTGAGAGAGCAGGATGGGGACGCCGCCCCCCGCCCTGCCCCCCCCTTATGGGCCGCCCCCCCCGCCGCCCCCGCCCGGCCACGCACCGCTCAGGAAGTCGGTGATGCCCTCGTTGGGGTTCTCCTGCGGCGCCTTCCTCTTGCTCATGGCGGGGACCAGGCCGCTCCCGCCCCGGGAGGACTGGCAGGCCCGGCTCCCTCCCGCCGGCGGGGCAGCTCGGCAGATTCAGAGCAAACTGGGGCCTCCCAGGCGCTTTGGACTCCGATTCCCAGGAGCCCCGACGTCATTCGGTTGCGCCAAATAGAGAAGTCAGAAGCGGCCTCTTCGCTCCAATGAGGTTCGCGTCTCTCCTTTCTTATCTCTATGGGAGGTGAAAGAGAGGCGCGTCCGGAAGTGACGCAGGCACGGTTCAGGAAGCAGGAGCGTCAGGAGCTGCCTGAGAGGAGAAGATGTGAGTCCGCTGGTGGCCTTCTTGCGCCGTCTCGGTCTGTGCTGTCCGCCCGCCGCTAACCGCGCTCTGTCTCCTTTTCCCCTTCGCAGGGCCAAGGTCACCTTTAAGGTCACGCTCACCTCAGACCCGCGGCTGCCTTACAAAGTGTGAGTCCCCCCCTTTCTGTCAGCTGCCTCTCGCTTTCCTGGTGCGCATGCGCGGGCTGCTGAGCCACGTCATTCTCTAGCGGGCGGAGGGGCGGGGCTTTTCTCTGCGACGCTACAGTTTAGTCAGCCTCTGCCGGGAACCGCCAGAGGGCGCTCCAAGACGGCTCATAATAATCTAGGGGTAACCGTAGGCGCACGGGTGGCGCTGTGGGTTAAACCACTGAGCCTTGGACTTGCCAATCAGAAGGTCGGCGGTTCGAATCCCCGTGACGGGGTGAGCTCCCGTTGCTCGGTCCCTGCTCCTGCCAACCTAGCAGTTCAAAAGCACCTCAAAGTGCAAGTAGATAAATAGGTACCGCTCCGGCGGAAAGGTAAATGGCGTTTCCGTGCGCTGCTCTGGTTCGCCAGAAGTGGCTTAGTCCTGCTGGCCACATGACCCGGAAGCTATATGCCAGCTCCCTCGGCCAGTAAAGCAAGATGAGAGCACAACCCCAGAGTCATCTGCGACTGGACCTAACGGTCAGGGGTCCCTTTACCTTTAACCGTATATTATGCCATACTTGACTCTGCAGGCAATCTCAGTATTCCGTGCAACAGTCCTGTAAGATGTCAACATTATTCCACATGCCATATTTTATTTTGTTGTGGCCTGTCTTCTCCAGCAATTTAGGGAATTAGGTTTTGAGCGGAACTGGCTTGGTCTGCCCTTTACCTTAAATATAGTGAAAAAGGGGGATATGCAGGAAGAGCAAGTAGCAGCCTTTCTTCCTCCCGGCTTTTAGACCTGTGGCCGACTTAGGGAATGTATTGTGAAAATCAGCTGCTAACTAGAGATTTGTAGCTGCTGGAATGCTTCTTTCTTGTTAATTGGGGAACTAATTAGGAAATCTTATTTATGGTTTTCTGTAGACTGAGTGTGCCTGAAAGTACACCATTTACTGCTGTCTTGAAGTTTGCTGCAGAAGAAGTAAGTAAGGTTCTGGCAACATCCAAATTGCACCTGCTGTTGCATTTCTTTACGTGTTTATGTTTTTAAAAAATGTATTATATTTCCTTTTCAACTAGTTCAAAGTGCCTGCAGCAACAAGTGCCATCATAACAAATGGTGAGTGTTTTCCCTCTGTAATTTAGGAAACTTTGAGGTAGACCTGGTGCCAGTGGCCAAGATGTTCAGGCATCTCTTCAGGTGTCCAAAACCAGTGCTAGACCAGGTTCCATCTATTTTAATAGGACTAATGCGGGAGAAATTCCAGTTGATTCTGCCTAGGAAGTTCATGCTTACCAATGTTTGTAGGCTTCTGTGATGCAACAGCAAGCTTCCTTTTGGTTATTGAGAGGAGTTGCTGGTTAATACTTCCATGTGTTGACTGACTTATTTACTTTCCTCCCACAGATGGAATAGGGATAAACCCTGCACAGACAGCTGGTAAGTAGTTATTTGCAGTTAGATTTTTAAAAATGGAATATTTTTCTATGTAAGTTTTTTAATACTGTCATTTTCTCAAAAGGATGTACAGTCATAGGAAAAGGAAAGTACACCCTCTCTGAATTCTTTGGTTTTACATATGAGGACATAACAACAACTACCTGTTCCTTAGCAGGTCTTAAAATTAGGTAAATACAACCTCAGATGAACAACAGCACATGACATACTGCACTGTGTCATGATTCATTTAACAGAAATAAAGCCAAAATCGAGAACCCGTGTGTGAAAAACTAAGTATACCTTATTTTTCAATAGCTTGTAGAACCACCTTTAGCAGTAATTACTTGAAGTAATTTTTTTCTGTATGACTATCAATTGCTCAAAACGTTGTGGAGGAATCTGGGCTCCATTCTTCTTTATAACATTGCTTCAGTTCATTGAAGTTTGCTGGCATTTGTTTATGGATAGCTCTCTTAAGGTCCCTCCACAGCATTTCAGTTGGGTTGAGGGCTGAACTTTGACTGGGTCATTGCAACACCTTGATTATTTTCTTTTTCTGATGATAATTGCTTATGATCAATTAAACAAGGGTGTTTGATTAGCAGCAGCTATCTGCTACTTAGCTTCTTAATTCCTCTGGAAGCAGTAAGGGTGTGCTTAGTTTTTCACACATGGCTTTTCCATTTTGGCTTTATTTTTGTAAAATACATCATGACATGGTGCAATATTTAATTAATTTTAAGTAAATAATATTATTAAGTAACTATTACTGGTAAGATTATTGTTATTATGTCCTCATATGTAAAACCACAGAATTCAAAGAGGGTATACTTTCTCTTTCTTTTTCCCATGACTGTAAGCTGCAGATGAGCTATGCAAGTGACATTTAAAAAAATCTCAGCCAGACCTCTTTAGCTTTCCTGTAACCAGCCTGGTCAGAATCTTTAATTTTGTCATCTCTTCTTAGGCGTTAGCAAGAGAATGCAGCAAAAGTGTCTTAACACATTACAGAGAACTGTTCACATGCATCTGCTGTGACCTGTCAGACTAGAACAAGTTGCCTTCATGGCTTACTTCCAATAACAGCAAGTCATTTACCCAAAGCCTTACCTTGGCTTACAGTGATTTATGCTTACCTTTTATGTACTCTCATGTAACCAATTTCTTGCCCCCCTTCCTCACTAGGAAACGTCTTCCTTAAGCATGGCTCAGAATTACGGCTTATTCCCAGAGATCGTGTTGGGAAATGTTAACATGTGTACTTACTAGATAAGCAGGCAAAAAGGATCCGTAAGCATATTCACTTAGGAATTAACCTACTATATTATAATGCAAAATACATTGTATTTCCCTGTGAAATCATCGTGCATCAGCTGTCAACTCCTGCCAAGAAAAGAGTGGCCTCAGAGGTTGGATGGACTGCTTAGAATTGAAGGACCCACTGAAATTTTACTGAAAGACTCCTATAGAGAATCGTCTTACGGAGTGGCTGGATTTTCTTCTGAGGAAACAACTTCTTCTAAATGGAAGCTTATTTCCAGTATATGGATGTCTTTGACTTGATCCAATAGTTCCTTGCAAGTGTGGAATGACCAGTTTGCATCAAAAGCTACCCCATTCACTAGGATTGAGCACACTGTCATGTGCAGTGGAAATGTGTGCTGAGCTTCTTTCTCCATTGAAGTAAACTGGGAAGTCTACTCCTGGGATCTTCCCGTATGCACTCCAAGGAGGTTGGAGCCTGGCAGCTGCCATTCACAGCCATAGCAGATTGTTTGGATATGTTGATGTGATCATGTGTGTTAAGACCTAGTAACATTAAATACCTGGTCATAAGGAGCCCAACTGAGTAATACCACTATTAATCAAATAACAAAATGGGAGATGCTCCAGGGTTTGTTTCAGTTACGGAAACCTGTTTGCACTTGTATCAGGAATTCCAGCTCTCATTTTTCATTCCATTAAAAGAAATCATTTAAAGGCTTTGGTTGCTGTTTGGGGGCAGAAATGTTCGTAGCGTTTGTATGATTTAATTGTGCCAGCCTCCATCTGCTTGTTTTATTCAGAATGGCATTGTCTAGCTCATTTCACCCCAGATGGATAATAAATTATACTTTATATGATTAACTTGCCAGGCCTTTGCATATCAACACAAGAACCTTGAACCTGGCTCACTAGCATATTGCCTTGTTGAGTCAGAAACCAGGGATACCTCTACTTATGTTTTCAGAAGTGGGGTTGGGGTTGCAAATCCCTGAGCTCATTTGCCAAGTTAGTCCCACATCCAAGCCTTTCTGCTGCTGCTGTCCATCCTCGGACAAATGAGGTGTCAGTGATCAGACTGGCAAAAGATATTTTCCTGCAGTGGGGAGGGTAACTTATTTTGCATAGGCCTGGCTAGTGGAACAAGTGGTAGGGGGCAACACATCCAAGGACTCCCTCCCCTGCAGAAAAGGAACCTCCACAGAATGTTTAATGTCACATTTCTAATTGTGGAAGATGAATAAAAAGCACCTATTTGTAGTAGAGGCTCTGTGCACACATTGTTTTACTGTTGTGGGCCTGTCTTGTTCTTTAATGTAGGTCTTTCTTTGACACAACTAGGTAGTTCTGCAGCAAAAAAGGGATTGAGTGCACAAATCTGTTAAATTCAGATGCTGCTTTTTGTACTTGAGCATTATGGAGGTGGGAATCATCAGCAAGGCGTGACAATACTGCTGCTTTTAGGTATCCCACTCAGCCATGCATAATCACTAAAGCCATTCTGTTTGGAGAGTCCTGGCAGCATAGCCTCATGAAGATGCCCCCCCCCCCCACTTTAGAACTTATTAGCTTGGGGCAGGAATCAAGAACTGATATTCTTAATACAATTGCTGCCTGTAAGGGATCTCCAGTTAGGCAAAATGTTTCGCTCCCCATACAAGGGAGGTAAAAAACATTTCACTATCTGTAAAATGTTTTGGTAAGCAATGCTCTAAGAAACCTACCTAGAAACACCCACCAATCTACATTCAATGCTTGTGAAGATTTAAACATTTCTCCTAGAAGGCAATGAAGTCAATGATTAAAGAAAATTATGTACACAAAAAGATACGTTTATTAAAAGTGACAAAGGAACAAAACAGATGAAGGGTCCTCTTGTCATGGAGGACAGGAATGAGAGAACAATACTCCTGCTTCCCTTGCAAAGGCCAAACAGTTCCATGGTAAACCGGCGTGATGCCTCCTTGCTATGGCTTCTGGCTGAGAGCAGGCCCAGCTGTGGCTATGATGGAAGAGCTGGTCAAGTTATTGCCCAATGTGATAAGTGTGGTGCCGGCTCCAGCGGACAACATGCCTTGTGGAAGCAAGTGTCTGTTTGCAAGACTCTCCCTGGTGTGGATGATGGTACTGCTGTCGTCCATGACAGAAGGCACCCTGCCCAGGGTCTCCACAGTCCCAAGCGCATGACCTTTGGTCAGATTAACCTTCTCCACCCTCTGTCCTAGGGCTCGGTCACCCTTCATGGCTGTTAGTGTAGAAGTCAGTATCACCGTCTTGGATGTCGTCTGCAACACAGGTCCCACTTTGGAATGCACAAGGCTGCAGGGTGTGCTAGCTGGGGTGGAGGTGGCGAAGGTCACAGCTCCCACGGGGGCTGAGGAGGAGCTGGAGGAAGCAACGGCAGTTTGGACTGCTGTGGGCTTCACAGAGACGGAAGCGGCCTCTGCCATAACAGATTTTGTGAGTGCAGACAGTTTGGCATCTGACATCACATACAGCGTCTTCATGGGGCTTGTGGTGGTTACTATGCAGGAAGAGGAACAAGAAAGGAGTCTCAGTTGGTGCCCAGGTAATTAAACATCTCTACAATCAAGCACCAGGGTGTCATTTACCAGGCACCACCTGCACAGACACAATTTCAGGAGAGATCCATTATCACTCTTTTGCACTCAATCTCAGACTGACCACAGCCAGTGACATTCAGATCACTGAGACAGCCAAGGCCACTACGCTCTCTAGCAACATACAGACGCTTGCTTCTGATAGCTTTCAGAAGACAGTATTCTCAATAACATTCAGGGGAACCCCCAAATGGTGCAATGGGCTGGGTAAACATGAAAGTGGTAGCATTCTCCCATATAATTTCCCACCTTTCCTAATACAGTACCTTGGGCAAAGATTAGATTGTAAATACTAGGGATTCACATAAAAATCTAATTTGCTTTTGCAGACTCTAGAAGGTTATTTTCTAGGTACTGAGAGGGTACCTAGAAATGTAAGTGGTGGGGAAAAAACTGCCAGGAAAGCTGCTGATGTTTCAGACCATGCAGTCAAGATAAATTTGAGAAGCACTTTAAAATGGGAGGAAACCAGCTCCCTAGCTCCTAAGCAGCCCCATGTGTTGATGCAGACACTTCACGTAGAATTCCTTTATGGTTTATGGCAGTGGTTCCCAGATCTGGCTATACTATCCCCTGGAAGGGATTACCGGGGGGCGGGGGGTGCTGGAAGTGTAAATGACTATCACTTTGAAAAGTCTGTATCACTGGATCAAGGTCACTGAGTTTTAATTGGATTTTGAGTAAATGTGCAATAGTTGCTGCTTTGCATTCTACTGTGTCATCTTCCTTACTAGGTCATGCAAACCATTATTCTGCATAATGCTTTTTATAAGTTATAGGGCACTAGGGATGAGTTTGTGGAACCAAAGGGGCACTGTCTCAAAAAGGTTTTGGACCCTCTGTTCCATGCAGTATATGGGCGTTCCTTCTGCCTAGCCTAATGACAGGCATTCTGTTTTAAATGAATGAAAGAAACTAGACTGAGCACATGAGCAACCTAGCTATTTGGATTGTTTCATATTCAGTTGAAATGAACATCAGCGGCTATCTACCTAAAAATAGGACAGCTGTTCACCAATGACTACTAAAAGCAGTGACCCGCCACATGATGTACCCCTGCAGCTGGATTTCTAGACGTTGCTCAGATGCCACCATTTCTCACCTACAGATAGTGCTGGTGGTGTTGCTGAGGTTGGTTGAGATGCTGGTTCAGCAGGAGGCATCTCTATGCCAGCCTTGGCTTTGCCAAGTTCCCCCTGAGGCAACAACTTGCTGGAAGGAGTGGAGCTGCAAGCTGCACTGGTGAAGTTTCCAACTGCACTATCTGCGATCTGAAAAATGTAAACACAGAAAAATGGAGAAATGGAGGGTAACGAAATGACATTTCTGGCCATAAGCAACTCAGAAGTGTAAGAAAATGGAAAGGACCAAATACCAAAAGTTATGAGAAAGAACCACCTATAGTGCTATAAAAATGTTGTGTGACATGTACATAGAATTATGCCAAAATTTTCATTATTAGGAGGGAAAACCCTGCTTGAATGCTGTAGAAGTGCATAGCAAACAAAAGTTTCCCAAGCATACTGTTCTTAAGTCTGTTTGTAAGCCTTAGTAGTGCTACTTAGGGTTAAAGGTAAAGGTAAGGGTACCCCTGCCCGTACGGGCCAGTCTTGCCAGACTCTAGGGTTGTGCGCTCATCTCACTCTATAGGCTGGGAGCCAGCGCTGTCCGCAGACACTTCCGGGTCACATGGCCAGCGTGACAAGCTGCATCTGGCGAGCCAGCGCAGCACACGGAACGCCGTTTACCTTCCCGCTGGTAAGCGGTCCCTATTTATCTACTTGCACCCGGGGGTGCTTTCGAACTGCTAGGTTGGCAGGCGCTGGGACCGAACGACGGGAGCGCACTCCGCCGCAGGGATTCGAACCGCTGACCATGTGATCGGCAAGTCCTAGGCGCTGAGGTTTTACCCACAGCGCCACCCGCGTCCCACTTAGGGTTAGGGATGCCCTTTTAACATTGTGCTGCAGTTCCAACTTGTGTATTTCCGATTCCCGGAGATGTAGGTATGAGATGCACACCAAACCTTTTGACCAGGCTGACTCAATAGATCTTTAAATATGCACCAGTAAGTCCCCAGAAACTTCTTCAGCATTTAAGCAAAAGCAGGCTTTGGATTCATACCACAAATTATGGTAATAATCCCAAATTATTATCTGACATGACACCTTCCACAAGCTCAGAATCAGACGATCCCTTTATGGGAGTGGGACTGAGAAAACAGAGTAGAAAGTGCATGAAGTGGGTTCCATTACAAACTAAATATATACTATCTTCTTTCTTTTACTATATATTATCTTCTTTCTTTTAATAGATGGGATGTGGGTGGAGCTGTGGTCTAAACCACTGAGCCTTGGGCTTGCCGATCAAAAGGTCGGCAGTTCGAATCCCTGCGACGGGGTGAGCTCCAGTTGCTGGGTCCCAGCTCCTGCCAACCTAGCAGTGCAAAAGCATGCCAAAAAGTGCAAGTAGATTAATAGGTACTGCTCCGGCAGGAAAGTAAATGGCGTTTCCGTGTGCTGCTCTGGTGTCGGTGTTCCACTGCACCAGAAGTGGCTTAGTCATGGCCACATGACCTGGAAAAACTGCCTGTGGAGCGGACAGACGCCAGCTCCCTCGGCATGTAAAGCGAGATGAGCGCCGCAACCCCAGAGTCATTCGCGACTGGACTTAACTGCCAGGGGTCCTTTACCTTTATGTCACTTACAATCTGGTTTAACCAGACTTTGCCAACCTGGTGTCCTCCAGATCTTTTGGGCTACAACTCTCCTCAACCCAGCCAGCACACAGGAAGTATCACAGGAAGTGTGTGCCTCTGAACACCATTTGTTGGGGGACACATGTTGGGAGAGGGCTATTGTGCTCATGTCCTGCTCTTAGGCTTCCCAGAGAGATCTCTTGGACCAGATGGACCTCCCTTTAGGTTTAACCAAATTCCCAAGATAACTCAAAGTCACAAAAATTAACAATGGCAAAGAGGACAAAACGCCATGTCCTCCATAATGATAGAAGGGCTAAGGGGGATTTGCCAGAAGAGGCAAAACCATCTAGGTGGGTCCTGTGGTAAACAAAGGTGACAAAGCTTAGCTTGGAGGCAGCTGCTGCTACTAAGCCCGTAAGGCAGCCAAAGGCTGGCTGGAAAACCCTTAGAGCAAGAGAGAAGAGGAGAAGGCTGATTGCCCAGGTCAAGGCTTGAAGACAGTTCTGTGACTGTTCGGTCCCTAATGTACCTCACCTGAATGCTAGAGCTCCAACAGGCAGAATTACCTGGGGTGGAGGTGGTGGGGACCGTAGCAGCAGCTGCTGCTGCTCTTCCAGCTGGGGCTGTACGCTTCCCATGGCTGCCTGGCTGAGGGTCGTGACTCGGCTGGCCTGTCCTCGCAGAGTCACTGTGATGGTGGTTGGAGCTTTTAAGCCTGGTGGAAATGGAGGGAAAAAGTCACTGATGCAAGTTGCCCTGGGAACACACATATGCCAGAGTTGGCAGCCACAAATCATAAATTAGGAGTTAGGTTTACAACTGGCCTTCTATGGGCAGAGACTTTAGAGACTGACATCATCATTGAGGGATAACCAGCCTCATATAACCAAAACGCTTAAGTCTAATTAATGCATGAATAGGTCAATGCCATAGAGTAAGATGTCCAGCCACACTTAGCTTGGTCACACCCCATCACCTTGGGAGGAAGAAAGTAAAATCTATTGTTTCCTTCAGTCTACCATGTGTGTAGAGTTCTGAGCTCCAAGCTCAGATCATATGGCTTTTCTACAAACCATCATTGTGTTCCTGTACCAAATAAATCAGGAACTTTAACCACTTTGGAACTAACTTAAGTTCTGCTGCCTGTGTTTTCTGAATGCTGTATGGAAAACACACGAATCTGACCTTTGAAAGTTTGTAAGTAAACCATTTCTAACTTACCAAACATGGTCTTTTTCTATACTAGTGGAAGTGAGGAACTTTGGAAGGAATTTAGAAGGGCATATTTTAAAGGTAGAATACCCTATATTTACTTTGCTGCACATTTTGTGATTTTAAATCTCTGTGGGGGTTATTTCACCAAAGAGTACTTGCCCCAAACCTGTATCTTGGGGCATCTACGGAATTCTCCTTTTTTTTAACCTATTTTTTCCTTGCCAGTCAAGAGTTATGAGACTAGAGAAGGGCAAAGCCTCAGGTGGGTTTTTTGTTTGTTTTCGTTTTTTAGGCTCAGTGCTGGAGAAATCACAATTGTATCTCCCCCTTTCTTCAAGGAGCTCAGGGTGGTGCAACTAGGATTAGGCCACTTAATCTTCAACCTGAGATAGCAAGCCCAATTTACCCCAAACTACCCAGTGAGCTTCCAAGCTGAATGGATACAGTGGTGCCCCGCAAGACGAATGCCTCGCAAGACGGAAAACCCGCTAGACGAAAGGGTTTTCCGTTTTTGAGTTGCTTCGCAGGACGAATTTCCCTATGGGCTTGCTTCGCAAGACGAAAATGTCTTGCGAGTCTTGAGATTTTTTTTTCGCTTTCCCCCCCCTTTATCTAAGCCGCTAAGCCTTTAATAGCCTTTTAGCAGCTAATCCGCTAAGCCTTTAAGCCTTTAATAGCCGCTAAACCGCTAATAGTGCTAATCCGTTAAGCCGCTAATAGGGTTGCTTCGCAAGACGAGAAAACCGCTAGACGAAGACACTCGCGGAATGGATTAATTTCGTCTTGCGCGGCACCACTGTATTTTAACTAGGGTCTCTGCAGTCGAACACTCCATGATGGCTCTGTTTCATGCAGAAGCATGAAAGCCTGCACCAACCTCATCAGCTAATAACTGCAACTCTTGCAGTTGCTGTTGATCCTATTTATACATTTATTGTTTTTGCTACTGAATTCTGATTCCCGCCAATGCAAGTTTCTGAATGAAGGAATACTATAGCATTCTGGCTCCATGCCTGTTGTAGTTGGTGTTTTGGCCCCAATCAACTCGCTCCCTCATCAGTATTGCCACAGTGACCTCAGCATACCCACTGGTGAAGCCACAATCCAAGGAAAAATGACACTAGTCAGCACAGAACATAATTATTCCCTGTTCTTCCATTACAGCTGGACTCTTACCTGTCCCCTGACCAGAGATGTGAGCCAAGCCAGGAAGGCTGCTTGCAAGTTTTGCCAGCCCCCCATTAGTAAGCAGCTGGTGAATAGTGGTGGGCTTCCCACTTGCTGAGCCTCCAAGAGAAGCCAAGGTTGTGGCAACTGGGATGGTGCGGACGATGGTGCCTGTACTTGTGGTGATGGTGCTCAGGTTCTGGAGTGGGGCTGAGGTCTTCAGGGCTGAGGTCTGCAAGGTGGAAAAAGAGGAACAGGTTACAAGAATGAAACATCACTGAGCAGGAGGCCTCTCCCTTTTCCCTACTTCATGCTAAGATATCTAAGGGGTTAACCAGGTTTTCTCAAACTTGGGTCCCCAGCTGTTGTTGGACTACAACTCCCACCATCCCTGACCACTGGTCCTGCTAGCTAGGTAAGGTAAAGGTAAAGGACCCCTGGATGGTTAAGTCCAGTCGAATCCGACTATGGGGTGCGGTGCTCATCTCCACTTTCATGTGAGGGAACAGACATTTGTCTGTAGACAGCTTTTCTGGGTCATATGTCCAGCATGACTACACTGGTTCTGGTGCATGGAATACTGTGAAAAGTGCCAGAGTGCATGGAAACGCAGTTTACCTTCCCATCACAGTGGTACCTATTTATCTACTCATGCTGGTATGCTTTCAAACAGCTAGGTTGGCAGGAGCTGGGACAAAGCAACAGGAGCTCACTCTGTTGTAGGGATTCGAACCGCCGACCTTACGATTGGCAAGCCCAAGAGGTTTGGTGGTTTAGACCACAGCGCTGCCCACATCCATAACTAGGTATGATGGGAGTTGTAGCCCAACAACAGCTGGGGATGCATGTTTGAAACCTTTGGCCCACTGGTTGACCAGAGAGCCCACAGGTTGCTCACACGGACCTACCTGAGCCAAAGGCCCTGCAGCAGCAGCAGCAGCAACACTTGTTGGGAGAGCGGCTGGCTTTGTGCCAATGTCCTGCAGGCTGAAGCTCAAGCCTTGCAGGAGGCTGCTGGCAGAAGCTGCCCCTGGAGATAAACCAAAGAGAAGCAAGAGGGTTATTCATTCTGTGCTTCGAGAAACAAATTTGCTGTCTGAACCAACAATCTGATCCCGTCAGACAACTCAAGAACAGCTTTGGAGCCAACAACCCAGGGTAGCCAGCCAGATGCACACTTCTCTCCCCATTCAGCTGACAGGCCTGGACTGCACATTTGAAGCCACCCCAAGCCTCTGTGAAATGCAAGCAGAGGCTTCCTACTCATGTCACCCAGCAGCTTTGTGCCAGAGAGGCTTGCCTTATGGAAGGAGAATAAAAAGAAGCAGCGTTGAGCAGGTGAAGGCTGGAATGTGAATGTTGTGTTCGCAAGAGAACCATGAGAGAAGGATGGAACAACATTCACAAAGGAGCTACTGCTATAACTGCTGAGGACAAAGTAAGGAGAGAAAGATAAGGAAGTTGGTATGCCATGTGATTAAAGCATTAGAAACAAGAAGAAACTATTGTCATATATGAAAATAGCTGCCCCTTTGCTTGTAAGAGCATAAATGCTAGTGCTTTTTTTTTCATATCTGGGGTGTCACCCCTCAACTACCGTATTTTTCACCCTATAGGACGCACTTTTCCCCTCCAAAAATGAAGGGGAAATGTGTGTGCGTCCTATGGGGCGAATGCAGGCTTTCGCTGAAGCCTGGAGAGCGATAAGCGTCGGTGCGCACCGTCCCCTCTCGCTCTCCAGGCTTCAGGAAGCTATCCGCAAGCCTTGCGCGCCCGGGGGAACTCCCCCCAGGCGCGCAACGCTTGCGGGCGGCAGCCTGGAGCACAGGGCACCCTCCGGAGGACGCCCCGTGCTTCGGGCAGGAGTCCGCAAGCCTTGCGCGCCTGGGGGGAGTTCCCGCGGGCTCGCAAGGCTTGCGGGCAGCAGCCTGCAGCCCGGAGCATGGGGCGCCCTCCGGAGGATGCCCCGTGCTTCGCGCAGGGTGAAAAATACGGTACTTGCCAGTTGAGGTTGTGTCTCACTGGCCTTACAATGCCGAAATAAATGTCCTGTTGGACTGATAACTGGTGCCTGGATTTTATTGGCTGTTGCAGGCTGAACCCACAGGGTACTGGGTTTGAATCAGTATTTCCCCCAAAGCCTGGCATCAACACCACTGTCTTTTTGGAGTGGTGCTACGTGGAAAAGGCTTTTAAATAAGCACTGTGAAGTTTTTTTTTTGATTACCTCATCCTTACTTATTCCATTATTGATCATGTCTTACCTGCTATCCTGGTTTTGATTTTCAATTGATGGCTTACATTGTTTGTTTAATTGTGTGCTTTTAAACCTTTCATTGTTAGCCACCCTGGAAGCACTGTTTGCTGAAGGTCTTCAGAGTGGCAAATTTAATAAAAATAAAAATATTCAAAAACTGAGGTCTTCTCAATCTACCTTGATGCCAGAGTGCACAAGTACTAAAGGCATTCTCAGATGCAGGCCAGAGGCAACGGTTGCTTGGTGGGGGTAATCTTGCCTTTTCACAGAAAGAGAGTCAGAAGTTACCTTGGACAGCGTTGCTGGGCTGGGCCTGCATACAATGTGTGCCACTTGCCACCAGCCTGTTCTGCAGAGCATGGAAAGCACTTGGGGCTGTGCTGCTAGGGATCGTGGCCAAGGGGGTGGGACTGATAGAGGGGCTGTCTGCAGCAGAACTTGGCCTGGGCGGGGGAGGAAAAAAGGAAAAGCAGTTAAATTATTAAGCACACACACACTGCACACAGATCTTGGCATGGGGTAAGTGGAATTGCTCAGCCACAAATGAGATTTGCTTTTCCTCCAAAGCCATTGTTTGGCTCCCCTGCACGCAGCACCTGGAGCCACTTGCCCTGCAGGTGCCCTTTCTGGGGTGCGTCTGCGCCAGTGCTTGCAGCACATGGTAGCTTGGCTTCCATAGTTCTTTCTGTGCCATGCTGACTGTAGGCCACTTCACACTTACATGCACTTTAAGAATGAAGTGAATAAACTTTAAGAAGTTTTCCTCCCTCTCGTATAACACTAGCAGTAGCGTGCATCCAGTGAAGCTGAACCGTGGAAGATTCAGGGCAGACAAAATAAAGTCCTTTTCCACACAGTGCAGAGTTATCGACTATGGAACTCCCTCCCCCAGGAGACAATGATGGCCACCAACCTAGATGGCATTAAAGGAGGATTAGACAAATTCATGGAGGAGGAGACTATCCCTGGCTACCAGCCATGATGGCTCTGCTCTGCCTCCACTGTCAGAAGCAGCAGTGCTTCTAAGTACCAGTTTCTGGAACCCACAGGAGGGGAGATGGCTCTTGTGCTTGGATCCTGCTTGCAGGTTTCCGTTGGGGGCATCTGGTTGGCCACTGTGAGAACAGGATGCTGGACTAGCTAGGCCATTGGTCTGATGCAGCAGATGCTCTTCTTGTGTATTTGGGTAGTCCTGCTGGACCACACCAATGACCGGTCTGGTCCAATTTGCTCCATTTCCCATATCAGCCAGCCAGGTGCATATGAGAAGCCCATTATAAGGGCATTAAGGGGCTCTTCCTGCTGCTGCTTCACAGCACACAGTGTTTAGACCCAGGAGGGAACCGATAAGTCATCATGAGGCCCAGGATGGTGTAGGTAGGCCCATCCTCCATAGATGTGTAAAATCTCCTCCTAAGGGTGGGATAGATTATTGTAACCATTTATTAAATTTCTATACCACCCTTCATCCGAAGATGGCAGGGTGGTTTACAATATAAAATTACATACTGTAATACAGTACCCCTGCTGAGCAACTGACCATCATTATTACACACACTGTTTTGAAAGGAAGGGAAGATTAATTTTTAAAATGAATGAATGAATGAATGTACCATGCATCAATGAATTCCATAAATGAAGCATTTCTCAGAGTTGGATGTGTGAACTGATTTTCATGGGGAAAACACTGGTGATTTGAGATTAGCAAGGCAACTCTTTGTGGCAACCCATTCACAAATGCAGCCTACCCCTAAAAGATGCATGAATTGGTCCTAAATGCACCGAAGGCCAGCAGATACTCACTTGGAGGTGGCAAGCAATCCAGGCGCCTCCTTTACAGCCAAGGTGGATGGTCCCAAGGTTGCAGCAATAGGCTTCCCTGCAGCTACTGCAAAAGGAAAAAAAGGAGTAAGAGGAGTCAGCTTCTGTTGCAGTATGTCTGAAGGACTGAAAAAGACCAAGCATCAACCTCCAATAACCCATAGCCTGACACTGCCGTGAAAGATGCAAGAAATACCACGTCACTATGTGACTCACTCAGCACATACAGCAGAGTAACAACTGAACTGGATTCTAGACTCCAAACAGCCTCACTGCCTCTAAAGCACCAGGCTGTCTAGTTTGGAAGCAGCAATCAGCACTCCTGCCTGCTGATTTAATTTATACTTATTTCCCTTGTTCTGTTATGCCAAACACCCTTCTTTCTTTACTACCTCTTAGCACTGGCCAATCATTCATAGCAGGGCTTGTCTTAAAGCATCTCTCATATAAAATACACAGGAACAGAAGCAAGTTAAAATCACGCGTTTATTGCAGTGTTTTGGATACAAATGAAAATCTGTCTTGCACATTCCACCTGTCCACGTATGGTAAGAGGGAATTCTTGTTTGGTTCAAGTTTACTTCTGCATTTCATTATTGTCTGTGAAAAGAAATAAAGTTTGGATAATTAAAAAATTAAAAAGAGACAGAGACTTTCAAAGCTGATAAATTTATGCCCCAGTGATTAAACAGGGATTAGTTAATTTGTACAGTAAAAATAAATAAATCTACTGTTGAATTAACTAAAGGGAAGATTTACAAAAGTATAACATTTTACAGCTTTGGAAGTCTCCATGTCCAGATGTGCTCAAACTATGTGAAGCCCTCTTCGTAGAAGGGTTGGCTCGATAGCCTACTCTTGCTTTCATTTTAAAAGCCTTAGCTGATTTATCCCCAATAAATGTTTCAAGTGTGGCTATCCTATCTTCTGGTTCACACTGAGCTTGGGCGCCCATGCAAATCACTAGACCACTCTAGAAGTAGTTCCCGTTTAGCAATGTGCTGCTGCTGTTACATCATGTGCTCATCAGCAAATACAGTCATTCCCATTCAGGGTCCTTCCCTCATATGTGAGGGCAGTGAACCGAGATGTGCAATAAAGTGTGCACTCCGTCAGGGAGCTGTGGCCACTCCCAGCCCCTTACCAGCATACTTGTATAAGCCATGCACACATCCGCACAGTTGCTGCATCCAAACATGCTACAGGTTGGGAAATCATTTGCAATCAACTACATATTTCAGGCAATGAGAATGTTACAAAACAATAATCACATCTAGAAGCTGGCTATGCCAAGGAATTTGAAATCACAAAGGATCTTCCAATGGAAGTCAGCATCAGTCCTAGAAAGAGCTTTTCCTATGGGGGATCTTGAGCTCCCAGGTGGAAGATTTTGTGGGAAACACTTCAACCTGTTAGTTTTGGAAAAGCTAATTATATTGGCTCAGAAACCAAATGCCATGGACATCAGAAAGAAGAATATTTTAAAAAATTGAACAGACCACTGGCCAGGCCTTTAAAAATCAACATGCCCTAGACATATTCCACAAAGCTGTTTTCTGCCTCCCATCAACCACAGCTGTAAACTTAGTAGCCATGGCCCCCTGGTTACCATGCACTATGACGAGGGTAAGAGGCAGCCTTGTAAGCACCTTCCAGTGTTAGCTGAGGGCTTTCTTGGAGCTGCTGTTTGTGCCGTTCTTGCTCTCACTTTGCAGTGCAATCTGCAGAAATCCATACAAGGGGCCTCAGTTTTGTGATGGCCATGTCTTTCACAGCAATGCTTTATTAGTTTAGCTCACAGAGCAACTCTAACATAACTAGATCCCAACAAATTCTCCAACTCTAGCTTCAAAACACACCTGCATCCAAGAAACGTTAGAAAACAGTGCAGTTCCTCTTTTGTTTATAATGCTACTGCAACTCAGAGCTGCTCATGAAAAATATTAGCTAATTATTCCCTGGAACTAATACAATGGCCTAAACCTTGCATGTCAGATGATAACATGTTTTAGGCACTTGCTCTGCACTGTCCCATACACTAGACCAAACCATTAATCCACCAGCCTAGCCTAGCACTCTCCCAACCAAAACGCCACGTAAGGCAATTGACACACATCTCCTGTGACCTTTAGACCCTCCCTCCTCACCACTGGTCACCTGTAAGTGAGCTATAGTTCCCAGGACTCACTTTCTGGCGGTGCCTCTAAGGGGGCTCCATTCCCTGTGTCAGCAGATTCTCCATGGGAGACGATGGTCACTTTGATTTTGGCTCGCTTGGAAGATTTGCTGCAGTGAGTTGGGCTGGGGGCCTGGTGCCTCTTCAGCTGCATTCGTACATCTTCTTTCTCCCTGGCCTCTGACTGCTGCTCTGAAGAGACTGAAACCAGAGAATACAAGACAGCTTGTTGAAACTAAGTGTACAGGGGAAACCTCACAACACAAACCTGTGCATGTGCCCAGACACATCCCTGCAGTTTCCTCCAGGCTACCCTGTGCAAAGTGTCATTTTGCTTCGCAGGCGACAAGAACCCTTCTTCTCTTTCTTTGAAGCTGTCACCTCACCTGCCAATCATCAGCATTAAATAGAAATTAATCAGGGGTGCCATTCAAGCTGCAAACTAGGAGAAGGGAAGGAGGACTTGTAGGATATGGATGGAGGGGCCAACAGGTAAAGGAAGAAGAGATCAGTTACTGGAGAGGCATTGTGAGCTGCACTCATGAAATAGATGGACTTCATTTCAAAACACATGAGATCTTTCCTAATGGATGTACCAGATTCCACAGCAGGGCTGCAATCCTAAGCAAACTTACTTGGAACTAACTCATTCTGAAATCACGAAGACTTCAGCCTAACAATTTTTTAACTTGGTATTAATCTTATTGCATTCAGCATGATTTATGTGCAAGTAAACATGGTTTACTTGTCAGATTCTCTCTGCTAATGCCTTCAACACACAACTTATGCTAGCTAGGTACTTTTTCCTTCCTACTGCATCACTCAGGCTTAGAGATAGAAGAGTGGTGTGTTTCAAGTCCCTAAAACCACACCCCTGTAGCAAAATTCAGAACTCTCTTCCTGGTTCAGACCAAACAGCAAACTGGACAGATGGCTTCATTACTGGATCTTTCTGGGAACCAAATGAGGTATTCACAAGAACAAACAATGTTGAACACCTTCTTCTCTGAGCATCTCACAAACAGGGATTTTTTTCAAGTTTAAAGCCTACTCGCCCCCAATATGTTATCATTCCACAATGTGCAGATGCTAGAAAAGCCACAGCATTGAATAAGCGATGTTTTTGCTCTATAGTGTTGGGCATTGATAGCTAATGGTACCAAGAACAGCTGAGAGTAAAGTTCAGTATTTGTTTGTCCTGGATGAGGAAACAACCCATGAACCTGATTCGTGCCAGGCAGCCACTTTCACCAGGGCCATCAGCATGGAGTCAGTTTTCTGTTTACTAAGACAAAGAATTAACACATTGCTTTGAAACCTGGTGCATGCTCTGCTCCGAAGTCACTCGAGACGTTTTGCTGAGAATGTGGAGAATCACTTAGAACAAAGCTGCCAAGGTGTGTGTTTGTGTGTGTGCACTCACAGTAGTCCAAAACAACCAAGTACTCCACACACGACTCCAGAGGTGACTAAGCTACAGCTCTCCAGACGCTGATGGACTCCAGCCCCAAACACATCTAGAGGTTAGCCACCACTGCTCTCTTCTGTTCACAAGCAGCTCAGAGCCACCAAATTAATGGAGCAGAAAGTGAATGCTGAGCCTGTTTCCAGGCTGAGGCACCCCAATAATTCTACGGGAACTCTGTTGGCTCTGCTGCTGCTCTGAGGTGAATGGGGATACCATTTTCAGACTAAACTTCTGTGCAGGCTGGGAAGGAAACTGACAACCTGCATTTGTTACGGTAGTCCAGCAAGTTCCAATTAACTGGCACTGTTTCTATGTATCCAGACTGCTGAAGAAAGCCAAGTCAAAACATAGCCATTGAATTGATGTAGCTGTACACATATCTTGTTTCTTTAATGAATAAACTAGCACCAAGCACTGTGTTTTACAAAATTAGTGAGAGCTGGCTACTTAGCTAATGTTATTTTCATAGTGTATATGGTACTTTTCACACACAATTCTACTCTGACATTTGTTTCGATTTCATTACTGTTGCTTTTGTTTAATAATGTTGTATGCACTTGTTCTAGGTGGGAATCAGGTCCTCCTGCCATGACAGGGACGCTGCTGCATCCCCCATTGCTGAAAATCCACTGTGGAATTCAGTTCATACCATCAGATTACAGGAACAGGACATCAGAGCCACCAAAGCCATCTGGGGTAGGGAGCAAGCAGCCTCCTCCAGGTCAACCAGACAGCGAAGGGGCAGTAAACCTCAGGCAGGCCATGTCCCAAATGTGGCTCTCCAAACCTCTCCACCTGGCCTTTGGAATTCTCCCTAGGTCATGCCCCAAACTGGTCCTGCTTCACCCCTCAAGTGTTTTTGCCTGGCTGGAATATGCCTTTGTACGTAATAATGCCTCATTTGTCTTGATGGATCAAAGAAGGAGAAGGGTGTGAGAGTCTGTGTAGAAGCTAGGCTACCAAACAAAGGTAAAATTTATTGCTCCACCTGCTTTTGCATCTGGCCCTGCCGACCAGTAGAATGCGGTCCTTGGAAGGCTGCCCAGAAGGAATCACCCTCACCTCAAAAAACCACCCTTATTGACACAAGGCCTACCAGAAATTCATTGCCATGCATTTATCAGGCCACACTTCCATCACAATGAAGCTTGGGCAAGGAATAATTCCTAGCGGATTGTAGCCCATGATGGGTCATGATCTGTCTACCAGATCTGTCCCACTTTGCCATCTTTAATTTCCAGAGTTCAAAACCCACCAAGACCAGGAGGCAGGCTGCCTGCTGCCTCCTGAAGAACAGGTGGTAAAGCTAGCCTCACTGCAACACCCCAAACTTCCCCTGCCAACTGTTCATCTCCCTCTTGTGGTAGCAGTTTGCAACTTCCAGGAGCGCCATGGAAAAAGCAGGGCTGGAGCAGCTGGGCCGGTCCAGGCAGAAAATAGTTTTGTTTAGGCCCACTGCAAAAACTGCCTCCAGCAGTGATGAAATTTTCAAAGCTATGTAAAAAAAGTGGGGCGGGTGGGTAGGAAAAGAAGGTGCTTCATACTCTAAACTGTCCTCTTCAGCTACTTCAGCTCCTGCTAAAGCAACAGGAGGAGTGGGAGAAGGCAGAAGAGACCCCCAAACACTGCCAAAGCAGCGCAAGGAGGGAGAGAGAAGGAGGGTGAGGGAAGAAGAGAGAGGCAGCAGAGGCAGAAAGTGAGGAGATACTCACCAAAGAGGCATGAAGAGGTGCCAGGAGGAAGAGATTTCCTCACCAGCATGTTTTGTTTCAGAAAGGCAGCAAACTGAGCTGAAATGAATCAGAGAAAATTACAGTCCTGCAGCTCATGTTTGGGGGGGGGGGCATCCCTCTGACCCACCATGAGAAGAGAAACTCTGCGGCTGGCTGGCAAGTAGATCCAAGAAGCATCTCTAACTGGCATGGCTGTAGCCCAGCCTCCCCCAACCCTTCAAAGCAGTGCTAGCCAGGGCTGATGGGACTGTCAACAGTTCAAAAACATCTGAAGGGCACCAGTTTGGTGCAGAATCCTATAGCATATTGCCTGTCACTGGGGCTTTGAGATTACCCACTCCACCCTAGCCAGCAGAACCAGGCAGCAGCTTCTGTCAGAGACAGCAAAAACAGGTTTCTGAGTTGTTGTCTCTCTCCCTCACTGACTGCACTTTCAGCTATTGCCTGAGCAGGGTCACTTACTAATACAAATCACACGAAGTCATTTCAGACATATTTAATTATAACTGCAAAACACTTGGCACAAACAACACACAACACATTAGGAAGCAAAATGTGACTGCTGATTGTCATTGTTTGGGGCTCAACACAGCAGCACTCCAAGCACCCACTCTTGAATGGAGGTATGTGGCATAAAGCCTGCTAGCACTGGCCAGCTGCTACAGTAAATTTACAGCTACCTTGAGAGTTTGAATTCTAACAAAGCAAAGGAGTGACCATGCTGCCACACATGCACTTATTTTGATCTGCTGCTAGGATGTGCCTAAATCTGTAATTTAGAACAATCAAAGCATAAAGATTTATTTAGAGGGTGTTTAGCACTTACTGCTGCTTTTCTGAAGGAGTGATGCCTTCATACACAATTCAGTGTAGGTTTCACAATGAGACCTAGAATTTGAGTTGGCTGACAGCCACAAAGGCCAGAGTGACAAGGACCATAGGAGTCAAACAACAGGGCAATCTGTTTCAACCCTTGAAAAATGCTGTCTCTCTCCCCCCCCCCCCCCATGACTTCATGTATTAGAGAAGGAGAACAGAGGCCAGACGGAGAAGGAGAAGGGGGACTATGAGAAAAGTAAGTTGCCCAGCCAATCTGGCACCAGCAATTTCCAGCTGCATCGGCTTTCACCAGCCTGGTGTTTTCCAGGAGTTGTAGGAGTTTTGGATGACAGCTCCAATCAGCCCAAGTGAGATCAGGCAAAGGGCTGCTGGAGCTGACAGGAGTTGGAGTCCAATATATCTGGAGGGCAGCAAGTTGGCAAAGGCTGAGCTGCAATGTGCAACACAATCTCATCACAGGACAGTTGTGGGTCAAGTGGCAGCCAAGGTAGCCCAGCTAAGAACACAGGAAGCTCCTTAGCTCAAGTCAGGCTATTTAGCTCAGTATATATTGTCTACTCTGACTGGCAGCAGCTCCCCGGGGTCTCAAGTTTTCCCAGACCCCCCACCACAGCTCCACTTTATCTGGAGGGAGGGTGGAACTGGGACCTTCTGCATGCATAGCTCATTGAGCTGTGACTCTCCACCCTTCTCTGATCAAGTTTCCTGCCTAGTTCTAATTTAGGGGATGACTGTAATGAGGATGGTATTGCTCCATTATCCTGCCCATTTGCTATACAGAGTGAATGGCAGCTCATCCTCCCTCCACAGCAGGCATGAAGCAAAGAAAGGGTAAAGCTTGGCAGCGCTGAAACAGAGTCTGGGCTGAAACTCATCTGCTGCCAAAGACAAGAGTCCCAGCAGCAGAGATCTGCAATTAAAAGCTCAAGGGAAAGGATCTGTATTTTCAAGGACAAAGAGGAGGACTGGTCGCTACTGGGAGCTGGCAGGTCTGCTGAGCTGCACTGGGCATGCAGAAAACCAGATTGAAGATGAGAGAAAACTTCCTGCTCCGCCCTCCGCCAATCTATCATCGGTGCTGTTCTCTCCCTTGGAGTCACCTGCATTCACCTCACAGACCAAGCCACAAAGCACAGCCTTCACAAGCTTATCACCATGCAGGATGAAAGGCACCTGTTGAATATCTCTATCCCTCAACATACAAGACCATCACATATGCTTCTGATACTCCATTACACAGTCAACTGATGAGGACACACAAATATATCTGCAGGGGCACATTATAAGCCTACAAAAGCCACAATCAGCAGCCGGAGAGCAGGAAGGAAACAAAAGCTACTAAACTGAAGACCCCAAAGGCCCATATAAAGCGGCTGTTTCTGATCTGGAGGAAGTGACCCCTTTCTGAAAGTGGTGTTGCTTGGAGTCAAAACCTGGAATGTTGCCCGTTGCGCAGGCCCCAGTCTAAGCATTCCCAGGATGCGAAAAGCTGCCTCACAAAGACAAACAGGCAGACTTACCTTGAGCCTGCTTGTGGGTCAGCGCTGCTGCAGCAGCTTCTGTCCGCTGCACGGACCTCTTCAGCAACTGGGTAGCCCCAATCTGACTGGATTTCTGAACTGATGACACAGTGGCCATTTTAGCCTTAGGACTGGAGGTGGGGCTGCTGGATACGCTGGAGAGGTCCTGCCCAAGGGAAAAAGCCCCCCCACCCCAAATACCATTATGGGTGCACTATAATGAACATGTTTAGTAATGCTTAGGATCGTGGACTTGGAAAACTAATGACATGGCAAGCAATGGACCCCAACACCTCCCTGCTCTCATGACTGAGTGCCACCCCTGCTACTGGCTCCTTTAATCCTCCAAAGAATTCTGAATCCTTGCTTCTCTACCCATGGGTCTCACTATCAGCCCCCCTCCACCACCCTTCATATACAGGGCTCGTTGCATCCCTCAGTTCCATGCTCACATCTCACAAGTATGACAAATGCCCTCAGAACCTAAGTGACCCTTATTATAAAAGCTGGAAATTTGTTTTTTAGAAAGCTAAATGCGAGAAAGAAGAGCAGACTAAGGTGAGCACATTTAATCTATGTTTCCAAATGTGGCTGGCCATGCTCCTGTGGTATAGGGTTCCAAAAGTGGACCTGAGAATTGTGTGGGCAATGCCTGGGAAAATCTAAAGCTGCAGTGTGAAGGTGCCAGAATCTTTCTTTCTTCTTTTGGCACATTCTGCTGTTGTCACTGCAACTCTTTGCAAGCACACATGCTTTCCCCATCACTGTCATTACCTCTGATCCAGAAGGTGAAGCCGGGACCTTGGCTGCAGGGGAGGCTGGCCGGCTGCTTCTTTCTGGCATGTCAAAGGACAGATCCCGCCTGGCCAAATCACGTGTTGTTTTCTTCTTCTTCTCAGCGTCTAGGTCCCGAGGGTCAGAGCCTGAATGGCTGTCTGCCCGGGTGAGCACTCCAGTTAGGAAGTCAGCGATCTCATCCTGCAGAGGCATGAAGACAGGGTTAGGTTCTTAAGAGCATCCACAAAGTAAACATGCAAATGGTCTAAATGAAACTTACTGTAGTTCAAATTATTTGCCAACTCTCTCTCTCTCTATATATGTATATATATGCGAGGCCACAACTCCCAGTCCTTCCCTTTATACTTACTTTTACTATTCTTATGCCAACAGAAAATTTAATGTGCTGAAATGTGCTAAGGGGGCCTTCAGAGCAATAGATCCCTGTGCTGGTCCCTGCAGAAGGACCTCTGCCAAAGAGGGCAATGTAGAGATTTGCTTTCCACTGTGTGGCAGCACAGCGATGAAAACGCAATGCAGCAGGAAGCCATATGGAAGATTAGGGAATTACGGCAGGAGCGACCAGCCTCTTGGCAGGCTTCCACACATGACTGAGCGATGGCACTTTTGCACCCTGCTAAAACAGGAGACAGTCAGTCTTATGCTGGAAGCCTGAAACCATTTCCTGCCCTGGCACAGCTTTGTTGCCAGCCTGTGACACCCTTGGATCCCTCCCAGCAGTGGTGACTCTTGTCTCAAGTGAGCACAATTCCTTTTGGATAGGTTCAAGTGTTTCTCTTGCAACTGACAAGGGACCAAGAGACAAGGGTTTGAGAACCTTTGGATTCTGCCCATCAAGACCCAAGAGAAGACTGGGCAGGACTTGAAATGTGGAAGCGTGGCTAGATGCGTCAGGTGAGGGCTTACACCGTACTTACACCACTATAAGTAGTCCCATTGAACTTAATGAACTAACAGGTTGAACTAACAGGTGAATAAATTCCAATGAGTCTACTCTGAATAGGACTGAGTTGAATAAAATCATAGAATTGTCGAGCTGGAAGGTACCCTCAAGGGTCATCCAGTCCAACCCCCTGCAATGCAAGAATCCCTGGCAGAGGGCCATCGAATCTGTTTAAAAATGGAGGAGAGTCCACCACCTTCCAAGGTAGCCCATTCCACTGTTGAAACTACCCTCCATGTTTTGGACCACAGCTCCCATCAGTCCCAGTACCATATGGCAGTACTGGCTGCAGCTGATGGGAGCCATAGTCCAAACATCTGGATGACCTCAGGTTAGGGTTGGCTTTTTGCCAAAATTATTTAGCACAGAGAAGTGATTAGGACCTCATAATTTATGTCATATATTTGAGTAGGGAGATCTGTTTACCTGTATGCACCTGTCCACCATGCTCTGAGTCAGGCCTTCTGATTTCTTTTTGGCTTTGCTAATCCTATTATTAAGAAAAACAGAAAATCTGTCAAAGCACACACTTCCTTTTATTTCCTTCTCCTTCCCAATTCACAGTCAGAAAGCTGATAGTAGCAGATGACCCCTGAAGGTCAATCTGGTATTACCAATGTTTTTGTCAATTTTGGACAAACTTACCTGCTCTGGATTTACATGGAATCAAGGCTGACTTAACTGACTAGAAGCGACACTTGCTTTTCACCAAATACAAACACCAAGAACGCTGATTAAATCTACTGGGAAATGCCAGGGGACTAAGCTAGCCTGTCCACTATGAACTGCACGTCCCATTGTTCAAACTGTTCACATTCTGTGCCCCCATTTTCTTGTGTACCTTAGCTTCCTAACTTATGGCAGTGAATTATGGGCAGATGCTTTTTGTACAGAAAGTTCCAGGTCCAGTCTCTGGCATCTCCAGCTAAGGGGTGCTTGGGTGAACGACACTGGCAGATGGATGGAGGGACTTATCAGTCTGACTCAGTGTTAAGGTAGCTTCATGTGTGCGTCGGTGTTGTTTCAAAGTTTAAATCAAGACATACATGCCAACTCCTAAGTGCTGAGATCCCTTTGACCTCCCACAGAATATCTGAGGGGGGTGGGCTACCCAAAGTTGCTGGGCATTGCCAGTCAAATGGTGTGCATGCACCACATCATGTGACTGATTGTGTGCAACGGGGCTCACCTCCCCCCCCGCCAGCATTTTATTCAAGTTGACACTCCTGAATCAAGATTTGTTTGAGTTTCTCTGCAGCAGGGATGGAGAAACCTCCGGCTTTGCGGAAGGGGAAATGGGGCACTCAAAGCTTTTCACCACACTCTTTCCCCAGCCCACAGCCCTTGCTGGTCCTACTTTGCACCTTTCTTGAGAGTTTGCACCTCTGGACTCTGATAATGCCTTCTGCTGGCCTAGATGAAGGATAGAGAGGAGTACGTGCTTATAGGCTACTGTGCAAAGGTAAGATTTAGATTCCTTGCTCTACCCATTTTTGCCTCTGGCTCTGTCCACCAACTGGCATACAGCCCCCAAAGATTGCCCAGAAAAGAGTGTGGTCCATGGGCTGAAAAAGTTTCCCCAAACCCACTCTAAGAACATTAAGAACCTGCTGGATCAGAGCACTGGCCCACCTAGTCCAGCCTCCTGTTCTCACAGGGGCCACCCAGATCCCCGAGGGAAACCCGCAAGCAGCACTGGAGCACAAGCGCATTCTCCCCATTTTGGGTTTCCAGGAACGGGTATTCAGGAACATTGCTGCCTCCAACTATGGAGGCAGAGCATAGCCATCGTAGCTAGTAGCAACCAACAGCCCACTCCTCCATTAACTTGTCTAATCCACTTTTAAGGCCCTCTAGGCAGGTGGCCATCACTGACTCCTTGGAGGGGGGAGCAAGTTCCAGAGGTTTTATTCATTATTTATTTATTTAACAAAATTTATACACTGCTTGATTGTAAAAAAAACAAACTTCAAAGTGGTTTACAAAAGTGGTTTAAAACCTCTAAGCAGGAAGCAGTTTTAACTTTGCAGGTCAACATACAGTATCCCTACCAAGGTTCTTTTTTTAAGAAAGAACCTCATGGCCTGGATCTAACAATAAACCCGCCCTGGCTGAACACACCTCAGATTATCATCAGCTCCTCCAACCACGACTAGGCTGTTCTCAGCTCGAAGCTTCTCCCGGAAATCTTCCATGGCTTCACTATTGCACTGAAGGGAGTTCTGACCAATCACAAAAAGAACTGGAGTCTTCATGTCCAGAAGTGGGTCATCAACATCCTGTTGCGCAAAACAACACATCTCTTAGTTTTAGAAGTGATAAGGAGGGTACACTTTGCTGCTGCTGCTGGGCAGAATGCAAGAGCAGCCTTCATATCTGCTACATATTTTTAAAGTAGAGAACCAACATGCAAAGCATTCCTGGTATGTTGTTGGTAATGTAGCCAAAAAGCAATCCACTCCTCACGCCATGCTGTAAAACCAGTTTATTAGCTGACAATTTCAAATTTAGCAATTTCATGCTTACCCCTCTGGGCCCATCCACAGTTAAGAGAGGGAACCCAAGACACACAACAGCACTGACATCCTCCATCACTGAAACCTAGACATGGAAACAAAGGGGTCACATTTCTATAACTACTACAGGATATGTTTAGCCTGGTAAATAAAAAACTGAGAGGAGATATGATAGCCATCTTCAAATATCTCAAGGGTTGCCACATGAGCTTGTTTTCTCCTGCTCTGGAGGGTATTACCCAAACCAATGGCTTCAAGAACTTTCTGAGGGCAAGAGCTGTTCAACAGTGGAAGAGCCTCCCTCAGAAGGCAGTGGACAATCCTTCCCTGGAGGTGTTTACGCAGAGGTTGGATGGCCACCTGCCATGTATGAACTAGTTGAGATTCCTGCATTACAGGGGGTTGGACTAGATGACCCACGGGGTCCAAACCAACTCTACAATTCGATTACTCTAGGACTATGTAGCTCAACTGGCAATCCATGTCCAGTAGTCAGGAAAGATGATTCTGTGGCTAATCTGTTACAGTTGTATTTGCTTTTCAAGTACAACAAAGAGTAAAACCAGACTTTTCCTTCCTAATGCATGTGCTCACTCTTTCCAAAATGCAGAGACAGTACAGTACACTTAGAATCTTTAAGGCCCCTATATCTTCACTATTCATTTAAAGCACTATCATGCCCCCAAAGAACCCTGTGAACGGTGGTTTGTTAAGGATGCTGAGAGTTGTTAGGAGACCCCTATTCTCCTCACAGAGCTGCAATTCTCAGAGTGGTTTAACAGTTAGTTCCTCTTCCAAGAAACCCTGGAAGTGTAGCTTGCATCGTTAGAGGAGCTTGCTTAGACTAACACAGCTTTCCCAAATCTGATGTTCTCCAGATGTTTTGAGCTGCATCCAAGGGTACTAAAGGAGCTTGTGGCTGTAAACTCGAAGCCTTTGTCTATGATCTTTGAGAATTCATGGAGAACAGGTGACGTCCCTGCAGACTGGAAGCAGGTAATTGTTGTCCCCATCTTCAAAAAGGGGAGGGGGAAGGAGACACAGGTAATTACCGACCAGTGAGCTTGACATTTCTGTTAGAATTCCTGCTCCGTGATTGCAGTCATGGGATTTTTGTCTATCACATGACGGTGTATGTTTTGACTCCACAAAATGGAAAGTGACGGAGACATGATGTTTGTGTTACTGTGTTCCGTGAAGTGGGACTATTGTCCTTTGTTTTTTCCCTCTTTGCTAACTGATGCTAGAGAGAGAGGGAGCCATGTTGCAGTGCGCTGTGTGTGTTTATTTTTTAAATTTTTTAAACGTATTTTTATTCAAGGTATGTGCAATGTCTCTTTCTCGTATTTTCCCCCTCGTGTAACTTTTTTTTTTTTTTTTACAAATTGGTTTCATTTGTTAAGACATTAGGAAGAATAGGGGCAAAGAGGTGGAGGGGGGGGAGATGAGTGGGGTTGGGGTTGGGTGGTGATGTTTCCATTTTACTTAATATATGTGGGGTTTTGTGTCAGCTCCGTGTGTGTTTATATGTAAATAAAGTAGATTAGCCAAAATGCTGAGTTGCTGAGGTCTGTTACGCAAACTGCGAACACTCTGTGGATCCCTAAGTGTGCTGATGTCTGTTGGCATCGGTCGCTGTGATGTTTGGGCTGAAGAAAGCTTTTGAAGCTCCTGAACGATCAGGAGGGAGAGAACATGCCAGTCGGGTTTGTGTCTCTGCCAGGGTCCTACTCGAGTGTAGGACAATCTCCTGACAATCAATACCCTTCCAACTCTACAATTCTGATTCTACAAGGATTCTCATCAGGCCCTGCTAGGACAACCAAGCAGTGCTACCTGGGGCTGATGTGTGCTGTTGTCCTAAGCAGCTGGAGGGTATCAGGTTGGGGAAAGCTGGGGAGCAGAATACTTTCAGGTCCTATGCCTTGGTTTCCCTTCTGGATTTTATTCTGCACGTACCACACTGCTGCGATTTCCTGCAGAAAACTAGTATAGTAATACTGGAGGTATAGACAAGAGAGCGACATACATGACAGGCCACCAGAGCTCCTGTGTTCCAGCCAATGAGGATTACTGGTTTGTGAGAGAAATGGTTGTGGATCTGGAAAAGAAAGGGAAGACGGGAAATTCAAAAGTTAAGTAATTTCCAAACTGGAAGCCACGCATATCCAACTGAAAAGTTTTGGATTTATAGAAGCTTGAGGGAAGTTCAACACTACTAATTGGATTTACTACTACTACTCCTCCTGTACCCACCTCCATAACTTTGCCTCTCACAGCACCAATCATGTGCTCCAGGCATTGCAACACTCCAACACCACTGCCGTTATTCATTAAATGGGTAGCAACAGGGATCACCTGCAAGACAAGCAAAGACAATCAAATTAAACAGCAATTCCATCACAGTCCAAGTTATATTGCAACCAAAAGTTACATCTGTGAATTTCATTGGAGGGGAAAAACACAAAGATCTGGGACTCTGCAAACTGTTGAGTTTGTAAATATCTGGAGTGTCTTACTCCACCTCAATATGGTTCTAGCTTTTTATATGGTGTTGGGCTGAATCCCTCCACCCATACCAGACATTTTTTGCCTGATGTGGGATTACAAATACCCTACAGAACTGTGGGATTGGAAGAGACTCTAAAAGTCATCTAGTTCAACCCCCTGCAATGCAGGAACCACAGCTAAAGAATCCATGATAGATTGGCCATCCGACCTCTGCTTAAAAACCTCCAATGAAGAGCAGTCCACCACCTTCTTAGGAAGCCCAGTCCACTGTCAAAAGAGTTCTTACCATCAGAAAGTTATTCTTAATGTTAAGTCAGAATTTTCTTTCTTGTCATTTGAAGCCATTGCTTTGGATGCTACCCTCTGGAGCAGCAGAAAACAAGCTTGCTCCATCTTCCATGTGACAGTGACAGCCCTTGAGATATTTGAAGATGACCATCTCCTCTCAGTCTTCTCTTTTGCAGGCTCAACATGCCAACCCCCTCAACTGCTTCTCATCAGGCTCGGTTTCCAGGCTCTTTATCATCTTGGCCACCACCTTCTTCACATTCCAGCTTTTCACTATCCTTCTCAGACTGTGGTGCCCAGAACTGGGCATAGTATTCAAGGTGGGGTCTTACTAAGGCAGACTAGAGTGGTACTATTACTTCCCTTTTTCTGAATACTATACTTCTGTTGACGCAGCCTAGAATTGCATTAGCATTTTTTGCTGCTGCATCACACTGTTGACATGAAGCCCAGAAGTGTCCCCCATTCACCTGTTACCTGCCCAGGGTATTTCCCAGTACTTCCACTTTCATGTGTGCCTGATCTCCCTCTCCCGCAAATGGTTATTCTACACTTGTTTTCCATCTAAATCCAATCCAAGAAGGGAATGCGAGTCTACAGGAGTCTGTGGGGTCCCTGCAACTGCACTGAAGGCGGGGAGGGAGGGGACATAGCTTACTGTAGGAGAATGAGAACAGGGTGGTGAAGAGACACAAACCTTTCCCAAGCAAGAGAGTTGTGACTGCCAGAATCGATGCCGCCGAGAAGTGGGAAACATTGAATTGGAGGGTCCAGAAGATGCCAACAGGATGAGGGGAGAACCAGGCAACTTGCTCTTGGGAAAACAAACAAATCCAAGAGGTTAAAAAAAAGCTGCTTCTCAAAGAGGCTCCAGCCCCTTCAACAACCACGTCTCCAAGCATGGTTGCTCTGCTGAGATACAGTTTAAGTCTTGACAACCAAAGCTGTATTCAGTCAAGGGAAGACATTCTGTACTGCCTTTGGGATTTTAAAACCACCAGCCTTTTCCCAATTTAGCAGCTAAATATATCTGCTGCCCTCCCCCAACTGACTAATTCAGAGGGGAACAAGCAATGGCCTTTTTAAACCTCAATTTTTATCTCTGTTATCTGCTAGCTCCCAGCCACCTCCATTTCCACGTGTCTGCTCTCTTCCTTCTCCTGGCAAAAGCCCACTGCAACAGAGTGCCCTCTCAGCTCAGCTCATTATCTAAGCCAAGGTTTGGCTTAATGTGTTATCTGAACTTTGCATTGCGGCTAAAGCTCTCTCCTCGCTAACCACAAGCTATAGCCAAGAATAAGGACCAGGAAGGAACAAAGTGGCTGATAGCTGCATTCCGGGATCTGGCATGTTTGCATGTGAACCTGCTCTTAAAATAAAAATGAAAAACAGCAGCAGCACAGAAATAAAACCCAGGACCCCCTCCTCTTCCTGATGGCCCACAAAACACTTACTGGTTTGTTATGTGAAAGGACACCTATGGCTGGATCCCATGGTCGCTTCAGCAAGAGGGAGAGGGCCTCAGCTCCTGCCGCTCCTGTCTTTGCAGTCGAGGACAACAGCATCCGATCGATGAGGATGGGAATCTGAAACACATTGATAAGCATGTGATGGAACTCCAGAACACAGACATTCACTCTGCATAGTGACAGGAAGACATTGGGACTCTATAGCTGGTTCACTAATATTAGTGCATCAATGGTTAAGGGCTGCCAAATAGGGGTGGGGGATAACGACTAGAGACCTCCTGAAGCAAAAAGGCTCTCTAGCTTCCACTTCCCTTATAAAGGATAACAGCTGAGAGATTTATACATGAGTATCTTATACATGAGTATTACTCCCAAACAAACACACACAGAAATTCAAACCTACAGTATCTTAAAGGAGAGATTTGTGTTCGCTCTTTTCCTAGCACTTAAGTAGCATTAACCTGAAAGGTCAGCATTCATTTATAATTAGAATTATATGGAATTCAAATTGTGGTATAGTATGATCACGACTTGCATGGGGGTTACGTTTCACAGATGAAGTGTACGTGCAAAAATGTGCATACTCAAACCACACTCTTGGAACGTCCCCCATGGAACCATGCTTGCCTTCCAATCTCTCTACTTTGCTTACCAGGCTCTGGAATGCTTAAGTGGGAACTCGGACAGTACCAAGACATCTTATGAAAGCATCCTAGAGTCCAGTAAGCAAGGCTTCTTTTTGTGCCAGGTTTTCTGTGCAATTAATTTGTGGGATTTCAACCTACTGCCTTTCAACCACACAAGGCTGAAATTATGCAGATTAATTGCATACACAATGCAGTCATACTGTACAATAAAATACAATATGTAAGAAATAAAAGCAATAAAAGCAGTGTTTCAAAACCAGGCAACATCTAGCACAGCACATTACAATAGCCCCAACAAACAGAAAAAGGATAAAGTGGTCCACTAAGACCTTCAGAAAATGTCAAGTGGTTGGGAGGGGGAGTTTGGGAACTGCTGGTTTATAAGGAAAAGAGGTGGCACCTTCTTTTAAGTAGAATGCTTTGCCTAAAGAAGAAACATGGAAAGAAGGATTAAAAAGTGTTGGGGGGGGGGAACCCCTTCCCCAACACATCATGTTCACTCACCTTTCCTTTAAGAGTCTGCAGGGCATCTAGGTAAGCAGCCAGCATAGGCAAACTAAGGGTTTCCACCAGCGTCGAGTGAAGCCACTGGATCAGCTTGGTATCCCAGCTGATGCTTGCCAAAGCCTGACGTACACGCCGGGCACATTTGTCCACTGCTATCCTCCTGAGCACCGGTTCGTTGCAAGCCTGTTGGAAAACAGAGGAGAAGGACCCAAAGTGAGGTTGCATAACAAAGTGTGCTGACCGCAGAACAAAGTAGCAGTGACAAAGCCTGGAGTTACAATGCCTATGTCTCAGATGTCAAAGTAGAGAGGAGACCTTCCCGACTTCATGGGACAAAACACAGAGGTACAAAGGGCACCACACATTTAATAAAAACGGGCAACCTGTCAGAGGGACTAGAAGCTCAGAAGAGGGGGGAGCAAGAGCAATGCTATTCTTACCCCTTCATTGGCTAACCGGGCCAGCCTGTCAGACTGTAAAGCTTTGAGGATTTTATTGAACAGCTTATTCTGGGCTATTGTCCAGCCAGATCTGCAAAGGAAAAAATCAAGTTAGCAGTTCACCTTCAAGGTCAGCCTGAGGGCAGAATTCTCACATGCAAATCATGGGCAGAACCACAAGCAAAAGTAGGTGGAGCAGTTCACACAAATATGACTTTTGTAGAAAAGGACAGTTTCTAGATACATTTGAACACACCTCTCTGTTCTCAATCTGGGCAGTCAAAACACATTATGAGAGTTCAAAAAGACATTTCAGCCAGGCAAAAGCCACCAAGGAGGTTATGCAGTAGGGCAGTGAGGGTGTGGCCTGGGGGAGTCCCAAGGGCCAGCTAGAGAGGCTTGGAGGGCCACCTTCAGCCCCCAGAGCCTGAAGTTCCTCACCCCTGCTCCTGTTAAACAAAACTGCAGCTGGAGGCACCCAAAGAGTACTGATTGTGGCCTAGATCAGATGGAAGAGGAAACCATGGTTTGATGCTACAAGAATGGGCAATTGTGAGCCCTGGACTCACCCACTCCCCTGTATTCTCTCCTCTTTTACCTGCCAAAAATGGAGATCAGAAGCCTGTGTTCTTAAACTAACCAGAGTTTCCTGTGGCATGTCTATAACTACAGTTGGCAAGAATAAGCCAGGACTGAACCACTATCTAAATAAGTCACAGTTTTCATTCATTGATGTGATATCCAGGCAGGAAATCATCCTGTATGAAGCAGTTGCAAGTTAACCACAAAAACGTTTGGCAAACACACATGCACTCTCCCAAGGCCCACTGCTAACCCAAAATGTCTACACACACCTTGCAACAATGATCTGCATTCACTACCCAAGGATTTTGGAATTAAAGCCGACTTGCAGAACCCTGAACACTGCCTAGTCCCAAATTATCTCCAGGCTCAAAAAGAAAAAAGAAAAAGAAAAAAAGAAAAAAGGAAATGGCACCACCAAAGCATAAAACAATCTTCTGTCCACTCCCCAATTTATTACCTGTTCATATGCTCCTCCCAGTCATCAGGTGGAGGTGGCGTATCAGTGTCTGTGCGGGCAAATATCACATGGCGCTCACACTCATTCATCACAGTGCGGGCTTTCTGGTTGTCGTAGAGGGGCACAGGTGTGGGAGTCACTGTTTCCACATCAATGGGAACATCTGCCTCACTGAAAGCAGACAAGGCAAGGACATGTCATGGAACAGAGCAATCAGCCTCCGTTTCCCACCCCATAAAAGCTATATGTACCTGCAATACAAAGGATCACATTGAGCAAAAAGGGAGCTCTGGATAAATGGGTAAGCTGGGGTAAATGGGAAGCTGAATCAGGACAAAGGTCCTGCTAGCTCGGCTTTGTCTACATTGGTTGACAGTGGATCTCCAGGATTTCAGACGGGGAGTCTTCCCCAGCACTCCCTGGAGATGATGCTTGAGGGGGTTATTTCTTGCCAGGGGTGGCCCTTCCCATTTCACCTGAGGCAAAAGAGTTAGGTGCTGCCCTGTGCATGCTATGCACCCCCTTTACCATCTCTACCAAAGCCTTGCTTAGCAATGTTATGCAGCTGTGGCTTCCAGCGAAATCTCACTAGAACTCAGAAGCTGCCGCAGCCACTTCTCCTCGCTTCTTCAGTGGCAAGGCAGGTCTGCCCATGAAGGAGCCCCTTGGATTCTGCTACCTAAGGCAGCTGCTTCAGTCTACCTCATGGATGGGCCAGCCCTGTGCCTGGGCCCTTCGGCAGGCAAAAGCCGGCATTCTACTACAGTCGTACCTTGGAAGTCGAACAGAATCCATTCTGGAAGTCCGTTCGACTTCCAAAACATTCGAAAACCAAATCATGGCTTCTGATTGGCTGCAGGAAGTTCCTGAGTTCCTGCAGGAAGTTCCCATCTCCTGGTCCAGCATAAGTGTTGGTGCCACTGCTCAACCTTTCAGCTTAGTTTGAAAGAAGCACATGCAAATCCTCAGAAGAAGGGTGGCAAATAAAGCAATTACAGATACCCGCACACAAAATATCCCTAGTAACTCTCACATAAAAGTAAAACTCACATGGCGTTGCTATCTTGGTGTCTCTTAGGAGTGACGAACAGCAGACGAGTGGGACGGGCATTGCTGGCATCGGGGTGGGCGCTCCATGGCTTGGCATAGCTGTGGTCCAGGAAGACCAGGTCTAGTTCTCTCTCATGGACCGACAGCTGAAAAAGCAGAGAGGTCCCCATCCTCCTTGCCGAGGTTTGGAAGTCTCGCTCGGTGCCTCGGTAAGACATGTCTAGGTCGTATGTCTCTGCCACTAGCACTGGCACAATAAAATCTTACGGCTCCACATTCTTGCTGCTAGGGAAGGATAAAGAAAGAGTAAACAGTGTGAAATAATCTGCTTCTTACCCGTGTTAAGCACATGTTCAGCCATCAAATGAAAACAACAAAGTGCATACAGAGGCAATGCCCCCATTTTGCTCAGTTACTCCAATCGAGTCATTATCTCCATGACCTATGAATCAGGCACAAAAATCAACACAAAATAATACATCATAAAACTGATGCAATAAAAAAAACCAACCACATGCAGAGTTTTGTGTGTATCTGTTTATGTGCATATTTCTAGGGAAGGAGTCCGTGGCTTTCACCCAAGGGGCCTGTGCCCAGACCAGGTTAAGAACCACTGGGTTAAAGTATGACCCAGGTTAAAATCTCTGATTATTCTCGAAGTTCAATGCATGATACGGGACCAGTAATTCGCTTTCAGCCTAACCTACCTCAGAGGGCTGTACCTAAAAATTATAGGATTACCCCGCCGCTCTCTCCAACCTCTGACCAAGGCCGCTGTAGCCGCTCAGAAACAGCCGAGAAGCGCGCCCAAGTTCGAAGAGCAGCAGCAAAAAGAGCCCCTGAGCATGTACAAAGCGCCCAGAGAGACTTCTGCCCCCCCCATCCGTCAGAAATGAGCGCTTGATATCAGAACCTCTTTCTGGACCCAGAGAAGGAGCAGCTACTCCTCACCCACCTCCGGCCAGAGAAAAAACGCGAGGGGGCTCAACGCCGGACCGAAGCCCCGGAACCCCTCGCCGGAATCCAGTCAGGGCAGGCCTGAGGCCTCGGACGCATTTGCGCATGCGCGGCGCTCTCCGGAGCCGCCCGTGACTTTGGAAGGGGAGGGAGAGAAGGAAAACCCGGCCGGCGGATCCCGCGCTGAGTCAGGGGAAGCCTCCCTTTGGTCGGGAGGACGATTCCCGGCACTTGGAACGCGCACAGCTCGCGCGGCCTCTTGGCCCCGCTGGTGAAGATTTGCAGGCGCCAGGGATCTACATGCAACAGTTGCTGCTGGTTTTGTGCAGGAGATCCCTGCAGACAAGCAAAAGGCATGAATCATAGAATGGTCGAGTTGGAAGGAACCCCGAGGCTCCCAACCCCCCGCAATGCAGGAATTAAAGCATGCATGCCTCTTCTTAAAAACCTCCCAGGAAGGCAAGTCCACCACATTCCGAGGGAGCCCTTCTCTTACCGCCAGAAAGTTCTTCCTGGTGTTTAGTCGGAATCGCCTTTCTTGTAACTTGAAGCCATTGGTCCAGGTCCAGCCTCCAGAGCAGGAGGAAGCAAGCAGGTCCCCTCTTCATGTGGCAGTCCCTGAGATATTTGAAGATGGCTACAATTTCTCCCCTCAGCCTTCTCTTTTGCAGGCTAAACATGCCACCTCCCTCGACTAGTCTTCCTCATGGTTTCCAAACGCCGCCTGAGAAAGCGGGCTCGCTGCTTTAGTCCTCCTCCCCCTGCTTTCTCTCTCGGCCTGACTCGGGACCCCCTTCCCAGATGAACCGAGTTCGAGAGGAAGGTGATTCTCGAAGCCAAATAACACCAGGGAGGGGGAAAGCGACGTTTCGTCTCTGTCCTGCGCACGAGCACCATTCACACATTGATACACCCGGCGGAGAGGGAAAGGCGCAGTTCTCCTAACCAGCCTGCAGGGGCCGCTGCTGGAGGCGGGCGTCGGACACCCTTCTCGACGGCCCGCGGGGATGACGTCATTCGAGCGCCGGGGCTCGTCGTTGCTTTTCGTGCCGGGCGTGGGAACCGGAAGTGCTGCAGGAGCAACTGCAGCTTCCCGGCCCGGTAGCGGGTGGCTCGGCGTGGAGAGCGAAACCTTTGGGGGCCTCAGAGCCATGGGGAAGAAGAGTAAGAACGGAGTCCCGGACAGGTGAGCGGTACCTGCCTCGCCCGGGGTGGACGGGGAGCCCCGGACAGGTCCTTCCGCGCCCCGTTGTAGTGAGGCGCTGGAGCTGGTGTGAGAACCTCTCCCTCCGTCTTGGTCAGCCCCTCGCGTGGGAGGCTCGTGGGAGCTTGTATGTATGTATGTATGTATGCCTGTTATATACCGCTCTTCATCCGAGGCATAGCTGTCAACTTACAGATTTGAAAATAAGGGACCAGCAGCCTCGAAAATAAGGGATCAGCAGCCAAGCTAAGGGATCAACAATTTTATAAAATACATATTTTGTTGCATGGAAATGGCTTTAGATACCTATTAGGTCCATAAATTACCATATAGCATATATTCAACACAAAAAAACAGCGACAATTTGTTGTTGACGAAGCAAGCTGGACATAGAAAGGGCCCCATTACCTTCAGTAGCTTATTTAAGGGACATCCTCAATAAGGGACAGCAGCGGGACATGGCGCTGGGATAAGGGACTGTCCCGCCAAATAAGGGGCGCTTGACAGCTATGATCCGAGGATGACAGGGTGGTTTACAACACAAAAACACATAACAAAACAAGGAACATAACACAAAACAAAACCAATAACCCCCCCCATACACAATATAAAAGGCCATAGATTGTTTAATTAGCCAAAGGCCAGGGAGTAGAGGAATGTTTTCTGCATCACGTATGGCCTTTGGACCATATACAGTGGTATCTCGGGTTATATACGCTTCAGGTTACAGACGCTTCCGCTAACCCAGAAATAGTACCTCGGGTTATGAACTTTACTTCAGGATGAGAACAGAAATCGTGCTCCGGCGGCGCGACAGCAGCAGGAGGCCCCATTAGCTAAAGTGGTGCTTCAGGTTAAGAACAGTTTCAGGTTAAGAACGGACCTGCAGAACAAATTAAGTTCTTAACCTGAGGTACCACTGTATATGGCAGGAGTCAACCATTTCTCCCAACAGTAGCAGGGTGCCCCTATCCTGCCCATAAAGTTTCATTGTCACTTGACCATAAAGGTAAAGGGACCCCTGACCGTTAGGTCCAGTCGCGGACGACTCTGGAGTTGTGCGTTCCTCACGCTCTGTAGAACAAGGGAGCTGGCATTTGTCCACAGACAGCTTCCAGCTCATGTGGCCAGCATGACTAAGCCGCTTCTGGTGAACCAGAACAGCGCATGGAAACGCTGTTTACCTGTTTATCTACTTGCACTTTGATGTGCTTTCGAACTGCTAGGTTGGCAGGAGCTGGGAGCGAGCAACGGGAGCTCACCCCATCGCGGGGATTCGAACCGATGACCTGCTGATCGCCAAGCCCTAGGCTCTGTGGTTTAACCCACAGCGCCACCCGCCACCCATACTGGGTACCTAAAAATAAAAATTAAAAACAAGAACTTGGTGTTTCCAACGGGAATTTTGCAAATGCTGACTGTATGTAGGTACAGTGGTACCTCAGTTTACAAACTTAATCCATTCAGGAAGTCCTTTCTTAAACCAAAACCGTTCTTAAACCGAAGTGTGCTTTCCCTTATGAGGCCTCCCGCTGCTGGTGCCCTTCCACCATTCGGATTCTGTTCTTAGACCGAGGTAAAGTTTGCAAACTGGGACACTACTTACGGTTTTGCGTTGTTCGTATACTGAATCGTTCGTAAACAGGACTGTTCTTAAACCGAGGTACCACAGTACTTGAAATCCAATATTTCCAACAGTGCCATAATGCCATTTCATCCAATCACACCCCAAAGCAGCCACATGATGATTCCTTTAAAAAGTTTTTTTTTAATGTTAGTAATTAGGAAAAGTATTGCTTTCATAAGGGTATATTGTTGTCATTTTTATTACTAATTAAATTTATATACTGCCCATCATCTGAAGATCACTGGGCAGTTGACAGTATAAAAACACAAAAACACATAGCATGCTGTGTTTTGCTCTGGACCACACCAGTGAGCCTTGTCATCTGGGCAGCCCAGGACCTGCATACAGGGCAATCCTCATTTTGCACAGGGGTTCCGTTGACCCCAGTTTTTGAGGGTCAAGCCTCCATTGTCCCTCCTCCCATCCTAGGCTGTATTTTATGGTTGTCTTACAGTGGAATAGATTGGGATCTAGCTTTTGCGTGTATAGCTGTTGTTTAGATGCTGTTAGTGTGAATGGTGTTTTAATGTTACCAAAAAGGGCAAATCCCTGTGCTGAACAGAGATCTTCTCCTGTTCTCCTGTTGAATTGTGTCTGCTTTCTCCGTCGTATTTATGCAGAAGTAGTAAATTTCATTTCACTTCACTTTTAAGTGTAAGGTTTCTCTTCTAGATGGACTCATTACATACCTCTTGGAAAGAGAATACCTGGAACACGCTTTATAGCTTTTAAAGTTCCACTTAAGAAGGTAGGTATGGCATGCAGTTTTTTGGGGGTGGCTCTATGTGTTATGTAAATATAAGGTTGCTCTTGGTCTGTTTGCATTGTGCTTTAGTCCAAATTCCAGAGCTCATGTTTTCATCTGAGCAAAGTTCAGTGTATAGCAGTGGTTCCCATATATTTTTGGGTCACTAGTCCCTTAGTTCCATAAACATCTGCAGAGCCCCCTGGCCAATAAAAAGCAGTATTCAGGATAGAGGTTTGCACGATCCACCAAGGAAAATAGGAACACAATAAATTTCAAGACAGTGCCAATTAATTGCACATTTATTCAAAATCAATTAAAACCATTTAGTTTAATAAATTCAGCAGAATTGATTAACTTGATCCAGTGATAGTTTGATATAGGATTGGCATATGTCCAGATTTCCCCAGGCATATCTGGAATAGTGCAGTTGGCAGCAGTGTTCGGGTGGAAATTAATAAAAATATCCAGGAAAATCCGGACGTATGGCAGCCCATGTCAGCAGTGCTGTTTTTGCTATTTATCCATCAAAATAGCTCCAACCACTTTGCCTCCCCCCCCCCCAAAAAAACCTTTGCCAAAAGAACTCAACAACTTTTCTGTCCGGATTTTCACTGTTCGAAATATGGCAAGCCTATTTTGATGGTAATTCACACCTCCTTTGCTCCCTTGCTTCCCCCTTGCCTCTTAGCTCCACCTTATGTAATAACTGCAACCCCAGGTGCACAACTGGCTACTTTGGGAACCACTAGTGCAGGGGTAGGCAACCTAAGGCCCATGGGCCGGATGCGGCCCAATCGCCTTCTCAATCCGGCCCATGGACAGTCTAGGAATCAGTGTGTTTTTTACATGAGTAGAATGTGTGCTTTTATTTAAAATGCATCTCTGGGTTATTTGTGGGGCATAGGAATTTGTGTCCCCCCCCAAAAAAAATAGTCTGGCCCACCACATGGCCTGAGGGACAGTGGACCGGCCTACGGCTGAAAAAGGTTGCTGACCCCTGCGACTAGTATATAGGGTAATTGTATCTAAGGTTCTCTTCGTAATAGTCTAATTTAGTTTATCTAGCCTTTCCAGTTCCCAGCTGCAAGGATAAACATCCCAGTTCTTGTTGTTGTTGTTTGGTTGTTTAGTCATGTCCGACTCTTCGTGACCCCATGGACCAGAGCACGCCAGGCATGCCTGACTTCCACTGCCTCCCCCAGTTTGGTCAAACTCATGTTAGAAGCTTTGAGAACACTGTCCAACCATCTCGTCCTCTGTTGTCTCCTTCTCCTTGTGCCCTCAATCTACCCCAGTTCTTATGACTGGCCTAAAACTGTGAAAAAAAAACCCACACACATAAAAACACCAGGTCACAAGATACTATGATTACCATTATTTCTGGTAATTTTAGTCCGGTGTAAGATTTTGAGTGTCTTAGACTGCTGAAATAGCTTTAATACTATGTGTGGTAAACTTAATCAATATAAAACTATCCAAATACAGTTGTACTCTCCTTTGGATGCTTGTCAGGGAGTCTAGATGCAGCATCCAGTGAAGTAGTTCCATTTGTGCAAGGATTTCTGCCTGTGCAATGGAAATTTCATTGTGCAAACTGAAATCCTTGTGCTACTTTGTTAGACACTACCCTTAGAGTTTAACAGCAACCTATAACTGTTGGTTGAATACTCTACTTTCTTTTCAGACTTTTGATTGGAAACTTGCTCCAAATGAACGGTTTTCTCCATTAGACCTTATTAATCAGGTTACAGAACAGAAAGAAGAACTTGGCTTGGTCATTGACTTAACATACACCACCCGCTATTATGAGCCAGAGGTAAGTTCAGTTTCCCAAACTTATGTGAAAGGGGTAGATACTGTCTTTCGTAGCTTTCTCAATGCGGAATTGGTTGTTAGCACTAGAATCTTGTTTGCTGAAAAATTGTTCTGCTAAGAACTGAAATGAAACTTTGAAAAAATGAATTAAAGTTCCTTTTCAGCATGCAGTAGCTATAAGCAGTGCCATGTGGACTTTTTAAAATGTGGTGTGTATTTAGGGGCTCAGATGTCAAGTAGATATGACACTCTGGGGGGTTTCTTGTCAAGATGAGTGGAAATATTCCTCTGATTTTCATTCCTCTGCAAACAACATCACAACAGGCTGAGTTTTCTGCCTGAAAAGAGGGGTGGGGTTTATAATAAATCCTGGCCATAGCTGTTTTCTAGGAAGCTATAAAAAGCAAGTTGGTTTTGGTTATATTTGTATGATACGGTCATGTGAACAGCTGACTTATAGGCTATAGGAGTATCCTGTGACTTTGCATCATGGTCTCCAGACCTGCAAGAACACTGTATGATCCAGTAACTGACCTACAGAAGATGGTGGTTGGCTTTAGGGCAGGTGTGGCAAACTTGCAGCCCATGGACTAAATTTGGTTTACTGCACTGTTT